TAAACATAACATCTTACCGCCAAACACTGGGGATCCTATCTCTTTATGTCTACATCTAAAAAGTCCAAAATTAAAATTCTTCTTTCAGGCTGTTTTTCCCGGTTTGAGCGATTATTACTACGAAATAGTCCATTCAGACAAAAAGGAAACCACCACAAATACTGCGCTAAAAATATTAAAAGGTGTACTATATAGGCCTATTTTGGAAAACATATAGTGGCGTGTTTTCCTATGGTCGTGTTCGTGATACAAATTCTTATTTGAATCTTGAAAATCACTGAACGCAAAAATCTTTTTAAAGAATCCTTCTTAGAACAGCAGATACTATGCAAAAATGCAGTCTAGGGACACGGAAGTTTGTGTCCATGTATTATCATGTGCATAACTGAACCTCTCGGCTGCCTCCATTGATGTGCCTCGGTTGGTTGACTGAGCCAACGAGATATGACGGAACTGGGGTGGATGGGTCTGACAAAATAAAAAGCCCGTGGACTCATGTACGAGCGTGCAGCACAGGTCTTCCGCTCCTCCCACGACCCGCACTCACTGCCCCGTCCCGCTCGAGGGGCCTGAACGGGAGGAACAAGACGTGCCAATAGAAGCGAACTGACATGCATTGGACATGTTTCCGTTGGACATCATAAACATGACTTCTTTCATAATGCATTTGCTCGCGGTGCTTTATATTCATTTTTTGGGCCAAACTGGATACAGCGTTCCCGATCCCCGCTCGCTGTTTACGTTGTTGGGAGTGGTGTATTAAACATTTTGTCAACGTGTGTAGGGCCTGTGTTGTCGTCAGTTCATGAATATGAATTGCTCATTGGTCAACTGTGCCGACCAATCAGGCAGCTTGTATGAAAGGTGTTCCTCAATATGGAAAAACGTAATAAATTCACTTTGTGTATTTGTCGCAGATAGATTTTAAGATTACTTTCTAACTTTCCAACAGCCAAAATGTATTAAATTGTACTGAAATGTGGAGAACAAATTAACAGAAAAGCTTTAAATGCACCGTTTGATGTAAGGTTAAGCGTAAGTTTGTGTGAGGTCTATTTTTATATCACAATCAGTGCCCTTCTGTCGTATAGTGTCCAGCCCCCCCCCCCCACCCCCAGGCTCCTCCCATCCCTTCTATCCCCCCATCCTCCATTCCCCTATCCCACCCCCCCCCCTCCCCTCGCCGACACGGATTTACGCCACTGCAGGAAAGGTAACCTCAGGGAAGTGCCCAAGTTAATTTCCCTTGGTATACACAACGGGCTGTTTTTGCTTCATATCCGAGGAACTCATAACCATCCTACATGACGTGAAGTCATGATGGAGGTATATAGCCTTGCTATCTCAGATCGTTGCCATACCAGTACCTCCTCGTTGGAATAGTACCTAGCGGGAGGTACTTTTCCAACGTTTAACTCTGTGAGTTGTCATACTTATATGGTTGTTCTGTGCCTCTCTTTTCTACGTGTTTATGGTTCAATTGGGGCAGTCCTTGTCTTATTGTGCCTCAATGGGAGCGATATATAAAATACGAGATAAACTGCCTCTAGAAGTATTGTCTCCGTGAGGATGTGAACCTACAGGAGGTAGCAGAGCCTCCATTGGAGGTAGTTCCTCTGCATGAGGACTATTATATCATTTTGTTTCGGGCAGAATGTATCCATGTTGGATGTGTTATGCTGCCTTTCCAGTGAGGTTTATAATAAGTAATCTACGGGAGGTATAACACCATTTTATGGGAGTAAGTAAGGGAAAGAAAGCTACATGAGGGATATTACTTTTTTTGTATGGAAATCGGAGATCAGAGGTGTCTTTGTGGATAGTGCGGTTGAGAGGAGAGTACCTCTGACACTGAGGTTAGTACCTCAATGAAGAGGTTGTTTTCTCATGGAGGAGCTATCCCTATAGGGGAAGTATATCCACGGCCAAGGTGTAGTGGTCAGATAAGGAGCAAAGCTTGTTGACAAACCAAATACTGTCATTGTGGTTACTAGCTAGGTCTAAATGAAGAGACAGTTTCCCCAGTAGATGTACCTCTTGCAGAGGTGGAACTAACTCCAGGTATAGTGACTTTATAATTAAGAAGGAGAGCAAGCAAGATATGCATGATGTGGGATATCGGTTCCATGCATGGAAGTAAAAGATGCCTTAATGGATTTGAACTTGTGAGGGGTATTGTACATCTGTTTCTCCATTCAGTTTGTACCTCAGGAGGTGGTTTTGAGGGATGCACCTAAATGAGGCAGAAGTAATCCACGAAAGGTAAATGGCGACCGAAGGAACTAAGCTAGGAAGAGATGAATGGGAAAATTGCCTATCGGGAACCGAAGGTGACTCTCCGCGGATTGTTAGCTCATAAGGAGGTAGGATAACAATGGGGGTGTTTTTCCTATGATGTATCGCTGGAACGTACAGAAACTACATATTAAAGAAACAAAAACAGGAGGGGATATATTGCCTCCATGCACAGCCTCCATTGAATCCATTGAATATCAGCTCAGGGGGTGTATTCTCTCTCAGTGTGGCTAGTTTCTAAGTGGAGGTGGTGTCTCAATGAGATGGAAACTCCAAAATGCAAAGTACATCATCCTCATAACGATTACGACTCCGAAGCAAGGAATTCGGACTCCACAGTCCGTGTTCCTTAATTATGAAAAGAGGACTTTGCTATAAAAGACTATATTCATGACACAATCATTGACATTTTTAAAGATGGCCGGAGATATTGTTGGGATAACGCATTTGCAATGCAAGTGCAACGTGGTTATAATATTGACTAAATTATCAACATTCCTAGATTTAGCGTGAGGCTATCATGATCGTAAAACGTTTCTATGTGGCATGAGCATGATGAGTTGTGTTGCCAAGATGACGTGTTTTACATGGAAGTACAATCATTATATAACACATGGTTATTGGTATAATTACATTATGGAAGAGTAGTTCCCATAGATAACACACAATGTATGATGTTTAAACTGCCATGTACAGTTCGCCTTTATGCTGATGTTTACAAGTTTGAAAGAGCGAAGTATTCCTTACAAGAATAGGACTAGAGCTAGGGCTTGAACCACAAAACATGCTGTGATATAAAAGCTGAAAAAGACCACAGAAAGGAACTCAGTTTGCCTCGTGCAAGCGTACATTTTCTTACTGCAAAATGCCATGATTTATATTATCCCTTAATTACGTCAAATGGGATAACTTCGATCATTTTGAGACATATTTAACTATTGCTTTTATAACAAACTTGGTGGATTTTTCCTAATATTTAGAACAGTAGACTAAACTCTACACTTTGGTGTTGTTTGGTGTCAAAAAATAGTATTTAACAAGGGGGTGGGACCCCAAAAGATGAGACCAAAGTTACCTCCGTTTTGGGGCAACGTTGGCCAGTCCTAATAATTCCTATGGACAAACAAATGTCACATTTCAAAAATTGTTTCCTTCCAGGTGAAAAGTAGATAAAATGAACATTTGACCCTAGATTTCTAAAAAAACACACCATTTTTTCCCCAAAGGCTTCATTAATGTCATTTGATATTTGACCTTCTTGTTCCTTGACCTCTGACCTTTGACCTCTTGAAATTTGACCTAACATAATTATCCACTTCAAATCCACAAGTGCATTAAACTTTGCAGTGGCATTTTCTGAAACTGATCATATGAAATTTACTGAAGAAATCTGGTTTTATAGAGATTTATATTCACTTGTAGGTAAAATATAGGTGCTGACCAAAGTTACCCTTCTGACCAAAGATACCCCATCTTACGGGTAGCGAATAGAACAAAAGTCAAAATAATGACTAGCTTTTTTAGTTACTTACCGACCTGAACATTACCCGCTGTAAAACTCGCTAACTGTAGCACTTATGGGTTGTTTTGGGATTTGCATTTTACGTAGAATTTTCCAGTCAATAATCCTGACTAGGCGTAAAACTACAGTTATTTAGGCCGATTTTTTTTCGAGGTCAGCTGGAAGAAAAGTTTGATTGTTTTACAGTCAAATCTTAACACAAATAAGAATACAGCTTGAGTCGGAAAAACAAATGGAAGTATTCCTCATCAGATTTTCTCCATCAAATATGTCTCTACTTCTCAACATTATTGTTTGCCTCTTAGTAAAGACTCGACATCAATCGATCACAGAGGACCGCTAACTATTTGTGATCAGTCTGATATCGTTGCTGCTCAATTGATGCCAGATTCAGCCCTCGCTAAAACTTAAACACCGTGACTTGTTTCAGGTCATCCGTTTGTAGATAATTTCTTGCCAGTCGTTGCCGAGTCGTTGCACCCCCTGGCTACTCATTAATATTTTGGAGGCCTTTGCCTGTATATCCTTTGGATTAATGTCCCTTTCTTCAACTCGGCTGTGGGGCTTATTTTGTTTATGCAATGATGGCGCACATGTAAAATAGGACGTCGCACTAACGGCGATTACTTGGGGGCGTTGCCACCTTAAGGCCCCTCCCACCTATATTACTCCAATCTAATTATTGGGTTAAATAAACCTCAAATTGTCCAATGGTTTGTTTTTTAACACGTCTCGTATGAGTATTGTAGTTATTATTATTGTGGTTTTTTTTACTTATACTATGGTATACCCCAAAAACTGACAGACACAAATAAAACAACAACAAAATATACTAAATACAGATAGCTTACAGATGACCGAATTATAACTGATACTGTAAAAGCAAATTATTATGAGTCATTCATATTTTTATAGTCCAAATTATTTCCCTCATTTTAATCATGTTGAGCTGTCTAGCTTAGAGCAACATCAAATGGTTGTAATTGAGACAGATATCTATCGCAGATTCGGTCGCCGGCATACATCTCAGATGTGTCCTTTCTGCTGATTTCATAAGAATTCTAGAGGTGTCCTGAGGGTCACTGTGCCCAAAATGAAATAAAGAAAACCGGGGAATCATAGATACATACATGCACAATGAATTGGCGGGGGCGCTATACGCAAAGGGGGGATAAGTTCCAGGCTTTACGCGCTCTTAAAAATGCTGGACAAGTGAGAGCTTTCTGTTTGGTTCTATCCTTTAACCGAGTTTCGCCCGGGGCCAAATCCGCTGTGAAATATTCAAGCCTTCCAACAGGGCCAGGCTGTGCAGTGAGTGACTCGGACCCGCAGATAGCCCGCAGGCACCAATCAAGCGCAGAGAGAAGAGGCATTCAAGCAATGAATGGATCACGGCCTCATAAGCACGGTTCCCACCGCCATTCTCCCTGTACATGTCCATGGAATCCGGCTCTCTCTTCTCTCCCTGGACTCCTCAGTCGACCGTGCAACTACCAGTACACCTCACCCGTCACCGCGAGGGGCCAGCGCCTGCCTCGTTCACGGTCCTCCGGAGAACACACCAATCCCTCTAACATCCTGTTTCCCTCCTCTAAGGCACGTCCAACCTGTCTGGTTTTCTCAGCAACAAAATCAAAAGGAACTTGGAAGGGGAAAAATATTCGTCACCGGCCAACCCTTTTTACCTCCGGACTGTAAGCCTATACACTTTAATATAAGCAACAACTGCAGTGTGTGTATTGTTGTTCGCCGTAAGAAAAGGAACAGGCATACCCTGGGGCAACTTTTGTAATTATGTCACATCTCACGAGGTTTGAATAGCGCGTGATGCCCAGCAGCACTTTCCATCGCCACTGGCGCACTATTTTCACCGTCGCCATCGCTGCACTAGCCACACTCGGCAGTTTTTCCCCAGATTTTCACCAGTTTACCATGGTTTTCGGAGCCTGAGAGCACCAGAACGTGGATCCAACGAAAGGTAAGTGCCGTTGGTTCCCAGTTACCGTAGTTTTGGGGAGCGGCAACGGACCGTGGACCCCCTGTAGAACCTTCCATTTTTATAGGAGGTAAAACAGCGCGACTGCGCCTGTTCAAAAACATGTGTGGCTTTGCGCTAGACATGGCGTGACTGAGAGCTTATCGTTGCAATGGAGAGACTGCGGGGCCGCATACAAACATTTACCGCTCGAGTCCCTGCACAGTTTCGCTGCTGAAAAGATCGATTTTTGTTGTCGGCTGTTTCGCTATTTCCGCCTACATTTCCCCTTTCGTGCTTCGACACTGTAGCAAACGTCTTTTGTGTTTGTAAATCTGACCATGACAGTCATGAAACACAGTACGATCGTTTCTGTACACAAACGTACGCGTGTCGAGTACATGTAACACCCGTGCACATGTCAACTTGAAGTGAAAAAGGTAAATTGACGCGCGGCATGCTTAGTTGGCATGGAGGTCGTATCACGTTTACAACCATTCGCGAAATTGTTTCTTCGTTCTATCATGGTTATTCCATCAAAATTTATGTCGCAATGATTGTGTGAATTGTGGAAGTTTTACAATGTACTAATTTTGATTAGGCTACATGACGTTTAGGCCGACTGCAATTCTTTCCATGTATGGTGTTGCGTCGAATTTATGAAGTAAACCTCCATGTTATGGTGGTTGATTGGAGCATTGGAGTTATTGTACCTGTAACCGGCAATTTGTCACTGTTTAGTCCTTGTGGCATATCCGGGTTAGACGGGGAAGACAGGAGCCAATATGTGAACCAACTGAAAGCATGATAAATTGATATGATATGACTATTTTTGGAATTAAGCCTTGACCATACTCACGACGATAATCACAGTTCTGGTTTGGGTAGCCGCATGCCCCCTCCCCTCCCAAAATACTGCAATTTTGTCTCTGCGCCTCAAAATTACTTGCCGAAAATAACAAATGTGGAATTAATAACAAAAGCAGTACAGTCCAATCGTGTTTATGTCACGGTGGATATCATACGACAGTATATTGTCATGATATTACCACAGACCAAACGATCCAATGATGAAACAAAACAGGAATTATTCCTATAAAAAATGTTATCTGCTGCGTACTATTGTATATATGCAAAATGCCCAAGGCAAGGTTGGTACAAAATTTAAGCAACGTGTATATTTGGTTTCGATATACTCGTCCGATTTTCGAAACGATATATGTATTTTTTTATTTTGGGATTCCCCTAAACATTTTGGGTTTGCCGATGTACGATCAGCCTCGTACACAGGCGTACAAACTTGGACGTTCTAGATTTTAACTGGTACACAATGAGCTATTAATTATGACAAAATAGTTCTGCCTCCGGTTACCCTACCTACTCTATTTTGACAGCCCCTACCCTAATTTTTGGGGGGAGAAATGAGGAAAAACCCCGAGAACCATCAATTACTACCTTTTACCCTTGACTACACGCAGACACCTCCTTATGATCGTACACCAAAAAATTGACAAAAAAAATAAATAAAAAATTACCTACCTATACCTTCCCTTTTATTCATATGCCATGTAATCGGAAGCAGAACATTTTTTTTGGCCTGACCATGATTTCAGATTTTAAAACATTTAAAGGCAATTACTTGTTTTATTATTATTCAGATTTATTTTGCTTTCTTGCTTGTTGCTGGCCACATTTGTATGCATGTCGATATCGCATCGTGACCCCTGGCTATCAGATATCACGGTGTCGTCAAACAACATACTTTATGATGTCTCGCTTATGTGTTATTGAATTGAAATAGTCTTTCTACGTTTTTAGCACCATTAGAGTGACTTTATCAAGTTGGAAACTGGAATAAATGGCGAAAAATTAATTTTGTAGAGTGACAGATCGGCAAATATAAAATTGGGGACCTCTTTTGTGTGACTTCTAGGACCAAAATTTACGTCCCTGCTTGTGTATTGAACCAGTGGCTGTGAAATTGGAAGAAAACAACACCAGCAAACTATCTGGGCTGTCTGACAGATTGAGTAGAGCACGCGTCGTCGTTTGTAACTTGTCCCAGGTGGGGAATCGAATAAATGTCAGGCGTTCGTAATACGAAATGACACCCGTCATTGTATTGGCTCAGTGAGCTCTCATGGCCTAAAGAGGGCGCTCCTTATGTACACATTGCCTTGCTTGATATTTTTTATTTACCTTCTCAGTGAAATAGTTTATTTGTATTTTTTTTTTGGAGGTTGCGGTTCAATTTGAACACCCTTGAAAAAACTTGGTCAACATGACGAGTTCTTGAAAAGTGGCTGAAAATCAAGTCGCTGAAAGCACACGCTGGTCGTTTCAGCTTTCGACTCACATTATCATTCACCGTTGGTAAACCGACTAGAAATATACCCTTTTTTTAAATTGCACCCTGCTGACCCGAACTTAGCTGACAGTCAAGTTTACGAAACATTTCCCTGTCAATTTGACGAAACCCATATGGATGTTTAAAGTGTGTTTACAACGATCCACCTTGCTTTGGATACTTCTTGTATGGGTATACACTCAACCAAAAAAGAAAGTCCCCCCCTTCCAATACTTTTTTGTCTAACTCAAAAACTACTTAGCACCTCTCGCTCAAATAACGACTAATCAGTACGGAAATTCCTAAGCAATCCAGCCATACTCTTTATTTGGCCCAAAACGGTGATAACGTGTACGAATTTATGCAATTTATAACAAATGATACCGAAAACAGTTGCACTTTTGTATACGTGCATGTTGTGGTTCACACCCACCTTGCACGAAAAGTGCAACATTTTTTTCGGTACTACTTGTCATAAATTGCATAATTTTGTACACATTATCACTGTTTTCGGCCAAACAAAGAGTATGGTCGGATTGCTAAGGAATTTCTGTACTGATCAGTCGTAATTTGAGCAAGATGTGCCCAGTAGTTTTTGAGTGAGACAAAAAAGTATTAAGGGGACTTTCTTTTTAGGTTGAGTGTACTATTGGATACATCAGCCCACTGAGATCTCAAGATCTGCTTTTGTATAGCGCGAATGAGCCGACGTTTTCATTATTTGTCAACTTTTTAAAATATAAATAGGAGCGATTTCAGTGTCGATTGGTACGAACCCAGAATCGTGCATAATTGCCAAATCTCAGGACACGAAGTAGGTAACCAGGGAAATCATCCACATTCGTAAATCAAATCAGTAGAATTTGATCTTTGTCTTGAATCTATTTCAGTTATTCATTTTTGACGACTCAAAGGAAAAACTATTAAAAAGATTACGTCAGCTAAGTTAATTGATGTTAAGTATAAGTTAATTGAAGTAGGAAGAAATTGTGACAGTTTTGTTTTAGCATTCCAGACGTAATCATTTCACATGATGGTTTTGCATTACGGTCAAGAAAATACTCCGTGTATAATAAGCTATGTCTCAATTTCCTGGTAGTTTCATGTGATTCTTTGGATTTAATGAAATAAACTTCAAGTATAATATTCTGTTTAGCCTATTTTGAACAGAAATTGTCACATTATCCAGCGTCATCCAAAATTCATGCAGAGAACCGCGAACATAGCTACACGGCTGCGTTTATTTCTGATAACAGTTGACATACATTGATATCTGAATGAAAATAGTTCCAAAACCTAAAATGTTCTGACATAATACAAAACAAATCTTGAATACATAAATTCCTGTCTTTTGCAAAGTGATGGAAAGCTAGTGCAATTGTGTTGACGTAAATTGACTGACTGACTGACGGACTGACTGAGTGACCTTGTCGTGGTTTTTTATCATTTCGTAATTTATTGGTACATTAGATCGCTTTCTGGTTCGCGCATTTGATTTCAATTTAAATTTTCTCGTTATTTAGTCAATAGAAATGGAAACAACATCACCGAAGTTAGCTTTGTGGCTACTCACTAACAATCTGTCGCTATTTTCGCATCAATCAAAGAGGCATTTGTCGCTGATTTTGGCTGCAAATCCCCCCATTCATAACGATGGTTATTATTCATTTGTGTAAACCGTTTCTTTCTTTGTCGGCTTATACAGCCACCTTCACAAGAAGCCATGCGCCCTACTTTTTTTCCGAGGCAAGCAGATCATGTATCGTGACGCGTGACTCTGTGCCGACTCTCGCCAGAATTCTTTCAAACAACCCCCCTTTTGACGGCCGCGCGATATCCTTTTTGTCCCGTCTATTCTTACGAAGTCCCTGCCACCGCCGCAGCAATTCGCCCCCGGCGACCCCCGGGGCTGCTCGGCGGTGTCAGTTGCCGATCCCGCTCGCACCTTATTTGCCAGGGTGGGTCGCAAACTAGTCCGTTACCCTGCTTCTTTGTACGGAGACAATGACGCTATCCGCAGACAACATCTGGCAACTGTTTCTATTTTTTTCTCGGCGTTTTCATAACTGCTGGTTTAGCGGCGGTTGAAACTGTTGGTTATCCACCCAATTCTTGAGCAGCTGGTGGAGTGTCTCGCCTGGGACGATTCCCCATGGTTGTCAAACATGCACAAAAGGCTGAATCAACTATTTTTTCTACCACAAAGTCGATCACCGTTGGCACCAATGAGTTTGGGAGGCCCTTCGGAGATACTAGTGTAGGCCTTTACCTACCCGTATTACCCGTTTCATTAACTTTAAGAATGCGCACTCGCTAAATCCAAACGTGACTGAATGACGTGAAAGGCGCCGCACATAAATAACCATAAGCAACAGTCTTTCATGGCAGTCTCAAAACGCCCCCCCCCCCCCAGTTTTGTTGTTGTTGAAATTTGTGTACGGATGAAAAACGTACCTTGACGTACATTTATCATAGGAAAAGCATTGAATTTTGGAGAGGGGTTCAAATATTGAAATTGGTGAGATTGTAAGATTGTACAACAAATTTTATCCATCTGCACATGTATCTTTTAAAAAAAATCTGGTTTCTGTTACAACCGCGAATTAAGCTGGGGTGTACCTTTTATGTAAATATCACTGTCGTTTTGAGGGTCGGGCGTCGTTTGCAAAAACAAACATTTTCGTAGTAATCATTGCACTCTACAGATTCTTTTTATTTTTTTTCCCAAATGATAAGATTACTTTGTATTTTAAATATTACCAACATTGTTTTCTACCCATGATTGATATTGGATGGAGGATGCAGTTGGTGACAAGTGATAAACTCCGCCAATTGAGTGCAACCTTAAATGTCCCGGGTTGGATTTGACCCGGAACTTATAATGGGTCATACTTGACCTTACATGTTTCTGGGTCAAATTGGCATGTGTCTTGGCCAGAATGGTACTTCGCTTGATCATTTTCCCGGTCAAAGTGCAACATTAGCTAAAGTGTCATTTTGACCCATAAAAGTGCCATGTTTGACCCTGGAAAGTATCAGGTCAAGTATGACCCGTATTCCGGGTCACATCTGACCTACAATCTGTAGAATAGTGCACCACAATGTGGCATTCCATTGGTCTTGGATGTTAACCCTTTTTGGAACTATTTTTTGTACTAACATAATTCTTATTTCCCAACTTATTGAAGTGCAATCCCCGCTGAAGTCATTTTAATCTTACTGAGAGCAAAAACAGGAGTTACTCAGTTGTTAAATGGTGCGTTCTTGGCGAAGACAACTCGACCAAACAGAGACTGCATTAGAGATACTTTTGCATCTCGTTTATTTCGACCTGATTTGATATGAGTTCATTGAATCTTACAGGTGTACATGCCGACCATATCGCCATTAACGATGTCATCCTTGTCTCCGACTCCATCGGGATCGGGTACTCCGCCACCAGGTCATGGCCACGGTCTACCACGTGTGGCTCCCAACAGCCGCTTCAACGCTCCTGTCCACATCGACGTAGGCGGCCAGATCTACACCTCGTCCCTGGAGACACTGACCCACTTTCCGGAGTCCAAGCTGGCCAAGCTCTTCAACGGCTCCATCCCCATCGTGCTGGACAGTCTCAAACAGCACTACTTCATCGACAGGGACGGCCACCTCTTCCGCCATATCCTCAACTTCATGCGCACCTCGCGCCTGATCCTGCCAGACAACTTTGGCGAGTTCGAGGCGCTCTACGAGGAGGCCCGGTTCTACGAGATCGCCGAGATGGTGGAGGCGCTGGAGAACTACAAGATGTCCACAACCAAGACCCGAGGGGAGAAGACCATCAAGACGGAGAACGGGCTTGGCAACGAGTGCATCATCGTACACACCACCCCCGACTGCGGTGAGCGCATCAGCCTGAGCGGGGACAAGGTCTTGATCCATGAGATCTTCCCTGAAGTCGGCAGTGTCATGTGCAACTCCACCAGCGCCGGTTGGACCCAGGAGTCCAACCACGTCATCCGGTTTCCTCTCAACGGCTTCTGCAAGCTGAACACGGTGCAGGTGCTGCAGCGGCTGCTCCACTGCAACTTCATCGTCATCGCCTCTAGTGGTGGGGGAATCGAAGGCTCCCAATTCAGCGAGTATGTCATGTGCCGGAAGTACTCCGGATGCTAGAAACCGGTGAGCATTGGGAAAGTTTTCAGAGACTAAAAACGCCGCGGTAAGAAATGGTCTCATCGGCAATCACTTTATTTCTTGCACAACATTATGTTTTCTCATTACTATTCAGCATTAACACTTACACGTTACAAACTAATAATTGCAAAGACTCTATATGTAACACATAACAGATTTTGGTATATTCTTCATTTTTTGGGGGGGGGGGACGAAAAGATGTACAACGTATGAACAACATGTAAGACAATAGTGCGCATTCTTAAATTGGATGGAAATTCTAATTGGATCGAAATTCTTATATATTTTTAAGGGACGTTTTGGCAAGAGGGTGTAACTGACATATGTAAGGTTTCAGAAAATATTTTATACTGGAAAGTTAAGCCCAATGTCATCATCAACTTAAGTCCTCTGTCTATTGATGCTGTACAAACAAAGCGTTTAAAAGCGCGATATGCAAATCTTCCACATGTCATCTCTGGCAAATTAGTATATCTTTAATAAGTGCAGGGTTTACTTTTCCTGCACCTATTGCAGTGAAAACACAACACTTTTTCTCATTTCGTATTGAATCGTCGAAAGATGCATTTCTAGATGCCACTGTTGCAAGATTTGATATCTTGGGAATTTTAAGCTTTTAAACATTTTTGGACTTCTTTCGACCTACAAGTTTTGAACACTCGAATTATGTTTTTAAGTTAATGACTGCGAATGTTTGTGCGAACGATACACTCTTTTGCCAAAATCTCAGCAAATCCTTCATGTCAATTGGATTGCCTGCCTTCTTCCTTTTTGGGGTTCTTGGTTTCAACCTTTTGCATTAATTCCTGTGTTGCCTTTTTGGTTACATTTTTGTCTTCAACAATGTATATTGATATTAATATATAAGCTTTATAAAATGTACATAAAAGTAAATTTGAAGTAGGTGTAGTTTAACAGAAATTCTGTACAGGAAACTTTAACAAGCCAGCTCTAATTTTTGACTAATATAGAAGTTTGGAGCAAGACACGTGTTACTCGGTTGTATATAGCCAGACCTGTTTTATGTTAAGAAGTGGTATAAGAAAATAATAGACATCGATTTTCAAGAAGATGTGAAAACTCCAAAATTGCTTGTATGAAAGTGTGCTTGTAAAAAGAGTCTGCGATCAAATTTTGGAATTTAATTTTTGCCTCGAAACCGAGAATCTCGCTCCCTTCTTGTGCTGAATTCCGCAATGTCCAATACAGTGGCTTAGTACTAGCCTTGGTTTTCCTGAGTAGGAATTTATCTAATGGGGTTGCGATAAGGAAAACAAGCTCTTTCGAAGACTTGTTGAATGAAGTCGGTCGGATAGGTGGCGTAACATATGAGAGTACAGATTGAGACCACTGAACCAATGGTTCGGTCCTTGGTCAATCAATAGGCAATCTGGTCTTGTGTTTCCCAGATTGTACTCATCCATTTCATAGTGCTAGGTCCTTCAGCCTGCCATAGCTCAGTGCTGTGATCCGAGGGAATGCATACATGACTCACAATGTAAGCCATGTTTATCGGCCTTACGATACTGAGGGGATTTCCGCCTTACATTGGATCGATATCACCCCCTACGTAAATGTTTTCCTTCACCGAGAAACGTGTTTTTCTTCGCGGCAATGGGAAATGGACCAGTGCTGTGCTATGGCTTGTTGATCCATTTTGTGCGCTTGAGCCTAACGGGTTAAAAAAAGAGCTTGTTTTTCCCCCACAGGTTTGGACATGATAAGGGTGGAATTATTGATGGTGCAATGATAATTCCATATAATTGAATGGGGAGAGCAGATTGCATGAGTTGCTCTTAGATTGTATTGATATCGATGCAGAGTTAAAGTTGTGCATTTAAGAACAAGAGCAGTGGATAGCATAACGCTCAAGTAACTTTTACATGCAGACTGTTTAAATTCGGCAAATTCCAAGTCAACAGTGACCTGAGAAGATCCATTTTAATTAAAGATGATAGTAAAAATTAAAGATTATAGTAAAAACAGTGGAACATTGTTAGAATATCTGCTGAGATATTCTGTATTGAAATAATATTTCAGACACTTCAGTGATCACAATTGCGTAATTACAACTCATCATGTAGGCCTACTACTTAATTATGTCCATACTGATCATTAAAGTGTGCTATTTTGTCAAGCCCACGAACTGTCCAATCACCGAGCTGCAAACGTTAATGGCGCGTAATTTGCATAAGAAGGCGGAGTCAAAGTGCGCAATAGAAGTTGGAACGAGGACGACAAAAAGGGAAATGGGGACTTGACCTCAGCTCTTGATAACTGTTGAAGTGCTTCAGCAACTAATAGTTGTCAAGAATCTGTGTACACAATCTTGTTATCTTGTTCAATAGGCCCTATTATGTTGTCACACACCGGGTTTTTTTTTACCGTATATCTGGAGATGTATATGCTTCATTTACAACATCAGTGACAAAGATATTATGTAGTTGCTCTTCTTCCAAATTGTTGAAGGATTAGAGAAACTGCGATGCAATTTCATTAACGGGAAACATTTGCATAATATAATGCATAAATGTTTACTGCGTGACAATAAACCAATCCAAGCTGACCTTACAAATCCCTGGATTTATATCAAACCTATAGGGTTTAGGGCTGAGGGGAAACAAGTAGTTTGCGTCTCTAAAATCCCTGTTAATGTGAGAGAAATATATGACGGGAAATGATGAGCAAATAACAAGTAAGCAGTTTACAGGTATAATGCTCTTGGTTAATGACACGTATTATTGTCAACTTTGGTAGTGTAGGCCTATCTTGATAATAAGTAATTCCTCACTGCTCCGCCTCGAAGCAGATAATTATTGTGACCGTGCCAGAGAGCATGTTGTGATAATAGATTCGCTGGTCCCCACCGCCCTATCCAAGGAGCTGGGTACCACCAACCACTTTCAACTGTGGCCGTGTGCGAATTACTTGGCTGCGGCTGCTGCCACTTCCCATAGACCCGTGTGTAATTTCAAGCAGTGTAGCGAAGTAATTCGGACACGTCCTCTCATTAGACGGACGGTTTAAAAAGGAATATACATCATTTGCTTTTGCTGTAATTTTCAGAAATGGATGGAATTGGGGGGTTGGAAACATATAGCAAATATAGTTACACTGACTTTTTTGAGGTTTTGGGTTCGAAAATGCTATAAAAACCAAGAAAAACAATCATTTTCCTGTAGTCTGGTTCCCTGACTCCATATAAGAAGAAACAGAGCAGTTTACATACATTGGGGAATTGTAAGGTCCGGGAGCCAGTCTAGCTGGCTTGTACCCGTCCATAGGTGTGTAATCGATTGCAAACAAGTGCGATGGTCAATTGGGGCCAGTATTTGAGAAAAAAACCAGTTTTTTTCCAACGCTGGTCGGCCGACCAGCGTTGGAAATTGATACAAAAATACCACTTTTCTTGAAAATGACAGTATACCAGGTGCCATGATTTTACAGGATGCTTTACACTGTCATTCACTAACAGTCCAGCAAGGTATTTCAAAATGATTTGGTAGTTTTATTTTTTGATGTTTGCAAATGTTGTATTTTCCCTTTCCGATGACCTGGGTCAACTTTTTGAGTTCTTATTGGACGAATTTTAGTTGTCATGGTGACCCAGTTCAACGCTTCCGTGTGCGCATGACGCGTGCCCACGGAATGTACGCACAGCAAGTGCCCAACCAACAATGCTTTGCGAATCTGCGTTTCCTTCATAATATTTCATGAAAACGGATTAGCGTTCACCAGCGCCCCCTGGATAGGCGGTGGGGACGAGGGAGCGTTTTTTTTAGTGTGGAAAACCGCGTAAAATGTTGCACAATAATTTGCATAATTGCCTCCCCCCCCAAAAAAAAATGTTTAAAGACAGAAGCTTAATGGAATCGGATCTAAAGAAAAAAGGATTTTTTCTATATCTTCCTTTGCCAGTTTTGTTATACATACTTTTCATGGCAGTTTGAATTAAAACTTTATAGGAGGTAACATGAAAGCTCATATGCGTCGTAGTTAAATAAATGGGATAATGCTGGGTTTGGGGCTTATGATGAACAACTGTCAATATTCTTAATGATTTGTAATTGTGTTTTCAAAATAATCATTAGTTGCATTAACACAGACTAGTAAGAAACTTTCACATTCGTATATAGGCCTAACCAAATGTTGTCAGCTTTCCCCTTTCTTTACAGTTTAAAAAACAGAAAATGGATTTAAAAAGACTGGTCAAACAGTAGTCAGTGATCATTTGACTAAAAGGCTTCACTTCTGTTGCTTCCTTCTAGCCGCTTGGTATTGTAAATTATGTCTTCATACTGATTTGCATAAATGTGCATTAAGAGGCAGATATCAAAATGTTACTTTGTATCACGTGCACATAAAATGATTATAAACACTACCTGTATACCTTTATTTCCGTGGTAATTAGTCTGTGGCTATTTTGTCTCTCCCAGAGTGTGATTCGAGCGGTAATCTGATCCCTCCTGCGTTCCATTAATTGGCTATGAACGTTTCATGAAGAGATCGTTGTGGGGGACGGTGGGCTGTAATCCAGGGGTTGATCCCAGCGTAGGGCCCGGCGAATCCACACCGTCTCATTTCGTTGGCGCTCAGTTCGCCCGAGCCCATAGTCAGTCGCTTCCGTAGACTTGATCCCCTGTCTGTGCTTACGATGACGGGTCGGTACTTTCATCTCGCAGCACTGCAGGACATCCCAAGCACTTTACCATCGCCGTGGCATTAGTGTCTCTTTCTTCCCCTAAAACCAGGTTCCTCTTTCCCTCATCTTCACCGAACTATATTTTTTATTTTTCTCCCAAAGTTTTCCCTCCGGCTTACTGTGTCATGTATAGTCCACAACGCGGGGATCGTGCTTAGATTTTTTTTTTCTGAGAGTGTCGGTGCGATGTCTTTCATGTAAGTGATCAACCACAATAATGACCACTTAATGATAACATGTAGATGGCCTTAAAAAAAATCCCCATAATTCTGCCACTCTGAGCGTTTTATTTCATTAAAGTATGATTTGACCTGGCGGCGTGTCCTCAATCCCATGGACAGGCACAAATATATAAACTTTCTTGGGGATAACTTTTCCAAAGTACGTTGAGTCTGCAGAGGCTTACAAACTAATGAGAATTCGATATCCCTGTTAAATTAAGCAAAATTGTATCTTCTGGTATAGAGGGATTGCATTCAGCAGCCATCTTGGAGGTGTGTTTTGTTTTGTTAATTCATTAACAATGAATGCGCAAGAGGTCTACGCATGCGCATCCTCATTGAACAAAGGCACACAACTCAAAGATGGCCGCAGTGCAAACGATCTATTCACTTCAACGCAAGAACTGTTTTACCCATTTACAGAGATTTATTTCTAACTATAACGATTTTTTTTGGTATAGGTAGATGAGATAACTAGTACATCCGCTTTAAGTTTTTGACCTTGGCCTACCAAACTCTGTCCATGATTTACGGGGGGGGGGGGGGGGGAGGTTACAAATGGATGATGTTGTATTCACAGTCATACACATAGTTTTAACTGTGTGTCTTATAACGATTGCCTTGTATACGATGACGTTCCTCGTGTCTGTGGGGAAAATACACTTTGTTTCCGAGATCAAAATATGATTCTTATGTACTTGTGGGTTGTCTTGATTTGAAGAAAAAAGCCACACTCAAACCTTGGTCGCTAATCAGGCATTTTACAGATTCCGTGCCCTGGGTGTCTCGACCAGAAAAATCCTTGCGTCATGCGCCCTCCCCTTCCAAGATCCGGAGAAAAAAAATCAACGGTAAGTTATTTTACTGGATATCTGTCCTCCCATCCTGTGGGCCAAACTTCCTCCCTCTTCCTGTGCCCAGGGCCACGCCTCCTCCCCTTCCTGTCCCATGCAGCACACATGCGCGCCACGCCTCCCAGCACACTGGGGCGCCATCACAGTGCTTAAAGGTGCAGTGGCCAGCCAAATTGTACTTGTAATACTTTATTCACTCGAAGAAAAACATTTGATGAGTAAGTTCTTGTGCATAGGCCTACTAAAAATGAAAATACATTTCAGACCTCTCCCCCTTTTTTTTGGAAATCCAATTATTTTACAGACTCCAGTAGCCTATAAAGTCACTGCTTCATTAACTCGAAGTAAAACTTTTTTATGGCGCCTAAGTTGTGCGTACTTAAAAGAAAATAAATGGACAATTTTTCTTGAGATTCAATTATTTTAGAGTCTGAGTAGTCAACGAATTTTGAGAAAAACCTTGTACATGTTATCGCTTTTGAATTGGACAATTAAGAACTGGTACTCTGCATTTTGGCTGGTGCTCATTTCACATCTGCCACCATGTCAGTTGAACACCGAAAACTTCAAACTTGTTAAATTCATACTGTTTAAAGTGATCGTTGCTCAACACTTTGTTACTTGTATAATATTTTCCTCTTCATGTTACTACCTTGATATATTTGAGTGTATCTATAATTGGGTTTTACTTTTCATTTTGTGTCTGTGAACAATCTGTCCTTGATGAAGTGACTAGAGACACATGTCGGGCTGATTGTGTTTCTCCCCTACAAGTCTTCGCAGGTGTATTTTCGAGGCCCGTGTGTTTTTCATGCCCCGCCGTTCCCCAAACCTCTTCCCTTTCTTTAGTTTATTTCAGTGCCCGGCACAAAAGCATTCTTTTATCCCCAGGCAGGTATTAGTCATGTAGGCGGGAGAGAAAGGGGGGTATTGTGGGACAAGTGAAAGAAATTTCAAACGGGACCCCCGCAGTCAGCGGTGTCCAGGCAACTTGTTTGGATTAGACGGCTAACCCCGAGGCAACGCCCCAGGCTTGCGCTGGCTCGTACACAGCTTTCCAAAAAAAAATTACCATTAAGCGTCCTTGCCTGGCGGCTGCAAACCAGCTGGCTGATCAAAAACCTAAATCATGTCTGCAAAGACCGCCATATTCATCCATCATCTTTTCTTAACTGACTGCCCGGCCAAATTAACAAGTTTGTTTAGTACAAAAAGTTCCCTTTTCAACACAAAACAGCTTCTCTTCCCTGGGGTGTTTTTTTTTCGCGAATGTGTTTAAAATGTAACAAGGAAGTTTAGTAAGTAATGTGCACAGCAACGTGGATCCGATTTTGAAACAAAAACCAAATAACTCCATAGCCATAACCAATGAATTAAGAAAGTTAAGGGAGACTTGGACCATGCTTGGACAGCCAGAAAGGCCCGCTTGGCAAACAGCCACTCATCACACAGATGAATCAAAGAGTTGTCATCCACACAAAATAAAAAAAGAATAGTCGGCTGCAAAAAAGCGCCCGAGTGTAGCGGCCAGTCCAGGTTGTTGGCAAGGGCCCCTCTCCATCTGCAAAGCCGGTCGGATGATGAAGTTTACCTGAGGCTGTCACGTACCGGCTTAAGATGAGTTGGCGGAATGGCCTGCGGCTGCTTTTTTCCCCCCATACCAGGCTGGCCATTAATTTGACCGTATCAGGAATGCCAGGGGGCGGATACAAAGACTATTCCGATTTGCAGAAAGGGAGATCCGAGTAGTATAGAGCCCCGCCGCGGTTTTAGCCCGCATCAAATATAATATGAGAAAAAGATTTACCAAGATTCGATATCCTCTTGATCTGTGGAATATCATCCCCAAGAAAAGATTTGTTTTAAAATCGTAAGACGAATCTCTGTTACTTTTCCATTTTTTTTTTGGTGGCATTTCCCGAGACGGTTTAGAAATAACTCGACAAGCGCCGCCGCGCCGTTGCGACTGAAGTTACAGTATAAATATCAAACCATTCTCTGTGAAGCGTCAAGAGGCGGGAACCCGACAATAGGATCAGGTTCACCCAGGGAGTGGAAATTGAAAGAGGTCGCCTGCGTCAAACAATTCATCAATTTATTGAAAAGAGCTTGTTACCATGACAACGGTCATGGATCGGCTTTATCTAGTTATCCCTTTCATGGAGTCATATTAATATTACGTCCATTGGATGACTGTCTCCTGTTTTTTAAACAGTTGTTTAGATCAAGGACTCTGTTCAAATACTTCACCCTTCACATGATGGTAGGGCCTAAATGGAGCAAGACCGATATCGGGCAAGAAAATCTACACTAGTCCAGCCAAGGCATGGAGGGGGGAAAAGAGAGTAATCAGTATCACCACATTTCTCTCCCTTGCCGCCTCTGGCGCTCGTCTGCGCTAGCCCCGCGATCTAACTATACACCATATACAGGCTCAGGCTAAACTCCGAGGAGATATGCCCTGGCAAGGCCTCGCTCGGTTACTGAACCCGGGCCGTGCCGCTAGCAACCCCCGGGCCAGGACGACCCAGATTCGGCGTACCCGCTCAAATGCACGGCCCGGCTAAGGCTTGTTATTTTCTCCGGAGCGGCAAGAAACATACCCCGAGATCCGTGGGATAAAAAAGAGAGAGAGAAAGACATAAAAGTTCCTGGCAAGTTTTGATGTTAATCCGCGGCATGTTTTCGACCTGAATATTAAAACGTTGACATAATATCAAGTGACTAGAAAGTCACTTCTTGAGTTGCACTCGTTGGAAAAATATTTACCAGTGGAACAGAACTCTTGTCAGTTGTGTGAGAAAATACCAAATGATTTATTTCCAACCTTCAAAACTGCACACAGTTTAACATAAATACTTATTGTTTCAGCTAGTTGTCACTAGCACTACCAAAAACTCTGTACAGCTGAGCAATTTTATTTATGTCATTGTCAGCAGTAAGTTTCAATTCGTAGTTTGCGTTTTCACACTAATGATGCCGACTAATGATGCCGACTAGGATGCCAACGATAATTCGTGCAATGACAATGACGAAATGGCCAAGACATTATTAATGATGAAAAATGACGTTGACAATGGACATGCTGACAAAACGACACCACGACAACTGTGACAACCGTTGGGACACTATATACCCGAGGAGAGACAGTCTGGCCAAAAAGTTATGTGAGTAAAGACAAATTTTGGCTACGTCAAAAGGGACAACATTTACAGTGATGATATGAAATGATATTTTAATGAAATGTAATTCCCAAATTTCATTTTAATAAGACTCTATACACACCAGCCTTCTACTGCAACCCGGCTAGAAACGAGAGGATGTTTCCTCCCTCCGAGCCCGGGAAGATAAACGAGATTTAATGATTTAATTGCATCTGACGACAACTTGTCAGAAACATTTTGCAGTTTGCAAAAGAGAGTCACGACAGGTTTAATTGGAATCACTTTGCACGTGTCGGCCAGGATCAATGGGACGGTTGACAATGAAGAATGGTGCAGCCCCCGTGCTCTGAGCATGGATGACGCCCTCAGGGATGAAATGGGGGATCTCTACCTCAATGCTAAATCAGCAACTAAAATAAGTCAGCCTGCAGTTTTTTTTCTGTTGATGATAAATTTGACGGAGATTCCCAAGACGGAATAAACAAGGCAATGGAAGATTGCTGCCGGAGACAGTCCAGCACAACAGAGGATGGATTGGGAGGAGGAATTATGTGGAGGATGTGGAGACTATCTTGCTTGCTGATTAGTATTGGCCTGTTAATTAGGGAATTCCTCTCAAAATTGATGATTAGATCCGGATAATCTTTAAAATTATCTCGATGAGAGGTGCTTAATAGGAAAAAAAGATAAGTGTAAGAAGAAGATTAGAAATTATGATAATGCTGTTATAGAATAATGATTGCGATGTTGATGATCATGATGGTGATGGTGTTAATGTTGGTGAGATTGCTAGTGGTGATATTAATGTCAAGGGTGGGGATAATACTGATGATGGTGGTGGTGAGTAGGATGATCTTGCCATCAGGGCGGGGATGCTGGTGATGTTAATGTTAATGTATCTGTAAAATACTGTGCAAACTCCGTGATAGGATGTCCCGCAAGGAATATTCATATATCTTATACACAGTGTTGATGGTGGTGATATGTTGGTGGTTTAAACGACGGATTGTTCAGGGGAGAGCTATTTCAGGTTCAAGGGTGTGTGTGTGTGGGGGGGGGGGGGGAGCCCATGGGGATTGATGAATGTTATAAGATGTGCGCCCTACTTGGGGGTCCGCCCCCCCCCTCCCCCGAAAGGAACAATGATTTGTCCTGCATTCTAAGGCAATTAATGAATACATTTAGAAAATTTACAATTCCATTTATTATTTTTGGCCCCTTTGCTGGGATGATAATCGCGGCGTTGGTCAGACGATGGTGGTAGTGTGCATGGGCCTAGTGTGTGACGCCCTCTACTTACTTTAAATCTCGCGCGAAAAAAATATTAAATACTTGAGGGCGCTCGTCGACCGGAAGTGAATTCATCACAGCTAAAACTCGAATTCTGCGCGCAGAGTGCTGTGTCATTGTTGGTGTTTACCTTGCCTACTGCTGATCAAGACCTTGTGGTATGAGAACAACCAAAATGTCAGTTTTACTTCAAAGGAGAATGACTTTATTCATGAAAGCCGCATTGTTTGTTTGCTTCGTGCAAGTTTTTCTTGGAGCAACATTAGCTCAGCCCGCAGCGGACGAAGTGACGGCGCTGCCTGGTTTATCCGGTCCGCTCAGCTCCAAACAATATTCTGGATATCTGCAGGCGTCGGGCACAATCAAACTGCACTATTGGTAAGGTAGTAAGGAGATGTTAAGCCATGCACATAACTTTTACCTAGTAACACTAAACAGATTAGCCCCATCAATGTGGCCAATTTTCTGGACTAGGCCTACCGTACCTCTGTAAATAAAGCGGAGGCTCAGGTAGTACAGAAAATTTGCCACATGCACATTTATGGGGCTATAAACAGATGACTTACATTTTACTCAATTTTTAATTTTTTTTCTTCAAATTCTACGTAAAAACAATTTGAAAAAAAAAATACAAAAAAATGAGTAAAAATTAAATGATTAATTTGAGTGTTTTCTTTTAAGTTTTATAGGAAGTGTATATTTAGCTGGTAGATTTAGCCAGCTTTCTTTCAGTTGACGATATTAAGCCAGCTAGATTGTACAGCGCCCTCTTTGACGCGTATACGAGTAGAACTACATTAACCCTCCTATGGAAACATGCATTGTTAGCCTGGTTATTACTTGGGTAAATATTGGTCAAGACCCCCATTGGTTTGTACACAATATGCCAGGAGGTGAGATACAAACATTTTGACCATTGGTGACCTCTTAAATAGTAGGAGGGTTAAAAGGTATTAAATTACCACCAGCGTTTGTGTAGCACATGTGGCCGAGTGGATAGGGCCTGTATCTCATGAGAGAGATCCCTAGTTCAATTCCAGGCTAGGAACACTTTAAAAAAAAAAATTTCATCCCAAATTGTTTGAAAATTCTTCTTTTATTATTTTAAATTGACTCCAACATTTAATTACAGAGTAATACATTTCGTCGTGTCAGTGCAAAAACGTCGTAACTGCCAAATTTGTCAAATTTTGTGTGAAATTTTGTAAGATTCACCCATAGAATTTCATTGAAAAAATGTTGCTTGCGTCATGATGACATAATTTATTAAAGTCATATCGAGGTCGTATCTCGATTATGAGCAATTGCGTGCAAACAAAAATGTACATCTCAACGCGTTTATATGCACCGGCTAAATATCCACTGCCTTTATTTTAAGCTTCCTTCTTGAGATATATCAGTTTTCCTTGTTTTTGATCAGTTAAATTCTGGTTTCTTATAATTCATCACTGATTAAAATCATTTTTTGGGAAAAAAAAAATCCTATTTTTGGCAAAATAAATTGAGGGTCATTTTAATCATTTAAATCAACTGATTCCACTTGATTAAATAGTGTAAGATGTTGATAACACATTTAAACACCCCTATTTCATCAGCATCGACTCAACTTACGTACATAGGTTTTGCATAATTACCCACAGTCATAGTTTTGATTGAAGTCAAGATCTCAGTCTCAATGTTTTTCTTCAATGATTTTTTTCAGTCAGCACACTCACTTTTGTTTAATCATTCCATGATCTGTTTACACTAATAATATGAATCAGCTTTGCTGGTGTATGCTTACCTAAACCATTTAAATGTGTATTAAAATCCCAATTTATAGTCTCAACTTTGCTGGTAATGGCTTGACTAAGGCCAAAACAAAATAGTTCTGCTTCCAATTACATGGCATTTGAAAGTAGGGTAGGTAGGGCAAATTTTGGGCAAATTTGTTTTGTATACGATCATTTTTTTCCTCATTTCCCCCCCCCCCATTTTTTTTGTTAGGGCATGTCAAAATAGGGTAGGTAGGGTAACCGTAAGCAGAACTATTTTTTTTAGCCTAAACCATCTAAATGTGCATTAAATCCTAATTTATAGTCTCACTCATTCCTAACTCTTCTCCATACAAATTTAGGTTTAGCTTTGTGTAGTACCTATAAAGGTGCAGGGCCTGCACCTTGTTTGAAGAACCATCATTCAAAAATTCTCTCTATAAGTTTCACAAGGATCAGGGCATAAAATCAGAAGCATTTTTATGAAATGCATGTGCCCAGGGAGAACTGTACTCGTTATATATAATATAAAAAAATAGGCATTAAAGCCAAAAAAAAAAAGTCTCCGGTTTCTGGTATGCGCGCGCGTCGCCGAAGCCATGCGCGTCGGCAAAATGGAAAAGTTTTTTTTCAATGAAAGATGATGTCTCAAAACCGCCAAACTCACTGGTTTGACTGGAATCCTGCTGCTGCACAATTTTAACGTGTTTTTAGATTCAGTTATGGTCGAGAATAAGCTTTATGTGGCCTCTCTGGACTCCCATATATTTGCACTAAGTTTAGTCGGGCACCATTTGCAGTCATCAGCCGACATTTGAAGCCAAAAAAAAAAAAAAAAAGCCGCGTCGCCGCACCACTTTTTGGGCAAGCTCCATACCAGAAACTGGAGACTTTTTTTTTTTGGCCTAAGGCATTTGTTTCAATGTTAATGGGGAATATTTGTCAGGAAATTTTTGAATACTGAATTGAGTTTTGTGGATGATGGGTATTATAGAAACCTGAAAACTGCTTGTTCATGGTTGTAAAGGTGCATGAGAAGATGTACATGTAGACACATTTTGAGACAAATCATTCATTTGAAAGTTAAAATCTGATTTATAAAAAAATTGATTTAAATTTTTTTTTTTTTTTTTAAATAGCCAACCCTGATTAATCACCATATATTATAGTTGCTCTCCCCGTACTATTTTTGAGTTTCACCTCAAACTATATTTTGTTTTTTAAATTTATATTTTTCTAGCAATATGAAAGCTGTTCACGTTTGGTGTTTAGTTATGGAATCGACAGTAATACAGGAGTGTCTGTTTGAGTGCAAAAGCATTGCAATCAGAGTGTTGAAAGCTCCAAAATAGATAGAACAAAATTAGCTTTTTCTGCTTCAATAAAGCAAACTAATTGGAAAACTCTTGAATAAACCACAAAGGGAAACTGACTATGGGCATTATAATCATTTTTTTCAAGTTAAACAAAGAAATTGAACTGAGGTTGAATCTGCGGGGTTGAACCTCTGGCTTTATCTTCTGGATATGAATATGAGTATTAATGTATTTGTATACTCTTCAGTTTGCACAATTTGACAAAAATGTCTTTGATAAAGCACTTGAACTAATGACATATTCTGAATAGCAATGACAAGCAAAGAAATTGTTTATAGATTTCTGCCATTTTTTTTAATGAAATGTGTTAATAATCTAATAAAAACACTTTTGTTTCAACACATGTACGATGCTTTTCCCAGGTTTGTTGAATCGCAAGGTAACCCGGTTGACGACCCTGTACTTCTGTGGTTGAATGGAGGTCCTTCCTGTAGCTCTATCATGGGCTACCTCACAGAACTTGGGCCATATTGGGTAAGTGCACCTTGTATTCCCCGTTCAGAACCCTCACCCCTATACACACATACCCATAGCTATACCACCCTACCTCTTCTCCGTACACAATTTCTTAAGTTAGCTCCATCCTACCCTCTCCTCTTTGACACCCAAGCCTCACCTCTACCCTAGCCCCTTGTCCACCTGTACCCCAACCCACCACCACCAACCCTACTACTACTACATGCACCCCGTTACTGCCCCCACCTCTATTTTCACATTTTTTTTGTAATTTAACAATTATTTAAAGTCACATAGAAACCCGAAAACAGACCAACTAATTAAGTGAGAAAAATCTTGCTCAAAGTGAATGAAAGAATGACCAGTACCAAATATCCTGTGAAATTATTCTGCCTGAAATGGTGTCATTTAGAGAACAAAAATAGAACGGGGTTTTAAAAACATGTGCCCATGGGCACACTTTTTTGTATATGCATTAGCAGTTGAATCCAGTTACTGGACCAACAACATATATATTTTCTCTGTTTTCGCAAAATGTAGGCACATAAGTAGCCACTGATAGCCACTGAGCTAAAACTTCAATAGGTGAGGTGTTACGCATCTTACTTGAGATTTGGAAATTTTGTTGCTTCAAATGAAAAATAATGCTCAAAAAGCAAATGATTCTACATACCTCTAAGATTCATGAAAATCCCTGTATCAAATCTGTTAGTTATAGTCAACCTTGTTATGGCCATACTTTAACTGTGTAAGTTCCATTGTGATTTTTGTAGGTCAACAGTGATGGGAAAACTCTCTCTGCCAATGATTTCAGTTGGACCAAAGTGGCCAGTGTCATCTTTCTGGAATCACCGGCTGGTGTAGGCTATTCCTATGCAGGTAGCCCAGATTACACTACCAATGATGATAAGGTGAACTTTCTAGGATTTATAGATTCCTCTAAATATGTCAAGATGCCCAAATACTCTCAATCCTTTATCAGGTTTTGCATAATAATGGATTCAGGACTGGACGACCAATATCTGCTTTTACTTAACATGTAACATGGGATTACATGTTACATGTTGTAATGGCCTGATCACTACTGCCAAATCCCATGATGCATTGTTCATAACAGATCAATCAATTGGGCTCCGCCCACTGCACATGCCAAAAACAAGTGCCCCTCTGCAGTGCCACACCTCATGCGTATGTCAGATGCAAGAGCACGCATGTTCAACCTTAGTGCACGCATTTCAGGCATTAATCAAGGCTGTGATTGGTCAAAAGTTTTATAGGGTACGTACCTGTAGGGTGGGGCTTAATGAGTGGATTGGTTTATTGCTGTGACTGCCGTTTAATTTCTGACAAATGTCTTACATGCATGCACTACGAATGATGCAAGCATCTTAAACATTCAGAGTGGCATTGGGGAGACATATGAATACAGTGAAATCTCGATATGTCAAACTCTGATAACTCAAAACAACTGTTTGGTCAGACAAAGAATCCATTGCCTCCAGTATTATAACAATGATATACAAGCCTGCTTAGCTCAAAACTCTGATGAAGTCAAATTTTGAACCTGTTCCCTTGAGGTTTGACTGATCGAGATTTCACTGTATATGCGTTGTTGCCTGATATGGCCAAATCCAGATAGATCCATTTTCTTGATGCACAAAAATTGATCTTTGATCCCGGGAAGTAAATGTTTGATTTTGTGAGGATAAAAGCAGCATGCACTATAAAAAAATATATCTGTGGATACCGTACCTTTTGAAAAGCAAAAAAAAAGGGAAAAACCTAATTTTTCAATTTGTTTTTCAAAACATGTAATTCCACCAGAACACCACTAAACTCTGTTTGATAACATGCACCAATAAAGCTAATGTTTTCATATTTGTAGTTTTTCTTTCTCATCTTTTCTTTAGACTGCTGAGAACAATTTGTTGGCCCTCTTGGATTTCTTCAAGAAATTCCCCAACTTGGTCAAGAATGATTTCTACATCAGTGGAGAGAGCTATGCTGGAATTTACATACCAACTCTGGCTGTGAAAATCATGGAGCAAAAAGCAAACATCAATTTTAAGGTTTGCTTATTCAATAAAAGTAGCAAAAGAATCCATAAATATAAGTATCTTAATTCTTACATGTAAATATCCAACTCTTAATTGTTAATGAGGCTCATAAAACTTTGTCATGTGACGAGAATAGCTACTGGTCTCAACACCAGTGGTCACGTCACCATGATCATGTGACCATCTTCTTAATGAATAACTCTATCAAAACTTTTGTGAAAATGTCTTGATGATTGCCTTGTGACAAATGATTGATCTTTTTTTTCTAATTACAGGGATTTGCTATTGGCAATGGTGCTTTAGACATTCACTTGCTTGTTGAGACCTCATATCAGTATGCCTACTACCATGGCATCATCGGTGACAGGTTAGTGTTGCCATTATACAACGCCTGAATAAATCCCATTCATCTGATTGGTGGCACATTAACGTAGTGTCATTGAAATATTTGCCCAATTTACGGCCAGACCACACCGCAAAAATAGAAGTTCCATTCCATGGTAAAAAGTACTTCCATTGCATGGTCACTTTATTACCAATCAGGTGACGAGGATTTATTCAGGTTTTGTATAAAACAAATAATGAATGTTTCACATACGTGCAGTGGTAAGAATAATTTCATGAGGTGGCAGATGGAATGTTCCATTCCACGAGGCAAACATTCCATCTGTCACCTCATGAAATTATTCTTACCATTGTACCCATAAACATTCATTATGTGTAAAGTTCTGGTATATAGCTTAAAAGCTGTGTGAGGATGTATATGTGCATGAAATTTCGGAACATGGTTTTAATATATTTTTTTTAAAATTTTTGTCCCGGTTGACAGGCTGTGGAAGCAATTACAGTTGAGCTGTTGTAAGGACGGATCTTGTCAGTATATTGGCAGTACAAATCCAGCATGTGTTGATGCGGTAAGTTGAACAAAAATGAGCTGAATGTGTCTATGGGGATTAAGCAGGTTTCTCCTCAGCAAATGCTGGCACCCATTTATACTCCTGGGTGAAGAGATGCAAGTGGGGACAAAGTGGATTGCCCAAGGACACAACATATGGCCAGCAGCTAGATTCGAACCCCTGACCCTCTGATCATGAGTCACAAACACTAACCACTACACCACACTCCCCAACAATGATGTGTAGAGTGAAACAATACAAGAACTGACCCACCCAAATCACCCACAACTTTGATTAGCCAGTATGTGTATTTTCACCTGTGTGATATCAGAAACAGAGGTTTTGTTTTCACAATTTTGCTCTTTTGAATGAAGAAACCATCTAAATTTGTAACTAACCTTTTTCTTTTCTTCTTTCTAATGTGTAGCAAAAAGAGGCTCAATATTTTCTAAAGCACATTGGCCTGAACCCCTATGACGTGACAGGTGATTGCAAAGGGAGTTACTCCAGTGAAATGAACAGCTTCTCCATGCTGAACTTCCTGGGTTCTTGGGTATGTAGCATTGTCAGGTTATACTTGTATATTCTTGAAAGATTTAAGATAGGACAAAGCCATAAATAAAGTTTGCCAATTGTTTTGTTATATTAATTTGAATGATGACATGCATGTTGATCGTGTCCATATGAAGAAAAAAAATGAAAAGAAGACCAACTTTAGCTGGCCTCTGACCAGTTTGGTCTGAGGGGTCTAGGTTGGGCAAAATTGAGGCTAGGGGAAGGGAGTCAGTCAATCATTCAGTCAGTCCGGGAGTCAGGAGGGGGGCATTTGTGGAGTCGGTCAGTCAGTCAGGGAGTCGGGGGGGGGGGGGGGGTCAGTCAGTCAGTCGGGGAGTCTGGGGGGGGGTGGGGGGTGGGGGAGCAGTCGGGAAGTCAGTCAGTCATTCAGTCGCATACAAAGAGGACTGTAGTCTGGCCCTCTGGGTGCAGACCTGCAAATTGACTCCCATAGGCTACAGTAGTAATTACGCGTACTTCTATCAATTATTAAAAATACTCACAACTCTCCAAAGTGTTTGACACACCTATCAAATGAAAGCTTATTTCATAATATTTCATTTCTGTAAAATTTTTGTTCCGTTATCTTATAACTTTGGGGAGAAAATTCCATCCAAAGATGATCACCCCGAAAAGTAGTCCTGTGGCTCATCGCCATTTTGAAAAATGATGCCTGTGCCCCATTGCAAAATAGTGCATAGGAAGCGCAAATTCACGAGAATTTTTACAGAAATATGAGCTGACACTCATGTGCACGGCTTTCACCCATCTTTTTTACAAACCTTCAAGTTCATGGCCCAAAAATGCTCTAATAACAAAGAATTTGAGGGTGCACAAATTGTGATTTGGCCCGCGTAGGCAATTCTGGACTCATTTACAGGGGTGCACCCCTCTGAGACCAGCAGAAAGCAATTTGTAACTTACAACATTGTCAAATGTTTTTTTTTTAACTCAATTCCATGTTGTCAAGTGATGTTCAGTGATGTGCACCAGTCAGTAATGAGGTACACAGAAGTGTGTATTTAAAAAGAAGTGGTGATCTTTAATAAGTGTTCTTGACTTTTGGATTGTGTATTCTGTCTTTCCCAATTTTTATTATATTAACACTAAAGCATATCAATGGTTTGTGAGAAAAAAACCTTGGAATTAAGCATCTCAAACCATTTCTCATCCTCGATTCTCTGTGTTTGCCATCTGTACCTCATTCATTTTTATTAATTTTGTTTTGTGTCTGCAGAAAAGCACATCTGGACCACCGGGACTGCACAGTGCATTTCTGCCTTGTATCGATACAACCCAAGGTGACGCCTACATGAATATACCTGAAGTACGGACAGCTCTACACATACCCAGCTCCCTCACCCTAAAGTGGACTAGCTGCAAGTAAGTTGGTCTTTTCTTAATTGATTTGATCTGCAAATGAGTTATCTTCCTTTTGAATGCATGCTCGTCAGCAATAATTCAATGTTGGGCCTTGTTTCACATTTCATGACTGCTGATCACAGAATTCCGCACTTATATTGTGTAATTCAGGGGGAGTGTGATCTAGTGGTTAGGGTTCGTGACTCATAATCAGAGGGTCAGGGGTTCAAATCCAGCTGCATATGTTGTGTCCTTGGGCAAGCCACTGCACCCCACTTGCCTCTCTCCACCCAGGAGTGTAAATGGGTACTGGCATTAGCTGGGGAGTAACCTGCGATGGACTGTCATCCCATCCAGAGGGAATATATTATCAGTCGTTTCATGCTACTGAAACCGGAGATAAACCCGGGCCTGATGGGCTATATTGGCTCGTGAAATGCTTTACTTTACTGTGTCATTATGTGTATTCTGTGCATAAAGGGTAGGCACAGAATACTGACCAAATTGTGTGAGCACAGCCTCTTTAGTAGTCTAGGGGCTAGACGTTGTTATGGTTTGCTGACCAGTAAAGTTGCACAAAGGTCTTGCTGCATCTTTTATTGCACTGGAAGAAATTCGAGAGTTTGCTTCGGAACTACTATAATTTTTTTGAATTGGGTGCTGCATATATTAGGGCAAACAGGTCCATGCGCATTACGCAACCAATAAGAGTTTCCCCAGACGTTCTGACAAGTCCGTGGGCGATATTGGTTGGTCGTGATAGCGCCCTCTCACGACGGTGGGTTATCGCGGCCGCGGGGTTATCGCGTATCAAACCATAACAAGGTCTAGCCCCTAGACTACCTCTTTAGTTACACAGTGTATGCATGTGATCTCTTCTTGATTTTAACAGTTGAGGGGATTGGATTGCATGGGATTATTTAGGTCAAGTCCTCACAACTAAAATCACAAGTCCTTCAATCTCAAGACAAGTCCCAAGCTATTCAAATAAATGACGACAGAGGATTTTCTTTGTCATCGTTCATCCTGTGATCGGTGTGACCTAATTCGTGATTCACTTGTGAAGGACTCGTGATCGACTAGTGACTAGTGATTGAATTATGATTGACTTCTGACTTGTGATATACTTGTGATTCACTTGTGATTCACTTGAGATGGGCTGTGATCTGACTTGTGATGGAATTGTGATGGAATTGTGATTTGATTTGTGATTGACTTGTGACCTGACTCTCGATGCACATGACTACAACTCTGGCAAGGATCTTAGCCGTATCTGAATTACTTGGCTATTCTTAGCAATGTACACATGCGCCGACTTAGCAATGTACACATGCGCCTATGGAAGCGGCTGCATTAAGTCTCCATAGACATGCACATTACTGCCAGCCATAGCCAGTAACTCAAACGTGGCCTTACTTTTGATCCTGTACCCCTTGTCTTTTCAGCCCTGCGTTAGCAGCCAATTACACCAACCAGTACACATCCATGCACAGCCAATTCACAACCCTCCTGCCCAACTACCGAGCGCTGATCTACAACGGTGACGCGGACGACGTCTGCAACTTCCTTGGGGATCAGAAGTTTGCGGCTTCGTTGAATCAGACGGAGTTGGGGGAGCGTAGACCCTGGATGTATGAAGGGCAAGTGGCTGGGTTCGTTAAGGAGTACAAACAGTTGACCTTCATGACCGTCAAGAACGCTGGTCACATGGTGCCTATGAATACCCCCGGGCCTGCCCTGCAAATGATAACAAACTTCTTGAAGGCTCAACCACAGTAACACAGTGGAACATCAACATGATGGTGTCCATGGAAGATTGTTTGGTATAGTGGTCGTTCATTATAACGATTTTCGGTTTCAGGTGCTACAGGAAGTATGTAGTAGGCAGGGCTGCTTAGTGTGGTACAGAAATAACGGGATATTCACATGTCTTTCAGTTTCAAAGAGTCTATTCATCTGAGGAAATAAAGTATTCTATCAATCTATTTTTGTAGGTCTTTTACATGTTATAGATGGAACAGGCCTTGATTTTCTGTAGTGTTGATTTATAAGAGTATAGTTTGTGAGTTGGTTTAGGTACTTACACATGTATGTTTATGAGGTTCTGTATTGTTGCAAAAATTCCCACTAAGAATTCGTAATTTGATATATTTAACCAAAGAATATTCTCTCGTTTTATTAAATTTTAATTTTATAAAGTTCTTTTCTTTTTGTCATAGAAAATATGAAATTAGTTTTATGGTCCATTTTGCCTTCATGGGAAAAAGAGTAAATAAATATAAATTACCACTGTCACTTTTTTATAGGCTTTTATACGTACTAAAATTTATTGCAATTCATGAAATTTACAAAAAAATTAATTAATTGACTTTGTAAAGAAATATACAAAGGTTCCACGTGGTTGGAAAATAGTAAAGTCTAACTAGAAATAAATCTGTTCATTAATAACAAACTTAAAACTACATGTAAAAACAGTTGCTTTGTATTTCTAAAAGCTGTTGCTCTTTATTTGTCCAAATAGAAGCATATACACAGCAAGTACTACAAAAGGAATAATTTGAACAAATTATAAAGTCCATGTTGAATTATAATGCATTCCAATCACATTTGTAATATTCAAGAGATGACCAACTTTTGTTTCCAATTCCACTTCACTTGGACATCGGTAACATAAGAATGAGGCAGAATAAGTTGAACAATGAAAACACTGATGTCACAAGAATGCAGCATTAAGGCAAACAAATCTAAGACCTCACAGTATAAAGAGATCAGTTAAACCCCAAGATTTTGTGTTTGTACATGACTTGCAAAAGTATAACATACAGTTGACTGCCAATAAAAATACTGTACTGATGATAAAAGTTGTACAACAGATCTGAGTACAATTGTGCGTTTTGAAAAAAACTAAAAAAGAAAGAAAAATTAATTTTCAGAATAAAATGTTCACACAGTTTCAGTTTACCTTTTATATAAGATCAAGAGTACATTCAGATGGAATAATTTGTTACAGCTGCATGATTAGATTCAAATTTATGCAAAGAGAAAGGAATGCTACTCAATACATGTATAAGAATTTACCATTTCAATGTTGCATAATTTGTGGACGATCACAGTGCTATACAACAGCATTTCAGATTGTGAAGAGTGGTAAATTGGTTGCACTGCAGTGCACAACAAACTCAACGTAACCATGGCTGGCAAAATCAATGTCAAGTAAGTGTTCCCACTATTCAAAACTTTGCCGGACTCGGCCGGACCTAGCCAAAATGTTTGTTATATCAGAATTTTGTATTAAGAGGAGCATCAGTTCCATTCATTGTGCACATAAATGCACAGTCGGGACCAAGCCTTTATGTTTGTTATAACCAGAATTTGTATTAACAGTGTTTGTACTAAACGAGAGTCGACTGCAGCTACCAGGAAGTCAGAACCAGGAAGTCAGAACCACCCAGGAAGTCTGTGTACTGTGTAATTGCTCACAATAAAACAGCCATATTGCACAAAGACATGTACATTATGCGCCCTCTTACAAAAGCGCAGAATGGAAGAATTTCCTAACAAGGATATTAAGTTGCTAAGAACATGAATGAAGATAAATAATTGCGGAGTTTCAACATGCGCTTTCCTGTTATATGTTGAAATAGTCTGTTATATAAATACTTGGCATGTACATTGGAAGCAATGGACTTCTTTCTGTGGTACACTTCTTGATATTTTTTACCGCGAATTCATCCCGAGAAAGGCACTTTCTAAGGTGACACTTGCCGCCATAAAAGCCTAAAAATCTATTGCCACTCAAATTAATCTCTAGATTTGAAAACAAAGAAATCATGTTTGATGTTCATTTAAGCTCCGTGCAAGAGTTGCTAGATATTGCTTGCAGTGACTTGCATATTAACTTAGGGCTACAAGTTAGTTAGAGACTACAGGAAAAAATAAAGGGCAAGACGGCCTAAAGGCCATTCATAATCGGAACAGACAACATGACTGTGAATTGGTGACGTCACGGCAAGTATTTTGCAGAAACTGAAGACATTCCATTTCTGGTTTTCACCACCAACTTGTTGATGTCAGATTCATTTCATATTTCATAAACAATTGCATTTTGGATTTCAGTATGAACTGGGCTTGAAGATTAATAGCCCACTTTTCATTTGAATTTCTTCATAATGAAGACTATAGTATTACATTAAAACGTCTTTCAGTAGTTCTCACACACCATGAAATACCTTTTTATGATCATCTAAAACTACGCTTAGGTGGATAAATACGCTAAGGTGTATGCATTTTATCTTTGGCTTTCATATCTGAATTGGAAATGGTTATATAAAATAACTGATTAAAAACAATAATTTTATTAGCCAAGTTTATTAAGTTAATTAGCCAAATCGAAAAAAAATAAGTACTTTTAAGCCCGTCCAAAATTGAAAAGAGAAAATTAAAACCTAGTCTTGAAATCAAGTATAGTTCTATGAGTTGTCGATGGGGCTGAAACAAAATCATCTAGCCTTCATCAGAACTGTATACAGACATTTTTGTAATTAAGCTAATGTAATTAAGCATATGTCTCCTGGAATCCCACTCCACACCCACTTCCAATTTTTATACAGAATTTTTGGAGAAAAATCTGAAAAATCAATGCTAAACAAATTAATGCATTCATTAGGTTTTCATTTAGGCTACTAAAAATATGTAGCCTAGAACTGCACCTACTTCAGATAACGGGAAAAAAGTAATTAGGTAAGTAAGAGTTTCAGCGTTGTTTCACAAGCACTCCAGAGTTGCAACAATCAAAATAGTCTTCAAAGTGACTCAAGTCAACATAAACAGACTTTGGTTCCAGAATTGAACTTAATACGTTCCATTGACTAGACTCTGGACTCGTCAGATCTTTATACATGTACATAGTACCTCCTACATGTTTCAAACAATGAACTTTTAGTTTGGTTAACTCCAGACTTTGGAATACTTTGATTCAGTGCAACTCCAGAACATCAGTCTGAAATACACCGATCCATTAAGCCCAGCCTCATAAGTTTTGAACAATCACAAAGGTGATTGATCATTTTTAAATGTGCTCGCACAAAAGTTGACATGTGTGCATATGTGAATGACGCTTGACTGGAACATGCAGTTTGGCATTGGAGGGACGCACGTGTTGTTGCCCCTGTTTACAGTGGGCAGGGCTTAACGGACCGGTCTATTACTGATTGATTACTGTGGCTTGTTACTCAAGAAGTTACTGATCATTTGCAGGGATGCACCAGGCTTGAAACTGGGTACCATGTGGCCAGCGTCTTTCACCGTCATGAACGAGACTTGGTCGTAGTCCTGGACAAAGCCTGCCACCTGGTGATCGTAAATCCAGGGTCGACGATTACCCACCATTTTCCGGTTCAGGGCAGCGACAAACTTCTGGTCTCCGAGGTAGTTGCACATGATGTCTGCATCGCCATTGTAGACCAGGCCACGGTGCTTCGGGAGGAGGGCAATGAATTGATTGTGCATGCTGTTGTACTGGGGTTGGTAGGGGATCTGACTGTGGGGAAGATATGAAATACCAGTTGTGTCACAGCAATACATTTCCTACTGTAAAGTATGCACACATTAAATTAAATATTCATATAATGTGCACAACACACGCATGCAACTGCGAATTTAGAAAAAAAGGAGGAAACTCCAAACCACACAAGACTTTGTACAGTATATTTCAATTTGGCATTCATGAGAAGTAAAAAACGAGGAAATCACCACATCCAAGGAAAAGTTGCATGCCTGACAACAGGAGTGCATGCCACATTCAGCATTAGAGTAAAACAAACAAACAAACACCCCAACAAACAAACAAACAAGCAACAGGCAAAAAGATCACTAAATAGTAAACTTGGATGGGTTTGAATCTAGCTTTATAATTCATTGAGACCGGGGTTGTAACTCAATGAGTTACAGGTCAATCACAAGTCCAGCAGCAAGAATCTGGGATAAATAGAAAAGGAATGCCTTGAGGATAATTCTCACTTTCTCTACTTTCCCGAACTGCGCTTCTTCACAGAAGAGATATTCCATGGTGTCCCCACAAACCTATCACTTACAGAAATCCTCGATCACTTTGGAATCCTCACAAGTCTATCATGATCATACGTCATCCAGTCTCAAGTCAAGTCACAAGCTATTCAAATGAACTGTGGTTCTTTTGTTACTATTCATCCACAATAATTGAGGCCAGGCTTGTGAACTGCCTTTTGATTTACTTATGACTGGCTTGATTAAAAACACTGTTTCTTGTGTCTTGATGACTGAGTTAAACGCTGCAGTTTCCCTACAATTGAGATTAAGATGACTCTGCTTCAAAACTGACAAATCAGGCATGATGTCAATCTTACCTGCAGACAGTCCATTTAGGAACAACGTCAGGTATATGGAGAGCCATTCGTACATCGGGACGGTTCAAATAATTTGTCTCTGCGGTCGTGTTGATGCAAGGGATGACGTTTTCGCTGACGAATGACCAAGACATTGTCTTCGTTTGTGGCTGTCGAGAGGAAAAAACTTTTAGAAGAACTAAACAAATAAAAGAAATCTGTAAAACCAATATTTCAATTATGTATAACAACCCACCCCCTCTTGCTGACAAATTCAGCTACACCATCACATGTAATCAAATCAATCAAGTGACTGTTTATAACAGTTAAGATTCCCTTCTTAATTTGATATAGCCATGCTTTGACTGGAGGTGACTGATATGCCAGCTGTATCTACCAAATACCTTGTTTGTCTGTTGATGGAATTGGACTAGTCATATGTTTACACGAATGTCATCTGACTGTTTTTCAACTAGTCTGTATACAATTTCTTGTCAGGGGAGGTGGGATACTTTTTTGTTTTCCGGGCTGATCAAACTATAGAGAAAGGAACTCACTATAAAATGGGCTACTAGTTGTGCCCTAGAGAGGCTACTTTTCAACTTATGACAACATCAATAATTTCCAAACAAAAATACATACTGGATTCATGCGAAGCGATTCAAAGAAATAAGAGAACATCTTGCGAGCTCTCTTGGTTGAAGTGCCTGGGACGCCCCCAGCACAGTTACCGGTCACGTCATATGGGTTGAGGCCAGAGTTGAAGATTATGCCTTGTGCTGTTGCCAGCTGTGTTGCAAGGGAGCAAGAAAGAGATAATTATGAAGGAAAAAATGTTAAGATACATTCAACAATATTTCATATGCATACAGAAATCATTTCAAACAATAAATACATGTGATGTAATAGTACATGGTATAGTAAACAAACTTTAGGGAAACAATAGGAAAGGAAAATTCAGCGCTCATAATCAACTCAAATACAGTATTATTTTGTTCTTTTTTCAGTAACTTACCGCTTGAGTGCACTGAGCATTCGGTGGAGTAACAAAGCTACAGTTTCCGTTTGTACAGCAGTACTTCTGTAATTGGGCCCACACGCTAAACAAACAAACAAACAAACACCCCAACAAACAAACAAACAAACACAGATTAATAAATAAATGATACCAGTCCAGGAACACTTGTGAAAATTCAAAATACTTTACACCTTAAAATGCAGGTCTCCAAAAGTCAAATCAATAATTGTCAACCATATTTTTTTAAATGAATATGAAATTATTATAAAGTATTATAGCAATTCTGTATCCACAATCTACAGTCCAGCTAACAAGAGGGGCCTTTATTTGCACAGAATAATTGGAAAAAGTCACATTCTTGTGCAGAAATGTCACTGTGCACAAAGTACCACCCCTTGTTTTACAGTTTTTGTCACCAACTTAAATTTGACGTGTTTCTGCATGAATACATGTAACGAGGAGTTTATTGATGACATTTCTCATGCATTTATTTTTGCTTGAATGATGAAAGAAGGGTGAATAATGTAGGGTTGAGCTGAATGTCCCAAATAATTAAATATTAGATAATCCAACAAATATCTGAATAACCTTTTTTTAATTCAAATATTCAAAAATTGTGAGTAATCGTGAGAAGATGGTGAAAAGTGTCCACAATGTTATATTGTAATATTATAAGTTGTGTGGATGTGTAAATTTTGTCAAATAATGGCCACACTTTTGTCAAAATCCACTTTACACGCACGATTTGAGAGCTTAACTTTTTCTTAATAGTTTTTGTTGGCAAAAGCCAGTTTGCTGGGTTGAAGAGCAACACCTGTTGTCCGATAGTGCATTAAAATCCGCTTTAACCATCGCCCTCATAGGAAGATGGTGTCTACCCTCCCCCCCCCTCCTTTTTTGACTTTGAGGAGGGATGGGGTCTGGAAAAAAATCATGGTCTGTCCACATTTGTTGTTGCCCCCCCCCCCCCCCCCCCCATTCTAAGTGGTCTGGCGATGCTCCTGCATTAAATATACAACAAACTGGACTTAAACCATTGCGTAATGTTTCATAAAGTCAGAAGCTGGATTGTGAATGACTTACTCTTCACCAAGGATGCCATGGTAGTAGGCGTAGTACACAGCTGTTTGCTGGTTGAGAGATCTATCAAGCAGACCATTACCGACGGCAAAACCCTGATGATAGAGTGTTATCAGTACAGAAAGGGGAAGCAGAGGAAAAAATAATAATTGAGTTTCCTTCAACAAACTCAGAAGAGGAGAGGATATTGCAAAAATAAATACCCTTATTTTCCCTGGTCAGAGAAAGGGAAATGAAAAGGGCAGATTAATATCCGACATTCAAAAAATCTTCATGGTTTCACTCAGACTATTTTTGAAAAACTTCTCTTTTTAAAGTGGATCTTTGAATAGATTTGTGTCCGGGTTTGTGATGGGATGTAAGTTTTGTACCTCCTGACAGTGACCTTTTCTGTTTTTATTGGTGCACTTTTATAGTAATCAAATTAACTTACCTGAAAATTGATTGAAGCATTGGCCATGACTCTGACAGACAAAGTAGGCACATATACTCCCCCATAGCTCTCCCCGGTGACGAAGAACGGCTTGGAGGCCATGTTGGGGAACTTGGTGAAAAAGTCCAGAAGTGCCAGGTAGTTATTCTTGGATGTCTGCAGATAAAAACCCAGTCAAAACAGATGAGATAGTAACTGGTGCACAATATAGAAACAAAAATCATGCCCAAAGCTTAAGAAACAACACACAGTTGCACTGGTAGGGCATACAGGGCTTTACCATTTTTAACAGGTTATTTTTAAGTTCCATTTTATGTAGGCACATTTGCAGGGCCTATATAACCAATGCAAACACGATCGCCTGACTGGGACACACATCAGACATACCTCATCATCATTTGTGGTGTAATTTTTGTCATCAGAATAGGAGAAGCCCACACCAGCTGGTGCCTCCAGGAAGATGACATTAGCCACCTGATTCCAGCTGAATGGATTGGCTCGTAGGGTCGCCCCATCAGCATTCATCTGAATAAAAAAAAAAATAATATAGTCATGATTCAATTTAAAAACAAAATCCAAAAAATAAAAGGGTTGTTGAGTCTGGTCTGCCATGTAGTCAAGAACAATAGCAGCAATTTACAAGCATTTGCCTTGATGAGGTCAATTTGGGCGATATTTTCTTTAGCCCCTTGTTCAAGACGGCACGGATCCAGTACATGTTTACTACAAAGACTTGCTGAATGAAGTTACTTGATAAGGTCCAAGTTCGGACAGGAAGCCATCTAGTGAGCTGCATCCTGGGCCTCCGTTCATCCATAGCACCAAGGGATCATTCTGAGGGTCTCTCTCCGACTCAACAAACCTACATCAAACAAGAAGTGACTGATGAAATCTAACCAAAAAATGTAAGATATATTTGAAGAATAGCACATACACAGCTGACAAATACACTATAACCTGAGCCTTGTTGATAAGAAAGTAAAACCCTGATGCCACTTTGGTGGTTGTATACCTACATAAGCTATTGGAGATTATTGAAACTTGATGAGTAATTTCTGAGTTCCGAATCTGTGCTTTTTAAAATATTCTAAGACTGACCATTACTCAAGCTGTGTGCGAATAAAAAGGCAGTGGATATTTTGCAGCAGGCGGCAAACCTTTAGTAAACGTTAGTTGCCGGATATGCACTGAACATGCGCAGTTACTGTTTTTTTTGGTGTACTTTGGTGGTAATTTAATATATCTTATAATTCAGCCCTATCTTAGAGAGTACAGCGCCCTCTGTTGATAGGGATTGCCGCCAGCAAACCTTTAGTAAACGTTAGCTTGCCGGGATTACCTCCGGCAAAATATCCACTTCCGAATAAAAAGGCATCAGAATATTGCATAATTTTATTAGCTGTTGCATTTGTACAAAAATAAAAAAAAAATTACTTAAAAATTAACATTTAGTTTTAGTTTTAATTATGGATATTTTCCAATCATTAAATCAACAAATGGCTTTTGTAACAAAGTCAAAAATCAAATTGCATTCAAAACTAAATAATATGCAATTTCTACAAAATGCCTGCAAACAATTTAGGACTGAAGAAACAAAAATTTCATCACAGAGCTTGAAAATTATGAATACATATCTAACCATATAACAATTATGCACAAATATATAATTTTGGTCACAATTGCACACAGTGATATTAATGTGGTTCTCGTTTAATAAAACGTAGATGTAAAAATGGTTGAGTAATAAATTATTTAAATATGATTGTGGGACCTAAGCTGTTACTGGTATACATTCCAAACCCTTAAAAGAATTAATTATATTTTCAAATTTCAGCAAGAGAGGGCCACTGTGACTGTGTGAGCAAAATACATCATCAATATGTAATTTAAAATTTCAACTCTGAAAAAAAGGGAGAAGCACGATATATTTTTTTCACTGAATTGAGCAGAACAGCCAAAAATGTGGAAATGTTGCTCAACGTTACAAATCTATTCTCACCAATAATGAAGTTTGATGGTTCCCGAGGCACTGAGGTAGCCCGAGTATTGCCGGGAACTCAGCGGTCCACTGACACCGGGCAACGACGTGATTTCATCGGCAGCTGGCTGCGCCGATGACACGCAAAACACGCAGACGAGAACGGCTAGAACTGGTGAACAATTCATCTTGAAATCTCTCAACAAATGGAAGGGAAGTAACACACACTGATCTCAACGAACACGCTTACCTAACCAAAACAGTGTTCAGTTCCGTGTCTCACAACACGCCTATAACTAAGGAACTGTACGATTGGATTTTTCCCCCCGGTGTTTTTATGCCGGTTTTCTAGCATATCACGAGTGCCGTTTTGCTTTCACTCCACTCCACGTCCAACCTCGTGCACAGTGTGACCTCAATTTAAGGTCCTTGTCACCATAAGAGAGAACTGTCGACGCAAAATTAAACAATTATTTGGAAACGAGGTTGGAGATTACATCACCTGATTTTTCATGTGACTTGCATACGGCAAATATCATGTGATTGATAAGCCTTTTGTTCTCAACTTCGGTCCAATCATAATATCAACATCACCGGGCAAAGTTCGCATTTGATTAAGCTACACCATGAGACCACCGTGTATGACTGGAGTAAACTTATCAGTTATGTGGGTCAAACTTAACTGTGTATTGATGGATCCAGTTAAAATGGAGGTAGACAATTTCTATCACCTGCCCGCATATTTTTATCAACCAAGATATAACAACTGTATGACCATATGGAGGAATCCTCCATGGTATGACCTAGATCCATGTACCTTTGCGTTAAAACAAATAAAACTATCTTCTAAGGTGATATTATAAGGAGGCCAACATGTTTAAGCTTTGCGTCTCCTATGGCTCCCAGAGCCGCTTCCCCTTGGAGAGAGATACATACAAAAATAACAATCCCCACCCCCTACAAAATAAAATTAAAAAATACCAAGAAAGAATAGTCACTCAAGTAAATCTGGTCCCAGACCAATTTGGTCTGGGGGTCTAGGTGTAGCCTGAGATAATTTATGGGCCAAGATAAGGCTTAAGCAAGTCTAATTCACAAGTGACAGCTCAGTCAGCCATCATTGAATTAGTCTGCGCTAGGCGCAGATGACTTTAGGCTGGCCCTCTGGGACCAGCAAAGAAGGGGGGGATATTGCCACGAATTACCAAGACAATGTGCACCATGTGAAGGTCCATGACCAACAAGGAATATCACAGGGCGTTTCAAGAAAGGTACAAATCAAACTGTAATGGATAAGTATGGATAAATTCAGAGCTTGAACACCATCAGTGGGGTTGCATCTTAAAGAGTGATCTTAACCCTACATCCAACCTTGCAGTCATGGATCACTGAGCCATTTTTATACATCCTGTACAGGTCCCGAGGATACCTCCCAATAATAGTCACTTGATCAAAGCCAAATACGAAAACCCTAAGTCTACTGGCTTAGTTAAAGTTGTAAAACACAGAAAACAATCACAAGATCAAAATCATGTTTACACAAAACATTTCTTTATTTATTTTATACTATTATTTTTACACACTTTGTTTAACTTTCATTGGCCAGCATAGACGCGGTAAATGTTGTTTTCACTCTTTGACAGAAACCTCTACTGCTTTGGATACAGTCAATGGTATCTCATAACATACTGGAGATAATGGAAAAACTTGAAATAATTATTAAAAATTATTAAATAATTAAGTTTTTTTTTTTGGTCAGATGAGAAGGCAGTGGTGACCAAAAATATATTTTTTTCTTCCAAAAAAACAAAACAATGATTAAATCACAAGCTGGAAGGGAAGATTACAAAATAAAATAAACTATGTTAGGAAGCAGTAGGGAATCTCTACGTCTTTAATTATTTTTCCTTGTCACGGGACAGGGTTAACACCTCATCCAAAGGTAATTTGAAATAAAAAATATATTAAAAACAATTATTTTAGAGCTTAAACTTTACCAAAGCATGATCACTTAATGCGAACAGGGTGACCTTTATAACAAACTTCACGCCAAGCTTAATGCATTTATAACTGGCTAGTTTTCAATTAACAGTTAATTCCCAATTAAAACAAAATGTTAATATGTTTATTAAAGGGAATATACAACATTTGCAAACATCGAAAAATAAAACTACCAAGTTTTTGCGAAATACCTTAACAGGATGTTGGTAAATGACAGTCTAAAGCATCCTGTAAAATTATGGCACCTGGTATACTGTCATTTTCAAGAAAAGTGGTATTTTTGTATCAATTTCCAACGCTGATCGGCCGATCAGCGTTGGAAACAACTGGCTTTTTTTCAAATATTGGCCCCAATTAACCATTGCACTTGTTTGCAATCGATTACAAACCTATGAGCGGGTACGAGCCAGCTAGACTGGTTCCCTGACCTTACAATTCCCCAATGTATGTAAACTGCTCTGTTTCTTCTTATATGGAGTCAGGGAACCAGACTACAGGAAAATGATCGTTTTTCTTGGTTTTTATAGCATTTTCGAACCCAAAACCTCCAAAAAGTCAGTGTAACTATATTTGCTTTATATTTCCAACCCCCCAATTCCATCCATTTCTGAAAATTACAGCAAAAGCAAATGATGTATATTCCCTTTAATATTAAACTGTGCTGGGCAATTTAATTTTTACAACTATACAATTATTGCTATAAACAACTAGAGTTGCAAAGAACTTATAATTATCACTCAGCAATTCTTATAATGTACATTATTTCTACAGTATATCATACATTTCACACACACTGCACACACATAACATGCATACATTATATGTATAGTACCAGCAATATATTGCCTACATCAAGATTATTGTCAACTTTTGTCAAATCTTATCTACTTCAAGTAGCTTTGAAACATCGTTCAGTATCATTAAGGATTTTATCTAGAAGCCTGAACAAGAAGTCAGGCCAAGTAAAACAATATAATAGCTTCTTGTCCGGACTTTTGGAAAAAATAAAGGAGGTGGGGGCGTTTTTTCCCAAGAAGGCAGATGGATTATTCCATTTTCTTCACTCTTTTGCTGACACAAAATTGTGTCCAAAGACGCTGTAATCCTTTCCACATAGCAACAATTTTCTTGGAAACAAATACAAAGAGTATTGCAAATGAATGAATTTTAAAAAGTAATAATAAAAAAAGGAGAAGGGACGAGAAACTGGTTTGTATTTTTACTTGGCCTCATATTTTTGACCACAACAATTAAAATGCAATATTCTCCAGTGGCATCTCTAAGGGGGGAGGAAGGGGAGGGTTTAGGGTCTAACACCCCCTTCCCCCACCCGTGTTGCAAAAATGAGGAATTATGCAGAAAAAGTAGCACATGCCTACTACCCCCCCCCCCCCCTACATGCTAACACCCTCTACAATAATGGTAGTGATGTCTTTGTTTTCCCATGAAAACGAAACAAGTATTCTCCCTGGAAACTACTGAATTATTCATGAAAATTTGCATCACCCACTACGGAAAAAAGTCGCGCCTGATCACGCTCTCAACTGATCAAGCAGTTATCCATACTGGTGCCCATGCTTTCGTCTAGGAGATGGTGGACGATGACTTTGTCTAGGAAACTCATGGTGCCGTGGGTGGCGATGGGCGGGGATCACGCCCTCAACTGATCAAGCAGTTATCCATACTGGTGTCCATGCTTTCATCTAGGAGATGGTGTACGATGACTTTGGCCAGGAAACTCATGGTGCCGTGGGTGGCGATGGGCGGAGTGTTGTAAAAGTCCTGCATGTCACATGTTTTGCCTTGGCTGGCGTGGTGCTCCTTAAACAGGTTGAACGTCTCCTTAATCAGCTGTCAGAAACAAATGGAATACATTAAGCAGGGTGCTATAAATAATTGTTACCTGCTGTGATTTTAGACAAACGCTTTTGCCTCGAGTGTCCTGTGTCTTTGGTGTACAAACATATGTCCTACTTTTCATCCTTCAGAAAGGGTTTGTTAATTCCCAATGTTAATTTTGTAATTATTTTACTTTCCCCTTACAAGACTTTTACAAGTGTCTTTCAATTTTTAATGGCATAAGTGTGAAGTAAAAAAACCCCCAGGGAATTCAGGTGGTCCGAGGAAAAGCTGCATGCCCTTACACATCTGACCAAGCCTTATCAGCTCACACAATGCTACCGTCTAAATAAGGCAAGTGTCTATGAGTTAAAAATGCTACTATCCATTCAGGATCATGCTTTACCCAAGGGTGAATTAAATAATCCCCAAATTCTTTCTTTTGACCATGAAGAAACACAATATTTATGACTTTTTCACTGGCACTCCAAACCTGTTAGATCTATATATTTGTAGATGTTCCTTAAAACTGATGTGTTGTCTTATCCCCAATAGAAAACATGCTGAAAAATAGACTCTGTGTACGAAAACTGCAGATGGCACATTTTTTACCACTTTTAAAAGCTCCACTGATGAGGGGACACATCATGTTCATGTACCGGTTTGCATGAATATTCCTGCCAAGTGAACACACAAACCGGTTGTGTCTTTGCATCAGCGTCAGGTGCCGAAGGTAATGCATTCATATGTCCCTCCTAGTGGTCTCCTCTACCTCTCCCTTTGTAACCGTTGAGGGGGTACTTGTGCAAGGAGCCTATAGTACTTTCACCCCAAACATGATGGCATTTAACATATTTACTAGCATTAATATCAGGATGAAACAAACCTGATACAAGAATCAAGAGTGGCACTTACAGCATCTGTATTGACTGTGCTCTGGAACTCCAGCTCTGGATTTCTCTCCAAGATTGTGGATATCACTGTGAGCAACTGCGGACAGAACACATTGAAAAATGAAACACTGTTATGATGAACAGACCCAGGAAATAATAGCATACAAAGTGTGGGGTAATCAGATTGCATTGGAACTGTACATTCTAAAATGCCGGTGGATTAACCCTTGCTCTTCCAGACTCTTCATAATTGAAAAGGATGATTTTGCAACGACAGATCCTAGCCAACAGGGCTGCAAATTTGTTGCCCAGAGGGCAAAATTGTGTGTCACTCTGCAAATATGCCGCAACAAATAGTGCCATCCTTGTCGTAAAGTGTCAACGTCCGTCCCCCCCCCCCCTTGATTTTGCAGCGGCCGGGTGACCGGACAACATTCCTGGCTACCTCCCAGCACAGAGCGTTTGTAGACGAATTTGTTGCTACACCCAACCATTCAAAGTAATCTTACAACACCCATGCATTGGGTTGATTCCCTTTGAAAGTTTAAAACCTCATCAAGAATATGCCATTTTAGTTCCAGCAATTAGAGGATTTTGGACAATTAAGGAAGTTTCCTCGCAAAAGTACCTAGGGAGTTAGCATTAAACGACAAAACTGTTGTTGAATTGAAGGCAGTTATTTAAATTCCATGGCAATGAAAGTATGGCTATTCATCTGTATGACCGAGGAACAAAGACCTGCCCTCAGATGTGACATCAGATGCAAGAGGTCTACAGGAGATGTCGTTGTTTTTCTCACCTCAACCATGAGTTGCCTGTATTCTGGATGCGCAATGCGGCTGAACATCTCCTCAATCCGTAGGGCAAAGTTCAGGTCCGTCCTGGTCATGTCTGAGAGCGTGGGTTGCTGGGGTAGGAAGTAATCTGCTATGATGATGCCGCTGGGCATGCGCGCCATGATGTCCCATACTGAGAGGGCCAAAATAGAAATGATGGTTAATCAAACTCCCACAAAGCCCAGCCAAACTTGTAGGAGTTGTTTTCACACAAAGGCACAGAAAAAAACCTAATCTCTCCCCCTCCAACATCCTTTGTCCAGCCTGCTTCCTTTTTTCTGTTTTTTTTTGTCTGTTTCTTGTTAATCATTCATTTGCTATACGTTTTGTCTTTTTATTTGTTTACAGCAAAATTGTAGAAAGGCTGACAGCTCCTGTGGAAGAATCGATCTGCCATCTTGAAAAATCCGCCATCTTGAGGAAAAAAGGGGCCTCCTCCTCCCTTTTTTTTGGGTGGAACTGATCTTTTTGAGGATTTAAGGTTTTTTGAATCATTAACTATAACTTTACAACCTCCCATAACATGCATACAATCCATCAAACATAATTTTTCCCCAGTAGAACGATTCTATGACAAACTGTGTATGGAAATTGCACACACTTCCTTACCTGTGAAGCTGATTAATCTCACAAATTTGAGTTGTCAGGATTTTGTCAAGTTAATTTGTTTATCCTAAAATGCTACCATTTCTCAACACCATACCATGCAAGAACAACATCTCACCTTTATCGTAGAAATTAGGCGGAGTGCGGTTGAGCGAGCCGCTGAATTGACGCTGCTGTAACCAGGTACGGTAGTGGCTTGCTGTGGTGATGTTGGTCTCTAGCACCTGAACTAGGAGATCCTTCAGCGAGTGTGGGGACAGACTGTGGACGGGCTGCAATATAACAATGAGTGGACTTGTAGTAAAATTAGGGGCCAGTACAAAATAAAAATCTGAACCAATGGTTCTCAAATGACATCTACAGGTTTGTGGCTTCTAACTTGTGCCATACTCCAAATAAGACTTTAGGAACCATGACACATCAGGACCAGAGACGTCAGCAACTTGTTGCTGATTACATCTTATTTCATAAGGCCCAAGCATAAGCATCTCAACATTCTGGCCTTTGATGCACGTTGTCAACATTGTATCTGATGAGATTTCCATACGAAGTGGTAATGTCTTATTGCCATACTTGAATAACTTCTAATGGTCCAAAATATCAAATCTGGGAGACCACCATTACAGGGCTTGACGGCTCAGTGGGTTAAGTGGTATAGTAATAGGGAATTTGCATCTTCAAATTAAACTCAAAGGGTTAAGAACAAGAATTCCTTCATACCACAGTGAATAAGAAACCAGTATCTTTAAAAGAAAAGGATTTATTAAACATTTCAAAAGGAAATTACTGTTGGCGATTACAATACCCGAATGAATTTTTCACTGAATCATGTATCATTATAAAGTGCAATGCTTGATACAACATCCATGACACGATGAGGGAACTGCGGGGAGTCAGGTTAGCGTAGCGGTACTTACTTGCCTTCCACCGCTGTGATCCAGGTTCGAATCCCACCTGGACCAATACGTGGATTTGGTTTTCAGTCCCTGCCTGATTCCGTGGGTTTTCCTTAGAATATTCTTCTAGGGTTTTCCTCCCACCTCTAAAACTGTAACTTCTTCTCATTGTCTTCTCTCTACAGGTTTCTTCAGGCTTGCGAGCTACAGTGCCTAGGGCGATTTTGAGGAATCCTTGGTTTCATTACCAGAAATAATTAATAATAATAGTAGTAAGTATAAAAATAACATCTTCAAATGTATTTAACAAATTCAATGTATGAATGTGATCCAGTTGATGGCTGAATAGAATAGGTTGAGAAGTAAGCTGGTGAGAACAAGCTAATGATACCTTTGTTTCATTAAAAGCTATTTTGAGTTCTGTCCTCATGGCATGCAGAAGCCACCTGAAAGCAAAACAAATATAAAATTAAAAAAGTTAAAATATCCTGAAATACATGAAGCATGTGGATGTCAAAGGATAGCAAGCAAGTAGCAATAGACTTTATTCATGAGTCGGCCATTTTCAATGGAAAGCGAGGTAAACTCTTCATTTTAGAACTTGCAAGTACAAACGAAAGCAATGAAATAAAAGTTCATTACAAAGTAATACTAGTCTGCTCTGATGAATTATTTAACATTTGTGTTTAAAGGGAAAATACAACATTTTCAAACATCAAAAAATAAAACTACCAAATCATTTTGAAATACCTTACTGGACTTTTAGTGAATGACAGTGTAAAGCATCCTGTAAAATCATGGCACCTGGTATACTGTCATTTTCAAGAAAAGTGGTATTTTTGTATCAATTTCCAATGCTGATCGGCCGATCAGCGTTGGAAAAAAACTGGCTTTTTTTTCAAATACTGGCCCCAGTTGACCATCGCACTTGTTTGCAATCGATCACACACCTATGAACGGGTACAAGCCAGCTAGACTGGTTCCCTGACCTTACAATTCCCCAATATATGTAAACTGCTCTGTTTCTTCTTAAATGGAGTCAGGGAACCAGACTACAGGAAAATGATTGTTTTTCTTGGTTTTTATAGCATTTTTGAACCCAAAACCTCAAAAAGTCAGTCTAACTATATTTGCTATATATTTCCAACCTCCCAATTCCATCCATTTCTGAAAATTACAGCAAAAGCAAATGATGTATATTCTCTTTAAACATATCCTAATGTTTTAAGCCACATTTAAAAAAACAAATTGAAAGTGAGGCTTGGCACGCACTCCAATCATAAAATAGTCTGGCACCATCCCATTCAACAGTTTACAATATATAAAAGAGATTCAGGGAACACGATCTAAAATGGCTTCCTAGTGAATGAGGCCCATACTGTTGCTGGATCCAATATGGAACTAATTGTTGAGGGCGCCGTATAAACCATTCAGGGGAGTTAAAGGTAGAGTATATGATTGCAGCTATCCAAAAAGAAACTGACAAAATTATCCTGGAAAGCATACATGTATTTGGTTTAAAGATAGTAATTACAATAAACTCCCTTTGAAATTATTCTTTCCGGCATGCTGTCATTTTGAAGAAACATGATTCAACAACTTTTGAATTAAAACAAGATCCTAGAATACTGTTTTCTCAGAATCAACAGCATTCACTGAGCTAAAACTTTATCAGATTAGTTGTTACGTATCCTTCTTTAGATTTTGAGAACTTTTGTTGTTTCAAATGAAAAAAAACAATGCACAAATGACAAATGATATACTCTACCTTTAAATGTGAAAACATATGACTCTCTGTGGCTGTTTTTAGAATGGACTGATCTATTAAGCCATGCTCCGTGGCATTTTGACCAATAACGGCCGTGATTAGTGTCAGACATCCATGTGCAAAGGTCCAATATGTGTGCACCTGCATATGATGTGCGTTTCTGGAACATGCAGATGTTGCATAACAAAAGTACCTTGCTATTTTGTGCTGCTTAATTTGGAATTCCACACAAATTTTGTATTAAAATAAGGACCTTGGTCGAACTTTGTGTCTATGAGGATTACTACTTGCACATACCCTGTCCTGATCTTGAGCATGCTACTGAACAGTTCCGGTCTGGTAGTGACCAGCTTGCCCACTGTAATAATAATCTCCTGCTGCATGACAGCCTCTCGGATGTTGTACTTCTGACATCGAGCAAAGATGATGTCTGAGATCTCGTTGGGGCTCAATGGCCGCAGGACCAGTTCCTCCTCATGACCAAAGACGCCTATCGTAACCTGCATGAAGCACAAGTTACGTGTAAGAAACATGACTTTCTCTCAACGTTTAGTGTCATTTTACCCTTCATCAATGCCATTTCACAAACACTGTATTCATTAGAATGGTACTATAAAGAGCACTGCTATAATGAACAGTGTTGTAGTGGAGGTAATCGTGATAGATCACAATTCCATCACAAGTCATCACAAGTACATCACAGAAACACCGCAAGTACATCACAAGTACATGACAGAAACATCACAAAATACATCACACGTCATCCAGTTCCGTCAAGTCACAAGTTACCCAATGAACTATGAAAAGGCATTCCTTTGTTATTATCTATCTCCTGTTACTTGTGATGGACTTGTGATGGACTTGTGATGGACTTGTGATTGGACTTGTGATGGACTTGTAATGGACTTGTGATGGACTTGTGATGGACTTGTGATGGACTTGTGATGGACTTGTGATGGACTTGTGATGGACTTGTGATGGACTTGTGATGAACTTGTGATGGACTTTTGATGTGATGGACTTGTGATGGACTTGTGAATGGTCTTGTGGTCCATCACACCTCGACTTCAACACTGTTACTGAACTTTTTGGCTAAAACGAAATGTCCTTTTGGCTGCCAAATTTCGTTTATGATTATACTAAAAATTGGCAGCCTCAGATCACTGTTACGAAAGACATGGCAAACAGACGCAAGAAAAGGATTAAAAGCTATAAGCAATAAGAAGTATGGTGTGTATTCACAAGGTCCTAATCTTACCAATTTTTTTATCAATCTTTATGAAACTCAAATGTTATTAACAACATGATGTTTTCGCCACTTACATCTATCGATACCACTGAACAAACATCTATTACAAACGCTATCATTCACACAAAAATGACCACAACTTGTTCTCAAAAACTCACAATTTTTCCGCTGACCAGCATGGATGTGATAGAGGGCGACAGACTGTCTATGACTTTGCGCAGGATGCTTGCGCAGTACCTGACAGTAGACCAGTCTTCCTTGACGCCAGCGCGGTTGTACAGTTTGTTCAATGCTTCAGCCACTGTGCCTGTTCAAAGACAGAAATCCAATGACTATCCTTAACATACCTCTGCCATATGCCTAGTTTTGCCCATTACATGTACCTCTACTTTTCAATATTGAAAGAGTTAAGTCTAAAAAGGCTATTCTTGTTTTCTGAAAAAAAAATAACAGAACAAAAGTCTGAACAAAATGACTCCTTTGTATATGATAAATCTTTTTACACCACTTGAGCAGATTTGTGAAAATTTTGACCCACAAAATCCGTTCTTGCACCATTCTCACAAGAATAACACAAAAATGCCCAGTTTTTAAAGGATGGTTGAGTGGATGTATATATCCTACTTTTAAATGCCCCTTCCAATTAATATCATTTCGTTTAAAATGCATTTTGTAGCCCAATTGGGCGCACTCCAGGTTGTAATATCCCTTTAAGGGTGCCTTCCAATAAAAGTTGGGGAAAATACATTAAGAGTTATGTATTTTTAAAAATTGTATGGGATATTACAGTTCACTTGTTCTTTTTACAATTGGTACTGATGAATCCGCTTCCCTAAAGCAGCATTCATGTTTGTTTTCCCCACATAGTGACATCATTATTGAGCCTCAACAGTCACAACATCAAATGAGTACACCATGACAGCACTAACATTGAAGAGGACTAACCTTTATCTGTCAAGTAATTAGATCCTTCTCGGTGGAACAGCATTCCCAGAATGCCACTCTGCACCTCCATGTTGATACTGTGACGAAGACACTCTACTAACTCCCATGATGGCAATCTCTCAAATTTCTAAAGAAATACAATTGAGAAAAAAAAAAGGACTTTTTGCCTGATGATACTTTACACGTTTGCAGGCATCTCAGAGGGTGTTCTTTGTTTTTTTTAATTCAGCAACAATGAATGTATAAAAGGTTTACTCACCCCTATCTAAGCAATACAAACCCACTGTCCTCTAACTCCACTTTTAATGCTTATTCTCGACTGCTTTCTTAAATCTTCAATTTGAATTCTGTTCAACACTTGAATACTTTTTCAAAAATACCTCAGTATCAGCAAACAAAGAATTCGGTATCGGTTACTTGGGAAAACATTAAGGTGTATTTTAACAATCAATAGTCTGGTTCCCTGACCTGACAATTCCCCACACGCCCTGATGTCTATAAATTGTAGGTCAGGTAGCCACCACCGACAACAGTAGATCATGACACACTGCAGGCAGTGCAGCTATTTTTAGATGCATCACCAGGTGAGTTTCTGCTTATTTGGTTGAACCTTGACAGAGTGATGGAGAGCAAACCTGCATTGGCTTTAAATAGTGTTATTACTTCCAGAATAAAATTCAAATCCGAGGACCCATAAGGCCATTGTGTTTTTGTACCTTAACATCAAAGGCCTCCTCCTCATGGTCTTCTGAATGAGGCGAGCTGAGATGCCTACTCTTGGTCTGAAGAGGAAGATGGGTGACGTTCAGCTCTTCTAGCCGCTTGAATAAAACCATGGAAGCACTGAAAGCGGACAAAACACACCAATGAATAGTCAATACCAAATTAAATATTTGGGGGGATAAACCATTAATTAAACGACTAATGCTAAGAATTCAATATTGAATTCCACCATTCAATATTAGTGTGAAGAAGGGGTGCCATTTGCCCTGAGTGTACAAAAGCCGTGGAACATCACAACAGACAACTGTTCTGTTGTAGCATGGTAGTATTTTACGAACTGTTTTATTAAAATAGTATGCAAATTAATCAATAGGATAATTCAAGTGATTACTGTTTTTAATAACTTTTGTTGTTCTTGTCAATATCTTGTCTTTGTCATATCTTTGTCTTGTTGTATTTGTTTGTAATGTGAGGGCCCCATTTCAGCTTCAGCTGGATGGGTTACCCTCATTAAAGATGGTTTTAAATAAAAATAAATAAAAAATAATTTTGGGAAAGACAGGATTTTTTGACACTCCTATGCATTTTTAACGCTTAAGTTCATTGCTCCCGTCATAATGCACCCATCATCATTCATCATGATATGTGCATGCTCCAGGTCAATAACACACTTGTCAGTGTTGTAGTCTAGTCCAGCACCAGTCTCACAAGCAACAGGGGATAAACAATAACAACAGAATACCTCTGTTAAAGCTCATTTGAATAGCTTGTGAGTTGAATTGGGACTGGAGGACTAGTGATGGACTTGTGATGGAATTGCAGGGACTTGTGATGGACTGGACTACAACACTGTCAGAGTCTATTACAACCTTACTGATTTAGCTTGTGCGGAAGCTGATCACACAAAAGTCTTTGACAACAATCAAGATGATCTTCCCAGGGTACAAGACCGATGCACTTTCTGAGTCTGCCAGGTGGTCTTAAATGGACTACTGAAATACTGTCAACACTTCAACCAATGAAACTTCACAATCTAACTCCATTGTATAATAAACATTTCTGGTGACCACTTACACTCCTTCAGGGAGCTGGAAGTCCAAATGCTCCACAAACGATGAAGCAATTAGCGTCTGAAGACGGTCTACTTTGACCCGGTTCCCTCCACATCTACCCCTCTTGAACATGGCCAACATGTCCAACATCTCAGACCCCTTGGCACCACTGCATTGTAACAAAGATGGTCAGCCTGTTAATACTGTGTCCTTGTAAGAAACTAAGAATTGGTTTTGTCAACATAGGTTTTGCAGCCTCCTTAAAGCAGGATGGATAAACTTCAAACTAAAATGTCTCTCATTAAAGGCAACCTTGATCCAAATTGGCCACAAAAAACTCACAATATTAAAGACCACATCTTTTACCTGAGATGGTCTTCCTTGATAAGCATACAGATGGTTGGCCTGCCAGACATTGTCCAAGATCTCCTCACGAAAGCTACAAGACTCTGACAAATCCAAACAGTGTAAATAATGTACATGTTTCATTTCCAACCAAATGCACTGAATCTGTCCATGCTATAACTGACAGTTCATAGTCTCTGATAAGGTGACTCCATTTGCTAACCCTCCCACTAGATGTACACCAAATCTTGCTGTTATTAATATCTGAAACAATACTTCTATTCCATTCCAATTATCTAGAAAGTACATCATAGCCAAGCTGCGAAGCACAAACAAACTGAACATACCTCCAATATAAAAAATGCATACATGTATTCAATTTGGTGAACATTTGAATGCAAACAAGAGAGCTGTGAACAATTATTTGTGACTGAGCCAAATCAAATGAGTCCCAAGTTGCCACAGCTACTTCTGAGTAATAGGCCTTGTGTCGAATCTTGCACAATGCCAATTAATAGGAACAACATAATGATTAACATCCACATATTATCAGAACATACTATGGTATCAAACTAGGTGATATTATACAGATAATGAATGTTTATGAGTTCAATGGTAAGAATAATTTCATGAGGTGGCAGATGGAATGTTCCATTCCACTCGGCACATTCCATCTGTCACCTCATGAAATTCTTACCGTTGCATTCATTATTTGTTTTATGCAACACCTGAATAAATCCTCATCATCTGATTGGTCAAAGCCACCAAACGCATGACCGTGCAATGGAAGTTCTATTTACCGTGGATTGGAATGAAATGAACATTTTTGCACTGCGACCGCGCCGTGCACTGGGACAACTAATTCAATGACACATGATCAACAACCCACCAATCAGATGACAAGCATTTATTCAGGTGTTGTATGAATCAAAATGAAGAGAGTCTGCTGTGTTCTACTGCATTATTCTAATAACTGCAAAACATGTCCTTAAGACTCATTTTGTGGGATCTAGACACATATCATTCTTACTGAATAAGAAAGGAAGCAACGTACCTTAATATCATCAACAAGAAGTGAGCGATCCTGATACATGTAGAAGTCAGTCAGATCAAACTGCAGTGGATAACACAGGATGGTCCTGCCTAGGATACGATAGATCTTGGATGTACCCAGACTACCCACAGGACGAGGCGGCCGGCCGGTTAACCCCAACTTGTCATTGTGGCCCAAGAATTGGTATGCCTGGAGTGTGTGGTCAATTGGAGAGAGAAGTCAATTAGAAAACTTGCTTAGGATACAGCTGACTGTCCCGACTTTGTGTCCCTTAGATGGCACTGCATGGACAACTTGTGAAACTCAGTAGAAGATAGAAGGCACTGCTTGGGAACTACACATGTGACACTGTCATGTGACTCTGTCATGTGACACTGTCAAGTGACACTGTCATGTGATTGTGAACAATTTCACAATATTCATGATACATAATTTCACAATATTCATGTAATACTGTCGTGTGACACTGTCATGTAACACTGTCATGTGTCACATGACACATGTGACACATGTGACGTGACACTGTCATGTGACACAGTCATGTGACACTATCATGTATCATGAATATTGTGAAATTGTTCCCATTCAGTGCTTACCTGTGAGGCAGGTAGTATTTGGGAGCTACCAAGATTAGTCATAATCAAACTGGACCATGCATGAGCTGTGACAATGTCCGTTCGGTTGTTCTTAAAACTGCAACTGTTTAAATTAAGCCAGTGTGTGCAAAGTGCAAACCTAAACCATATTCAAGTGAGAGGAACACACCTGAGTGTGTTTTCACAGTGAATGGCCTGATAGTAATTGCTTGCTCTGTCTCAACACCCAGGGAAGACTATGCCAAGCAACCTTAGGGCCAGTTGATACCTGACTTAGGGCCAGTTGATACCTGATGGTGGTGATGCAAAAATGACTGCAAAATCATGACGTCATGGCAAGTATACCAACTGCAAATTTGCACAATTGGAGACTTTTCAACTCCAGACTATTTTGACAGGAACGCTTTGCAACATCAAACTTTGTCCCCTACTTTTAAGGTCTCATAAATAGGTTCCCATGATACTCCTGGGTGGAGACAAGCAGTTTTGGCAAATGCCATACAGATCTTGCATCTAAAGCCCATTTTTCGAAATGTATCTTACCTTGATGAGCTCATTAGGAGGCCATATCTGTATGGGTTCCCCCCTCCCCCCGGGTGTATCTTACCTTGATGAGCTCATTAGGAGGCCATATCTGTATGGGTTCCCCCCTCCCCCCGGGTGTATCTTACCTTGATGAGCTCATTAGGAGGCCATATCTGTATGGGTTCCCCCCTCCCCCCGGGTGTATCTTACCTTGATGAGCTCATTAGGAGGCCATATCTGTATGGGTTCCACCTGTGTTGGGGTCTGTGTCTGAATCCCATAGGTCTGTAGTGTTGCTTGGAGCCTAGCACTCTCCGCTATGAATGCCATTTGTACAGTCATGTCCTTACAGGTGCTCTATAAACGGCAAAATATACAGCATAAACAAGGGATTACAAATGACTACAAATAACAAACTACGTGATAAATACTTTCATCAAATTAAATAGAATCACATTTTGGATTCTATAATGATCCATCCCAGTCCACTTTACAGCTGTGAGTGCACTGGACTTTTTCTGGCGAGTCGACTTGAATTACAGTTAAAGTTTTAATGGTTAAATTTGACCATTTTGTTGAATAGTACCTTTTGACTAAGAAAATTAGATCAAGACAGTAGCTTCAGTCAAGGTGCTGGCACGATAAAAATCTATTAATTAGCCTTCCTATTGTTTGATCAGTCACAGACAGTTCAAACAATTTCCACTTCCCCTGCCATGCATTTGTATACAGACTATTAGATAACAGCCAGATCACATTCATGTAACAGCCAGATAACCTTTAAGTAAACACTGTGACTAGTCAAATGCCATCAAAAGACAAAAGATGTAACTGGTAGGTACAGCTGGCATATCAATCACCTCCAGTCAAAGCATGGCTATATTAAATTAAAAAGGGAATTTTTAACTGTTAAAAACAGTCACTTGATGGATGTTGACTGCTGTGATGGTGTAGCTGAATTTGCAATCCAGAGAGAGAATAATATACTACATGTATATGAAGTTGACAAACCGAGCGATTCAATTCACCTTACAACTTTTAATGGGCGGAGGTTGACTTATAGATCACATGACTTTTAGGAAGTTTGTCAAGATGCTTAAACATTTAAAACATCTTGAACATTTCAAATATGTCCAACCTCCAATATTAAGTAAAACACTGTTCTTAATTTCTTTTTAATTCAATATGTATTTTTTCTTTTACAGAAATTATATCATTACTAAATTGGACCAAATGCCTCTTTACAGTTTCATATGAGCACGTATCAGCTTTGGCAACTGCAAATTAAAACAATGAACTCACTCTGACATTGATCAACTTGTGGATAAATAATGAATAACTAAGTGAAAAAAAAAAGATTAAATAAACAAATGGGAAGAGGAGGGATAAAGTATAAACAATTACAGAATCAACAAATACATATATGCAAAACCAACCAGTACGATTGCATCAAATTTATAACAAAATCCTTAAACTGAAAAGTAGTTAGGATCAAGATTCAAGCTACCTACCTCAAATGCTGAGTATCTCGTGTTGTGTCTGACTGTTAATCTTACGGATGAGCCATGATATCTACCCACAGGATCAATCTCATCCATGTCAACTAGTCCATCCTCTGAAGATTATAACAAAAGATTGAAAATAGGAGAGACTTACCATTTATTCAAAATAATTTCTTAGTTGCTAAGTTTTATCTCAATGAGAGGAATATTGAGATATAATTATCTGGTGGTACTCACAACCAATTGCTCAGCATGCTATCATTATACCTATAATAACTCATGAGTAGTAATGTGACTCACTACTCACTCAGCATGCAGGCAATGAGGTACACTGACTGCCCCACAGGAATATCAGATCAGGATCCTACTAGAAGTGACTACTCAATATAATAACTCATGACTCAATTTATTGACTCACTACTCACTCAGCATGCAGGCAATGAGATACACAGACTGCCCTCACAGGAAGATTTGGTCTGGATCCTACTAGGAGTGACTACTCAATATAATAACTCATGACTCAATTTAGTGACTCACTACTCACTCAGCATGCAGGCAATGAGATACACAGACTGCCCCCACAGGAATATCAGATCTGGATCCTACTAGGAGTGACTACTCAATATAATAACTCATGACTCAATTTAGTGACTCACTACTCACTCAGCATGCAGGCAATGAGATACACAGACTGCCCCCACAGGAAGATCTGGTCTGGATCCTACTAGGAGTGACTACTCAATATAATAACTCATGACTCAATTTACTGACTCACTACTCACTCAGCATGCAGGCAATGAGATACACAGACTGCCCCCACAGGAAGATCTGGTCTGGATCCTCCTGAGTGACTACTCAATATAATAACTCATGACTCAATTTACTGACTCACTACTCACTCAGCATGCAGGCAATAAGATACACAGACTGCCCCCACAGGAAGATCTGGTCTGGATCCTCCTGAGATGACTACTCAATATAATAACTCATGACTCAATATAGTAACTCACTACTCACTCAGCATGCAGGCAATGAGATACACAGACTGCCCCCACAGGAAGATCTGGTCTGGATCCTCCCCCTCATGGCTGGCCACTCTCGGTTGACTGTGAGGGTTTTTCCTTTCTGCCTCAATGTGTCTCGTCTCCACGTAGTAATACTTGGGAAGCACTAATCCTGTAACATAGACATATTTGAACGTTTCTAGTTTGTTGCTCGTGGAAAATGGACAACATTGTGTCATGGCGGCATGGGTGGCACAGTGCGTAAAGCACTCGCCTCTCACCAGGTCTTCCAGGTTTTGCTCCCTCTGCAAAAATCCACACTTTGGATCTTGCTGGACTCCGTGGTCAGACAGGGGTGGTACGGCGCTGTCTTATACGCCTTTACATGCCTTCGGCACAACCACGTTGTAGCTGCATCCTTCGAATTCAGCTTCTGCTGTGAGTAAGGACGATTAGCGCCCCCCCCCCCCCCCCATTCTCTCTGAATCACATACTTTTCCAACATCTGAACATCATCATGCCTGGTGTAAACAAGAGAGTGAGATCTGAATCATAATCGTCAATGACACAAAGATATAATTACTTTGTTTGTAGCATAGCATCAACCCTCGTCGGACTCCAGGTTTGTGCTTTTTAATGAGTGATCCCCCCCCCCCCCCCCCCCCCCCCCCCCCCCCCCCCGGTTGAGTATACCTGCACTTACTCTTGCTGTTTTAATACATGCTGTCATTGAGAAAATCTTCCTTGGACACTAGCAGGTATGGCATGGCTTACCATTGGCAGATTCCTTCAGCAGTGGTTTGAGTAGATTGTGGTATTCCTCTACTTGTTTGGTGTCTCCTTTAGCGGTACCGTCAATCATCATGTACACAAAGAACATGGGCCACTCCGCCTCTATGTTATCAAACATCTGAAAGCATGAACAAAAATACATAAACCATTCTAAGATACATCTAAATGCAACATTCCACCATTTGTGTATTTGTCAATTGGATTTGTAGTGTTGACGAAATCAGAACTTGAACTGTCACAATTTTAGTTTTCCAGTGATGTATTTTAATGGCTTATCCAAAACTATATAAAGGAAAACATAATGCAAAGATGTCTGCTGCGTTTAATTCAAATCATGGGATCAAAACAGTACATTAAGTGGCAAAACATCTTTGAAGAATGATTAATATTGACCCCTGACCTTGATTTCGGCAGGTTTGTAGTACTTCCTGTTCTTGTCTTCCAGCTCCGTACCGTAACCGTCTCGTAGGAAACGTCGAAAGCCATACTTCCCCTTCAACTTGCGGATGACTTTGTCAAAGGTCCTGTTCTTGACCTCTACGTTCTTGACAGCGAAGGCTGGGAAGCTGATGACAGGTATGAGAGAGGCATCTGTGTTCTGCAATGATTGAGGAAGTGATGCTAGAATAACTTATTCTGTATCATTATTGTTACCTGTTGTTTCTTGTGATGAAACCAAGGATTTCTGAAGCTTGTGCTGTAAGCATGAAGAAACTTGTAGAGGAAAGACAGTGATCATGATGGGATTTTCAGGGTTTTTTTTTTTTTACAGTTTAGAGGTGGGAAAACAATTCACATCACTTTTCTGGCCAAAAACCCAATCAACTTTTTTCAGCCTTAGTAGAATCCAAACAGAGGTCTCAGGAAAGTATCACTATGCCAACCCGACTCTGAGATTTGTTGGAAATCTATAAAGGTTGGAAATAATAAATTATATACATTTTTTGTAATCTGTCCTGGGTATATTTGAGCTTAATAAGCACTCAAACTAGTATGAAAATTGCAAAGATTATGTTCAAAACTTGCACAAATTACGTTTTCAAAACTTTAGAGGGCCCTACATACAATTTACAGTGAATTAATTTGTAATCCAACCACTGATGATTTAAAACTGAATTTTCCAAACATTCTTTGGTAATTCTTTACAAGTAAAATACTTGTAAACATGTTCCTAATTTCTTTCTTGTTTCAAACTATTTGAAGCTGCACTTGTCAGTGAAGACACTTTGAAGACACTGTAGCAAATAATTGTTCATCTGTATATTGAAAGTGGTACCAAGCTATACAAAAAAATGGATAAAGCAATGTCAAACCTTGGACATGCTCTCCCTTGGCAGCAAAGTCTGTAAGATGGTTCGATTCCTGCCGTGGGCATCGGGATCAACGTACAAGATAGACCAGGATGTTCCCTCGCGACCAAACAGGTTAAAACCATTGCTTGCTTCAAGAGCTGCAATGGCCAAACCAATAGAACTGCCAAAATGAATGAGAAAATACGCATCAAAATTCTACAAAAGATCTGTTCTTCACTCATTAGAAACTCTTTCACGTATGTCATTTTTACTGGTGGTTTTAGATGATTTTTATACATACGACAAAACAACTGGCCCAAAAGGTTTCCTGCATCTTTAATATTCAACATTGAGCAGTAAACACATCACGCATTCTTGGTACTTCACTGATTAGACATCAGTTGGGTACATCAAGCATTGGACTATTGAGGATAAAAGACAGATAGGGTAGTTACCAGATCCCCAAGATACTTGAGAGTATTTTAAGGTTTGAGGAAGGAAGAGGCAAGCTTCTATTACTTTACACTGGGCTTGATCTTCCTTTAATTGCAAAGAACGTTTTCCTAGCAAAAACGCCAAGGGAATTTGATGTTATCTAGTGTATAGAGACCTGAGGAAGTATTGCACACAGTAGCTATAAATCTTGTCAATGTTCACATTGTCCTTGAGGTGATTAAACGACAGTAGTCTTCTTACCTAGCATTGAGTTCACATTTGCCTGTGTTGTACTTGCTACCACGCTCCCACATGCCATAGTCTGGGATGCGGTAGGCTCTCTCCACATAAAACACAAGGTTCTGAATAAAGCTGACTTCATCAAGCGTCCAAATAATCTAGGAACAATTAAGAAAACAAAACATTTCTTTGTGACACCTAATTAAAAGCAATCCTCAAAAAGTGAAGAGGAAACTTCAGGACTTTGAAAATTTTTGGTAGAAGATTGCAGAAGTTTCATGTACTTGTGAAGGACCAACACGTGTGCATGACCAACTGTTTTTGATATTTACTCCACAACTCATATTGAATTAATATCATTTTTTAATGTACTAGTCACTGACTGAAACAATGCATAACTTTCATGGAACATGTTATAACTTGTTGTGCAATATATGAAATAGGGCTGTACCAAATATACAGAATATTTGAATACTTGAACCACTGATTAACATTTTTCCATTCAAATATTCAAAAAAATATGAGCCGTCTCAAGGAGATGATGAAAAACATCTGCGGTATTATTGTCATCATATAAGTTACGTGGTTCTATTGTTTGTCAAATGCCACACTTTTGTAGAAAGTCACGTGATTGGAGAGCTTCCGTGAGGAATAACAGCTCAACTTTCTTCTATAAAATTGGTCAAATATCAGCCATTCCGTCACCTTGACCAATATGGATACATACATGATGTTCTAGCTCTTTGTCAATTAAGACAAGCGCAGGTGCATGCACATTTGGATCGGCAGCCAGTTTAGGCCAGTGATTGTAAAACGTGATCAGGGCTGTTCGATTATATTTAAAAATGTGATCAAGTCAATGTACTACAGGAATCAAAATGCACCGCACCGATATGAAATAAAGTGTGGTGCAAGTGGAGTTGCATGAATGTCACTGCATGAACATTTCATGGTATTAACCAGTTTACGTCGGATGACGTGTATAATTCATGCAAATGTTTTGCAGTATTCGGAACGAATGATGGATAAACACGCAACGAGAGAGGCCGGAAATATCTCTCTGCGACCTGCTCGCAGCAAGCGAGGCCGGAAATATCAGGGTGTGCTACCCACAGATGACGGCCTGAACCCGTCTGGCATTGAGGTTTGTGAAAACAATCCCGCGCCTGGGTCTGGTCAATGTCAAAATAATCCCGGCGCGAACTGGTTAATAAGTTTACCTGTAGACCTGATGAGATCATCTGGACCAGGTAGAGTAGATACAGAGACACCAGGTCAATCTGTAAGTGATGATAGCTGTCAGGCAGCGTGTTACCTCGCACCATGTCATAGCGGCAATGCAGGGCGTTATCCTCTCCCTTTGTGTATTTGAACTTCTCCAACTAAAGTAAGCCAATAAAAAAAATGAAAACTAAAAATGAGAACTGCTTCTTCAACTATTATTTTTTACACATTGGAAAACTTTGCTTTATTGTCTGCTCAAACCAGGGGTGGGGGTGAGGGGGTGGGGCCCAGATGACTTTCTTTTTCTTTGAAGGGGAAAGTAAAGGACTGGAAGAGGTTAAAATTCTTTTTTAAAAATTGCTGAGAAATTACATATTTGTTTAGTTTCAATTTTTGCTGGTCGTAGAGGGCCAGCCAAGAGTCGTCTTTGTACCTGACTGACTCATAGACTGACTGACTGGCTGTCACTTGTGAGTCCAGCAGTCCTATCGTATAGGATTACCATATAACACCAATGTCTGGGCTACATCCGGCCCATTGTGTAGTACGTAAAGACTTCCACAGAATGGCCATTGTGAATCAATGGAATAGAATTTCGTGTGAAAAAATGAATATTTATGATGGTTTATATATTTTTGAAGGGAGGCAAGGCATCTTGCAGACCTAAAAAATCACACCAAGAATTAAAACTTTGACACACACATTGCTTGAAAGAAATAGTGCTCAAAGTCTAAAACCGGGGAAGTGAATACCCTTGTAGTGACGCAACATTTATGAGGTCAATACGGACTTGCAAAATACTGTAAATATAGAAAGCAACTAATGAACCTTCTCAGTTTGTCGTAGGTAGCAATATAGTATTCCCCTCATGCACTTCACAGCACTCTGCTCTAGCTCATATGTCCGACCATGGTCATTGTCAATTTTCCTATAAAAAACATAGACAAATATTTATTGTCATTGAGGGACATTTTGAAATACAAATTTGTGAATGGCCACAACACTGGCTCGTGTTCCTGTACGGAGGCCAGGGCGTTGTCATAGATATCAGAATTGTTGTGGTCACATGGTAGGCTTCAAATTGAAATCACTTGGCTTCATTCTCTGGTGCAAAAATGTTGAAGAATTTTAAGTCTCCTTTAAAAATTGAATTGGGACCTCAAACTTGGCTGGTGAAATACTGAGGACCTTGTCTTTGCCTCTTGAAAATGTTGGATAATTTTATCAGCTGAAGATTAGGTTAAGTTGGCCTTATTTTGTTTTGCATGTTTTGTTCTGCACTTAAGGTCCCTGTCTGGTCTTCACCTATAAGCTAGGGCCAGGGTCCACGTTGCTACTGCACAGTAGATACTGTCTCTCACGTGCGCCACGTGGGATCTCTTGGCATCGCCTGTGGTAGCTGGAAACAGGCCGATCGTAGGGCTCTGATGGTGCAATATCTGGGACTTGACTGGTGGAAGAAGAAAGGCATCAAATGTGAGTCAAAAACATGACCATGATCTTGTACTTTACTTTCTATTTTCCTTTGTTGATTTACAGTTTACGGGTATGTTGTGCGCTTTCTTGAAAATCACGCATTCTTAAGAATGAGCATGCACATTCTTATGATTGTGCAACTGGATCCTTGCGCAATCTTCGCAAAAAATAACTCTTCCAGATTGAGCGCACATTCTTAAGAATGCGCGACAAGATAACGGTCTTGTCGATACCGAGCACTGGCTGCGCTTGGCAAGTCTAGCTGCATCCTCGTTCACCGATTCTTAATAATTATACTGTTGCAACGCAAGGCGCTGAAAAGTAGAGTGGATATGAAAAGTATACGCGTATGGGGGGGGGGGGGGACCAGGAAAAAAAATAAGAGACATAATAATAGTGTATTGGAAAGAATTCTGATTTTTGGGATAATAAAAGCGGGGGGGGGGGGGGGGGGGGGCAGTAAGAATGAAGAATGTTAAGAATGAGAATGAATATTGTGACATCCCATAGTGCTAATGCTATTTCCCATTTAAATTGCCACCAATTAATTGTTCACACCCCACCATTACGCCGCAGAGCTGGATTCTATCTAGTCAAAAGAGCAATTTTGGCAGCTTCTGGACATCGTTTCTTTTTTCGTGGCATGCATATGATACATACAGGGACTTCCCAGACTAGTTCCCAGTCCTTCCTTTATTACAAAACTTCCCATAGTGGGCAGAAAAAAGCAATAATAACAGGTTTAATTTGATTCAAATTATCATAGTTATACGAGTACAGAAGCATAGAACATTTTCTTTCCTCTTTATATGAATTATTTCCCTTTTAACCGCTATACATTTCATTTAACATAATTATGTCGTGCAATGTTTTGGGCAATCTTAACCATGTTAACGATTGCCCCAAATTCATAAATTGCGCAAGTGATATTCCCACCACGCAAGCTTAAGAATGAGCGCTCATTCTTAAGAATGAGCGCTCATTCTTAAGAATGAGCGCTCATTCTTAAGAATGCGCGCTCATTCGTGATTTTCAAGAAAGCGCACAACAGGTACAATGCAATATCTTGACGTGACATTTCACCATAGTCATGAATTCCTGATTTAGCTTGAGTCTCAAGTTACACTGTCATGACTGTCAGTGTCTAGCCCCGGCCACACTAGTGGGGCTAGTCAGTGCATTCCTTGCTCCATGGTCAGTGTCATGACTGTCGTGACTGTGCCTAGCCCCATAAATGTGGCCTATTTACTGGACTGCCTCCGTAAACATAGGCCACACATCCACATGTACAAAAATCGTGTCGACGGAGCCAAATTTTGATTTGCACATTTAGGCTTAGTTTGTAGGTTTTTTTTGCTTTAGAAGCATACTCACCCTCTTTACAGGCTAATCAGAAAGTGCTGCCTTTTTCAGATGTCTAATTTTTGTGAAATTTCATGTTGAAATTTTGATACGCAAACGTGTAAAAATGAATCTGGAAATTTCACGAAAAATATACATCTGAAAAAGGCAGCACTTTCTGATTAGCCTATAAAGAGGGTGAGTATGCTTCTAAAGCAAAAAAACCCTACAAACTAAGCCTAAATGTGAAAATCAAAATTTGGCTCCGTCGACACGATTTTTGTACATGTGGATGTGTGGCCTATGTTTACGGAGGCAGTCCAGTAAATAGGCCACATTTATGGGGCTAGACTGTGCCTAGGCCTACTATTTCAACAAATGTTTATAAAATATAAAAAATGAAAGGAAACAAATGTGTTAGAAAAATAAAAGGGAAAGAAAATCGTTTTACCGCGGAAGTAATACGAGTCCAAAAGTTTCACTTGGCGCACGTAGTCCTCGTCTTCAGCTGCCATTTTTGCAGTATTTCATGTATTTTGACGGGCATGACGGAGGTCACGACTACACTAGACTTGTACAAATCTTTGAGCATCGAGTTCCAACGCTGTTATTGTTAATTTGATTTTTAAACATTCACTGAAATTATTCAATGATTTGAATCACAAAAGAGCAATAGAATAATAACCTTTTTTATAACTATTTCAATGCGTTTAAATAGTTTCCTTAAAGCTGTTTTAAAACAAATAATGATTTTATTTTATTATTATAGTTCGTGATAGAGACCAACATGGCGGCGCCCATGAGATGTTTGATTTCTCGCAGTTCTGCTTTTCTTTTTACAAAATGTGTCAAAACTGGCGTTCAAGTGTCATCTCTCCGTCGGTTCCATCTCTCGTCGAGTGTCTTCTACCCAGCAGAATTTGATCCAAGCATTTTAGACACCGTGGTTTGTCCGCTATCAAAGAGCCAACTGCGGTAAGGTAGCCCGATATGTCATCTTGTAAAAACCTCGTGAGTTGTAGCCTAGCCGGCTACGCCTACGGAGTCACGGCTCATTGCCCTCAGTAAACATCACAAGTCTTGTGTACCAAAGTGCTGTTTCAACACGTATCACGCTGCATTGCACTCCCACATTTTCCCCTGGAGTGCAGAGGAGCGTACGTAGCCGCTCCATCCAGGGGCCGGGGGAAATGTGTTCTATAGCTCTGTGATTCACTGATTGGACTTATTAACTTAAACTAAAGACTTTTTTTCTCTAATCCTAATCGTGTAGTTTAGGACCCCTTTCCATGATTATTATACACAGAACGAAAAGATACTTCTTATGGTTTGGGACTTAGGCTTAGTAATATTTAGGCTTCCTAAACTTTTGCGATGACACAAAAATTACAAACAGGAAAAGTTACTTTGTTTTGCTTTACCATTTTGAATATCAGCTAGCTTAATTTTGTGGAAAGAAGGCAGGGTTTTGATTTGTGAACGGAACTTGAAAAAAATAGAGGTCTCCTTTTTTCATATCCATTCACTTGATTCAGTTAACGCTGATAGCGATACTTTATTTATGCCCATGGAGGATTATTCTTTTGAGGGGAAAATAGCGCCCTCTTTTTCTCTCTCCGATTCACTCCCGCTGAGGGGTTATTTTTGAGTTGTGGGTATTGTGCACTCGCTTGACATAACCTGGTAGGCAACATCTAAACTCAGAAAAATTAAGTTGACTATTCCAAAATGTTGTATAATTTCCAGAGGATAAGTTGAACGAAAAATGATCATAACCCACCTTGAGGGTTTGTGGGATAATTGATAGGTTCATAAATGTGCACAAGGCTTGTACAAGTATTTTCACAGGCAGTTTTTTTGCACTATTTTATCGGCAGGTATGATGTGGAGGCCTCTGAACTGGTTAACGACGAACTAGGAGTGGCATACAAGATTATTGATGGGATTCCAAACCTCATACCAGAAGATGCTCGCATGATCAAACAAGACAAGGATTCAGCAGACAAGAACTCGGATCAAACCAAGAAGGAAACATAGCAGAGTTGTGGAGATGACTACCTATGACTTCTGTGCATGAACAGTAGATAGTACTTCATCACTCACCAGAGCTCAAGTGGAGGAGGCCCACAGCATGCATGCCCCAGTAGTGCATACGACTGGATGCCATGGGAATTCATTAGGAGGGCCTCCCAGTGGTCTCTCCCAACTTGTTGTAGATGCTGTGTCAAACTTGTTCATGTATGTAGTCTTCCACAACAGATACAACTGACTGTGTGTGACCCTTCTTGGAGACCAGTTTAGATCAATCAAGGTTTAAGATCAATCTTCTGCTATTCAATTCCTAACACCTTATTTGTATCTTTACTTGTAATCAATATAACTACCGGGGTGTGTTTGGAAGAGAATGATTGCTCCAGTCAGAATGGAATGTTGTGATCGTTCTGCATTCGGTATTTCATTTAAGTCAAGATGACTAGATTGTAGTCACAACTGAACCTGGCTATGTGTAAAGTAGGACATGGTGTACTGCTGCTTTTATGCATTATTCATAAATACCTTAATTTACCCATTTGTATTGATCGAGAGGCCGTCACGTGGGTGATTTTAAACGGTTGATAGAACACCAACTGGTTTTAAACACTTTTTTCCCCCAGTGTCACATGAAATTTTGACTTCTATGTAATCTGGTCCCTTTTACCCTTTTATTGGTTGAACCCTCACACGTGACCAGTCACTCTCCTAATTAGTCTGTATTTCATAGAGTCCTAAATTCACACTACACCGGCACCGCTGCGTTCTACGCCACATCTTGCAGTACGCGCCACTCGCGCACCAATCTCCATGGAGATTTTTAGTGCTAATGCGAGGTACGTACCATAAACATAGCTAGAGGGGTGTTTCACAAAACACGAGGTAAAATATTTGAAAAAGATTGTTGGAAATATATAATTTTTTGACATGACATGACCGAAAGGTATTTATGAATGGGAATAAGTATGTGCTTGGCTGGTATTAAACAAGTACGTTTAGTATCCGTGTCTAGGCCCCTATCCGATACTTCTGTTATTTGTTTAAAACTGGCCATGCACATGTTTATTCCCTTATTTAGTAACTTTAAAATAAATCACACAAACAAACATACAATACCAAAACTTGATCTAAATAAAAGACCATTTATTTACCACCTTTACTTTGAAGTAAGACGGGTGCCAGATCTACACTTTCATATTTCAAGTAATCCATTGTAAGGAAAGTGAACATAAACATTCATCACGACTGTTTTGCCAAAATAATTTCAATATTTTTCTGAAAGTAAAAACAGCTATGCATTGGAATGAGGAGTTGACTTAACTTTCTGCAGTTAAAATACCCTATAAAAGGATCCAGTTCTAATTCTGTAGTTAGTGTGATTAACTAAATCTACACAAACGGTGTTATGTACAAACCATAAACAGTTCAAAAGTGAAATAAAATTATTACAATAACTTGAAAAATCTTCGTCCTCCGTTTGCAACCTTCATATGAACCAAACGAATGAATGAATAACTGTGCATAATCTGACAAAATGCCAAATGTTGTCTTACTGTTCAAATGACACTGAGCATATACATATAGATACATTCTCCATCAGTATTCTCAGCTTATGGATGTTGCAGTTATACAGAATATACAAGGGTTGAATAAGGCAATGACGTTCGTGAAGTTTCAAAACCAAATGGATATTAATAATGTGATGAAGATCACTTTATCACTTTTCAACTCCTTGTTATTGTTGCTTGATGGAATGAAATCAATCATGGAAGTGTAGAACTGAAAACAGGATGAGTGTACCAGACTAGCATTGGAGTAAAGAGTTTGGACAACCATTGCAATTTATTGAACTTGGAATAGATGGAGTTCAGTATCTAGGTCTCGTTCAAATGACGTCATTTCCTACAGACCAACCACGTGCATCGGCATTTTGAGTGTCAACTTGCATAACGCGCATCGGCTGTGTCGTATTTCGAACACATTTTGAGCAACAAGCGCGCGTGTTTGGAACATTTTCAACACTGTGCAATGCGTGCTTGATTGCGTTAAATACGCAGTTGCAGTTCTCCTACAGAGAGATGGCCGTCATTGAACGAGCCCTATTGGCACTGTTGAATCCCAGCTGAGAGTAGATTTCTAGTAGACAAACTGTTCCTGTACAAGATTTGTTGCAAACGCTGCATCTCTGTGGTGTCGTATGGATGTGTACACAGTATTTGTGGAGCCTTCCATTTCTCAGAAGTGAGTCGTTAATCTCTCTACGTCCATTAAGTCATCCATGATCTGCAAAGGAAAGATACAATTTTGGGAATTATTGTCTTATACATATAACATGCCTCTTTATGTCATTAAACTAGTAGTGCAAGGGGAGTTACCCTTGTAAAGCATTCAGTTATGGAAATGCTCCTGTTCTCTTTAGGAAACTTTCTGTTTAACAGCTGGAACAGGGGAAATACTGATTTTTTTGTTTGACAAAGTTTGATGGTGGTTCTTCCTCGGACAAACTTTTTCCCTGTCATGACTACTCCAATGATCACAATTGCACTGTGAGCCTGTCGCACACATTTTGAAAACCCTATTGGTCGAAGGAGCACTGAATGCAAGCACAGTTAGGACTCGTGTGTGAGTCTGACCATGACAGCTATGGCTTCTTATTGAGGTCACCAGATAAGTCTTGAAAGCACAATGGTTTCTTTAACTGCTGAAATGTTGAACAGGATAGCAAATGAAGTCACAAAGTGCTTCCAAAAGGATCTCAAGGAGATATAAGGACAGTATTGGAGAGGAAGTTGAGGTTTACTGGGTTCTATTTTGGAGTAATCTCATTAAACATCTAGAATAAGTTACGGATATGTTATTCCCAACAGGCCCGTTGTATCGGGTACTACTTGCAGGATCCTGAACAACTTCCCAGGAATCTTCTGGTGATAAAGTAACAATATTATTCACAAACTGATTAGTTTGTTGCGGGAAGACCCTGGGGAAGTTGTTCAGAATCCTGCAACAAATACCCAATGAATTGGGCCTATTGCAGTTAAACTTGTCAGCAACTTTTCCCGGACATTTCTAGAGATGACTCCTTACCTGGTCCACTGATGTGCCTATCTTCTTAGCAAGCTCATTCTTCTCCACCACACTCAGGTAGGTGTACTTGTACAGCAGGTCACCGTCCAGAATGTTACGGTGGGGATTACTCAGCTCACGCTGGTGGGACACAATGTGCCTGCAAGGAAATGAACAAATGGTTTCATTGTAAAAATCTGCATTTATGAATCGTCATCCCAAACAAAGTTTTGTGCCTACACCAAGCACATCACGAGTGAGATCCAAACAGCAAAGAAATATTAATGTGCTAAAATAAGGAGGTAGCTATAGGGACAAGTTTTATATAATAAAAACCATGTGGGGAGAAAGCATTGTAAGACTTTCTCATAACCAACTATCTCCTTTCAAAGAATCACTCATTTGCAAAGATCTGGGGATTCTCTCACCCAGCAGTCTGAACGTTGAGTTCGCCGCGTTCAAAACATGCAAGAACAGCCCCTGAAGAAGGACCAAGCACTGCTTTGAAATCGTCTCTACTGTTTATCATCTTTCATACCTCCAAATGGTATATCCACACAAAATTTTCCTAGTTGTACGCACTAATTAATGTATAGTTGTAATAGAAAAGTCATGCAACTGGTTAGACATGCCAGCTGATTTTTTTTTTTGACTTTTCACTTTGTTCAAGCAATCATTGTGAAACACAATCAGTCCTATAGAGAGATGCACAACATGACCTCACTGAGGTCAAATCTCGCATATTATGTTTACTGTGCATCCCCTCTATTGGACAAACAGACCGAGGCCTCCTTTTTGTTGGGGTAGGAGGAGGGGGAAACAATATTGACGAGCCATAAAAGTGAGTTGAATTAGCTTTTTTGGAGGCTTACCTGTATGCCTTAGGATTAAGTCCACCAATATGCATGACACTTGTCGTGATGGCATTCTGTAACATGAGCAGGCGTCTGTAGGTCTTCTCAGTCATTGGTAAGAGCATACCAAGGCTGCCATCTAGAGTAGCTGTCATTCAGAAAAACCAGAAGAGAGAGATATCCATGGATTCCATGCATAGGCTTTGAGGATCATTTGTATTTACACCAAAAGTGACCTACCAAATCATTACAAATCATACTGGTACTAAACACCCCGTGCAATTACGATATTCTGTCTTGCTTGCTGTTCTTAAGAAGAAATCAAGAAACGTAGGTGATTTCCAACAATCAGTCAATTGACTGACTTTCGGAATAAAGAGTGCTATTGACAAAATTGTGTTTCGTGATCAAAAGGTTGTGCATGCTTTTCACAGTTTTCTCAAAAAGTGTAAGATCCACTGAGCTGAAACTTTAATAGGTTAGGTTTTGAACATTCGTCTTTGGATTTTGAGTGGTGTTATTATTGGAAACAAACAAAATGCATGAAAAGCAAATGATCCTACAATGTACTTCCTATCATGCCATGTATCCTCTGTATGATGGGAAACATTTTCAATAAAACACCACAAAGATTACCACATGATCACAAAGATTGTGGTATCTGAGAAACGGGTAATTTTCCCTAAATGTGTGCACTATATCCAACTGTAACTAAGTAATGTAGCCTATATGTATATCAGTAAGCAAAACACATACATCCACACTATAAGGGGCTTTTTTGTGGAACTGCTTATAAGTGCAGACATTTTCTTAGCAAAAAGATTTTCATTGGAAATCAATATAGCTACCAAAATGTCATGCAATACCAACTACTCTCAATTGATTTAGCATCAGAATTCATCATTGCAAAATACCAAATCTGATATCATACTAAAAAAAACTTCAAGCAATTCCTTTTAAATAAATACGCCTAAGCCTTGTTCACTATTTACCTTGTCATATTTTAATGTATATGGACCAATAAATTTGTGATCATTTCATTCTAATCAAATTATCAACATGTACGTATTCTTTCTTTTCACTTTATTATGAAATCGATTTTCTCTTGTTTAGTTCAACTTTGAGTCTTTTTCACTATCAACGTTTAGCTACTGATCAGAGGTGTTCTTCTTGATTGTGTTAATGATTTTGTTCTATCATCATTTTTACCTACATCTTATTGTAATTTATTTTCATTTATTCCGGTTTGCCTTCCATCCCCATTTTCTTGTTTCGTTCATGTTTGTTGTGTTTATAATCCATTTGTCTGTGTATATAATCATGCTAATTATCGGGGTCCATACCCACAAGCTAAGCTTTCTTATGGATTCCACATCTCTATTAATTGTATTTATTATCTGCTTATTACCTTGTACTCATGTAAATTATGAGATGAAATAAAGTCAAGTTCAAGTTCAAGATCTTGCCAAAAACTGTTCCCAGAGATGTAGTCGAGTCCATCACAAGGCCTTGCAAGTTCATCGATCACAAGTCCTCCAGTCCCAATTCAAATCACAAGCTATTCAAAGGACCTTTTTAAAAAAGCATTCTTCGTTATTGTGCATCCACTGTTTACTTATGACTGGACTTGCGAATGGACTTGTGATTTACTTGTGATGGACTTGTGATCATGGACATGTGATGGACATGTAATGGACATGTGATGGACTTGTGATGGACATGTGATGGACATGTAATGGACTTGTGATGGACATGTGATGGACATGTGATGGACATGTGATGGACTTGTGATGGACATGTAATGGACATGTAATGGACTTGTGATGGACATGTGATGGACATGTGATGGACATGTGATGGACATATGATGGACTTGTGATTTACTTGTCATGCTTGTGATGGACTTGTGATGGACATGTGATGGACTTGTGATGGACATGTGATGGACTTATGATGGACTTGTGATGGACATGTGATGGACTCGACTACATCCCTGACTGTTCCACAATGGTTTGCTGAAAAGAAGCTGGTTAATAAATTATTTCTGTATTTTTGGACTGACCATAGTAAACGACATGTCTCCTCTCAGCTGGCCCAGTGATTGACTTGCTGGATGCTGGGTCATTCAGCTTGCAACGCACTCGGACAAACGCATTGACATGACTGCCAACGTTAATGTCAGCACGGCGGAGTAGTCTGGTTCCCCCACAGCTCTCACGTGCTGAGAACAACAGAGAGAAAACATAAATGCATTTTTAAGAAAAAACAGAGCAGTTTGTAATATTAAAGCAAGAATACTGCTCTCATCCTTTTGAAGAGAGTAATCTACAGAATAATCTGGCAAGTTCAATTAAAAAAGCCAGTCTTGAAATGGTTCCATGCTTTTTTAAATATTTGATTAATCATTTCTTAGTGAAACCAAGGATTCCACAAAAGCGCCTTAGCTTGCAAGCCTGAAGAAACCTATAGACAGAAGACAATGAGAAGAAATTACAGTTTTAGAGGTGGGAGGGAAACCCAAGAAACATATTCTGGGGAAAACCCACGGAATTAGGCAGGGACTGAAAACCCATCCGCTATGCCAACCTGACTCCCCAATATGTAGCTGATGCACCTGTGAGTGCCAAAAAATGTCCCCAAGTGACTGATGATTTCTATGACTATCTAGGGCACACACATCAGTCATGTGCTGCATCCTATAGGCTCGTGTGGGCACTTCTCTCAGTGGGTACGTGACCAAAACAGAGCCCATGAATCTGTTTTTGGTGCTCAGGGGGCCAGCTTGTGGACTGACCGTCCAACAAGTCAATCATCAAAACGTTGAGAGCTTTCATTTGTTGTGATTCTTACCTCCTGGGTGATAGTGATAGACGATCAAGTTCTTGTCCACATCTGACACTGTATAAAAATAAAATAAATAAGTGGTTATTGACAAAAACAACAAATTTCATCTCATGTAGACTAATTCAACGACAGCCATTTTCTGAGTTGGCACCAGGCTGGCGTAAGTCGTGCTCAGGTAGTACGTTGACAAGCACTCTGAGCTCCTTACTCCAATAGTGTTACCAAAATGCACACGCACCCTGTCTTTCAGAACGTGTGCGGCATAAGAGCAAACGTGGTTTCACCTCAAACATGGCTTCTAATTTTGTTTGCTGAATTACAATGAGGTCTATATCTGGTTCTTGTTCTGTAAAACCCATGTTCTGGCTAGGCCAGAAGATTTTTTAGATGATGTCTCCAGTTTCCATGTTCTCAACTTCTGCATAGTTGCATGTAAACCTCTGCCTGTGAGATTATCAGCCTATTAAAAATAAAAACAAAAATCAGTTTTCATCCATGCCTTTGTACAGCAGAATTTTCATTATTTTAATAAAGTTAATAACAAACAAATGTCTGCATATGAAAAACCCAATCAGTAAACAATGATGAGCAACAAGATCAATCTTTCCTTCCATTCACCGGCTATCGGAAGGAAATCAGATGACAACCCTTGGGCTGTACGTAGCCCAGCAGATTGAACTTTTCCATTAAAATGAACTTTAATTATGTAAAGACACTCACGCCATCCCTTTTATACATGTATGCCATGCAAACTCTGCGCATTGTAGTTGAGAAAATAATACTTAATAAACGTTTACCCGCCGTCAACTCACAACTGAGAGATCGGAGGGACAGTCATTTACCCAATGCTACAAACAAGAGAAACATTGGAAAATAGACAACTGCAGACTGATACTGAACTGAGGAACTGATGACAATAAATGAACTGAGGAAATAATATACCATGGGCTTACAATTCCATGGAGCTGTCAGACCAAACATCTGACTGAACCACGAATGCTTCTCTTGCAGCTACCGGTAGTTTCTGATGCAATGTGTGCCCCGTATGACGGATAGGCTACAAGTACCGATACTCGGACTACAGATTCTCATGCATCCTCTCCAGTTGTTGGTATACAGTGCATCTTCATTATCAGAAACAAAACGCATTTTGACCATGGGAGAGTAACACCGTTTCATTGAGGAACTGGCATGCAACTTGGACTAAGCGAAGTGACAACCACGAATACGAGTCTAAGTGTTGATGACCATGAAGATCGAATCGCCTGGATGCAATTGGATCTGCCACATTGTAATGATGGAAGGAGTCATCAGTGTCTTAGGAAACCTCTTAGTGTACAGATAAAAACAGAAGTATGAGATGATACCAAGCTGCTTAGGAACAAATTTGAACTACGAAAGCCTCAGAGGTGTATGAACAGCCATGAATTCAACTCAGCATCTCAATGACAGTGTGGGGCCTTCTGAAGGCGATTGGATCTACCAGATTATTGCAGCAGAAGGAGCCATTGGTGTCTTAGGAAACCTCTTAGTATGCTTTGTCATTCTACGAGTCAAATTCCTGCACAACATGACAAACTATCTGCTGGTGAATTTGGCGGTAGCAGATATGCTGTCATGTTTAATAGCATTCACCTTCTACTTCGCTTCTTTTCTGAAGTACAATCCAGCAAGCTTTGGTGGGAGATTGCTTTATTGCCGACTTTTAATTTCTGATTTTTTGCCATGGGCTGTAATCTATGCCTCAGCTTACAATCTTTGTTTGGTGACATTAGAGAGATATGTTGCTATAGTGCATCCACTACAGTATGCAAGGAAACTCACAGCAAAAAGGATGACAACTCTGATTGCTCTAGTTTGGACAATGTCGTTTCTAATTTCTATACCTTTTATATTTGACATTGAACCTGCGAAAGAATCTGAGACAGCTTGTTCAGAAATCACATACCCCAATCATGCATTCCCCATTCTTCTAAGCGTGCTTTCATTCTTCATGGGGTACTTGCTGCCTATTACATTAATGAGTTGGGCCTACTACAAGATACAAGTCAATCTCAAAAGACAAGCAAAAGCCCTGAACCTGCAACATGCAAGGGCAGCAGCCTATGATCTTGTGATTGCTAGACAGCGTCTGGTCAGCATGCTTACAATTGTCTTAGGAGCTCTCATTATTCTCTGGACAGTATGTTACATCGCTATTCTTCTGTGCTTGCATCCAACAGACAAGGGTCCATTTCCTTTCTGTGGTTCAGAGAGCTACAGGTATATTCGAGAAATCAGCAATATCCCCTTCTATTTGAACTCTGCTATTAATCCCATCATCTACGAGTTCAAGTATAAAAAATTCAGGCAAGGTCTGAGGGTAACTCTTTGCGGCTGTTTTAAAAGACATGATAGTAATCGGATTGAAGTCGAGGTGCTCCCATTGTGAAAAAGACACAATTGAGTTGACGCTTTCATCGTTTACATTCTTGGCATTCAATACAAGATACACGTACATGTTCAATTTACTGTACATGGTGCGTAAAAAAACCCAACGTATCCCAAATTGCAGGACCAATGTTTGAATGAAGTTTTGCCTGTAGCACTTTCAAAATATAGGATATAATGAGCTTTCTTTTAGTACAAGAATCATTCAGGTCACTCATTTTCAAGTTACGGAATTTTGAACACAAAAAAACGTTTTAGAGTTCTGTCCACGGATCACAAAAAAAAGTAAGTGTTCTTTCATCAAAACAAAAACGATTCTCATAGGGATGCATGTGCATTGTTTTAGTTTTACTGAAAAAGAACATGTACCTTTTTTCGTGTTCGGGTCAGTTCAGGTTTGCTAAATTACCTTATTTTTTTGTCGGGTCGGGTCGGGTCGGTTTGAGGAAGTTAAGATCGGTTTCGGTTCGGATTCAGTTTATATCTCTAATGTTTCGGGTCGGTTTGGCCTGGTCAACCCGACACGATGCACATCATTGACCTGAACTTGCGATGGTGCCAAGATAAAAACGAATAAGACTGATTACATCTCTACAAGTTATATGTCAGAGGAGCAGACACTCAGTAACTGTAAATATGTCAAAGACCATATCTTTGGTAGATATATATCAGAGCTCTCAGCTTGTTTGAACAAAATGGCAATGACATGTAGCATCGTCGGTTTCCATAACACTGATGAGTTGGGCCTACTACAAGGCTATTAAGCAAAAGCCCTGAACCTTCAACATGCAAGGGCAGCAGCCTATGATCTTGTGATTGCTAGACAGCGTCTGGTCAGCATGCTTACAATCATCTTAGGAGCTCTCATCATCCTATGGACACCAGGCTACACAGCTTTCTTCTTTGCTTGCATCCAACAGATAATGGTCCTTTCCCTTTCTGTCATTCTAAGACTTACGAATACATCCATGGAGTTTTTGACTTTGCTTTCTATTTCAACTCTGTCATCAATCCCATCATCTACGAGTTGAAATACAAAGCGCTCAGATAAGGTCTTAAGGTAGCCCTTTGCAGTTGTATTAAAAAGACAAAGTAATAACAGAGTTGACATTGAGATGGTGCCAATGTGAAATTGTAAAATGTCTACGAGTTGGATAAAACATTTCAGACAGGTAGTGCTTTGCAGATGTATCTTGTAGGTTGCCAAAGATTAGTTTTATTAACAAAGAATGTACATTGTAAGAACAAATAAGATTTGTAAGAACAAATAAGATTAAACTGTTCATGCTAGCTCAAGAGAAGTACATGCCATTATTGTAATTGTCATCCATCTTACATAAATTTGATGGATATTTATTTAAAGACACATGGGAACATTGCTCATGATATGGAGAAAACCTACCAATTTATTGATAAAAACAATTGCACAAAACAAAGAAAGGACTGGTAGCAATTACACTGTGCAATTATTACGCCTAAAATGTTGTTTGAAAGAAAGCAATATCAGTGATGATGGTTTGAAAGCACTGTGCCCAAGTACACCAAAAAAGATAATTATGATTAGAATTTTGAAACAGCCTCTTTTGAATTGGTAGCAATAGCTGATGGAATCTACTTAAATGAGACCAAAAAAATGGGGCAAGTTTTCTTTTTTTACTAAATTATATTGTATCCACTGAGCTGAAATTTCAAAAGCTTACATGGGTTTTGCACCCACATAATAATTTTCAACAACCACCAAAATACCCCAAATTGCAAACGATCCCTCGTCCCTTTATCTAGCTTTTTTACTAGATGAAAGGATTGCAGAAACATGTCCTGTGTGTCTCCATTTATTTGCTTCTCTGATTGGAGACTTTGTCAATATTAGTTAACCGCAACCCCACCCCCCCCCCAAAAAAAAAAACCACCACCCTCCCTCTCCGAAGAGACCAGCAGAAATCACGCACAATATTGTGAGTGACAGCAAATTGCAATAACAGCCAGAAGGAAGTCTTCCCTAGATCAACAAGTTGCTAAAAATGTAATCTTCTTTCATTTAAAAGCCAATATAACTGACAGCAAGTTATTATGAATTGATGAAGAGACTGTATCTATATGAAACCCGTCAATCAATGATAGCAGTGGTGCAGCTCGTTAAGGAACAACTGGCTAATTAGGCCTAATTGCCTTCGTTACCAAATACCATGAACTTCCGATCATTTCAGCCGTTAATCACCAACACGCAAGTTTGATCAATTCACAGACCTATCATAAGGTGTAATTTAAAAACAAAAATTGTTTGGCACTATTTCCAAAAACAATTTCATGATCTACATGTACATGTATGTCACTGTTGTATAGTTGTCCCGGTACTTATATTGATCAAACTTGTTACATTATATGCATTTCATGTTCCGATAATTGTTTAACCTTGGACTGACTACAACACTCTATGTCAGCGTTCAACAGTCAAATGTTACCATAACATCATTTAAACCAGAGTAATCACACAAATGTCAGAAAAAGAAATAGGACTACAGGGGCAACAAAAAATATAAAAAAACACCCTCCTCCTCCTCTCCACTGAGCAAACAAATCATATGATTGACAGATACCAGATACCTAAATCAACTAGTTGCTAAATATGTAGTCTTCCTTCGCTTAAAAAAACAATATACATGTAGCTAACAGCGAGTCTAATTAATTTATGAAGAATTTTAGACACTCTGCGGCTCCATGTACATTTTTGGGCGGCAAAAAAAATCAACTTCTGGATATACCGACAACTGTAATGTACTATAACACACCAGTGACTCGATCTGAGTCAGTGGTTTATTTAGAATGACATGGGCCTTATTCACGAGTTGGCCATTTTTGTCAAGTTCCCTGAATGTATTTCATTAATTGTTAACTATTGAATGGGATGGTGCCAGACTATTTCTGCAGCCACAATGCAGCCTTATTTTATGGCGGCCAAGCTGGACAAATGACACACCAGCAGAAACTTGTCCTGTTTGTCTCAATTTACTTGCGTTTCTGATTGGAGACATTTACCCCCCCCCCCAAGATCTCGGGCATTGAGAGACGAAAATTTTTGAAACTCGGTACATAAGCGCATGCATAGAGCAACTCTTCATGAACATACCCAATAAATTTCATGACTATAGGTCAAAGGGGGTCCGCTCATAAGTCCGACGCCTCATAGGTCCGACGCCTCATAAATCTGACAAAATCGTATCCCCTAACCAAATAAAGGCCCATAAGTCCAACGCCTCATAAGTCCGACGCCTCATAGGTCCGACGCCTCATAAGTCCAACGCCTCGTAGGTCCGACGCCTCATAGCTCCGACGCCTCGTAAGTCCGACAAATTAAACGCCTCTTTTTCCGTTGTCGGATTAATGAGGCGTCGGACTTATGAGGCGTCGGACCTATGAGGCGTCGGACTTATGATACGGCCCTGGTCAAAGGGTTTTGGAATATGGCTAATTAATTTTTCATATGTACGAATGGCAATTCTGCTCTGTGCACACGACGTATATGGGAAAATTCAGCTCTTCAAGGCGCATAGCGCCGGAAACTTTTTCGCTACGCGGCAACCCGTGGTCTGATTTTTATGTTTTTGGTACCAAAAGATGCGCAAGGCTCGAGGCTAAAAAGTCATAACAGCTCGGGTTGCGAAAACAATTGTTTTCAATGCTATCGCGGAAAAACTTGAGGGTGGGGGCGGATTTTAGGGTTAAATACCAAACGCTATGAACTACAACTTTCAGCCATCAATCACCCACAACATTAACTTGACTCTGAATAAAAGAAGCAGATTCAGTACAGGATATCACATTTTGCATCAGTCGGCTTACAGTCAGCATCAACAGCAAACTACATCAAATGGCAAGACGGGCAACTGTACAATAGGTGCATGGGAGCCTTCACTTAATGGTACAAGACGATCTAAGAAGAGAACTTATACTTGAAAAAAGCTGCTACATGGAAAGACTTTACTGCTTGGTGCATATATCTACAATTGTTGCTTAAAGGATATTGCATCAGCAGCATTGTGAAGCTCTTTAAGTTCAATGACTGATGGGGAAACGGACTACTTCGCTGGACACTGATCAAAGGCACGTTTTAAATACACGGACCTATAAGGTGTGATATTTTGAAAATAGTTTGGCACTATTTCCATATTTCCAAAGACAAACTCAACATCATACCCATGTGGTAAACGACAACTTGAATTCCACTGCTTTGCTGTTGGTAAACTGATGATCTACATGTATGTCATAACTGTATAGTTGTACTTATCAAACTTCTACATGTAAAAAAAACCCTGCATGTTCTGATGATTGTTTAACTTTGGGCCAACTGGAATCATTCTGTGTCAGTGTTCAACAGTCAAATGTTATGATAACATCATTTAAACCAGAGTACTCACACAAATGTCAGCCATGAATTCAACTCAGCAACTCAATGACAAGGAGGACTTTACTACTAGCATCGAGTGGCAGTGGCTGTGCAATATCATGGCAGCTGAAAGAGTCATTGGTGTCTTGGGAAACCTCTTAGTGTGGTTGGCTGGTTCAAATCTGAGGTACATGTAGCAGCGGGTACTGCAATTAAACTATTCATAAGATGAATTTGCGTCATGATGATGTAAAGACATTTTCGGTTTAGCCCTTCAATATCATTATTAGGTTTTGCCGATCCTGCAAGCTCGGTGGTCGACCTGATGTGCAAGGACCCTTTTCACAAACGTTTTACCCCACCCCCAATAAAAATGACCTTGCTACGCCCCTGAACTGATCTGAATCTTCAAAAGGTTGGTTGTTATGCATCCAAAGCAAGATTTTAAACAAAAATAAAAATGCCCCAAAATGAAAACAATCCCTTTATCTAGCTTTCTTTACTAGATGACAGGTCTGCAGAGACTTGTCCTGTGTGTCTCAATTTATTTGCTTCGCTGATTGGAGATTTTTGTAAATTTATATTAGTTAACCGCAACCCAACCATCAACCCCCCCCCCCCACAAAAACCCCCAACCTTCCTTCTCTTCAGACACCAAAACAAATCACGCACAGTATAGTGAGTGACAACAAATTAAGTTGACAGCAGGACGGAAATCTTCCCTTGATCAACAAGTTGCAAAAAAAGTTAATCTTCTTTCGTTTACAAGCCACTATAGCTGACAGGGAGTTATTATAAATTGATGAAGAAAGAGACTGTAGCCATACCAACTCCATCTCTCTCTCTCTCTCGTATGCAGCGCTGAAGCAAATGTCAAGGTCCATGTTTGACAGCCACAGTGTCACGATCGGGTCACAGCTGGCTAATAATAATAATAATGAAGATTTATAAAGCGCACATATCCACCTATTAAGGCGCTCAAGGTGCTATAAACACAATAAATCTAATTTACTCAGAAAATAAACATAATACCAATAGAGAGAGAAAACAAATTACAAATTTTAAAATAAGAAACAACATATACACTCTGTTGGTGTCTTGGTAAATTTTTCCCACGTGAACAACATGAACGTCGGCCTACATCGTCAGGCAACTCCAATTCAGATGTAAACATAAAGATGTGGCGAATGCACACCGACACCCACACCGCTCACGTGATCAGAATGCACCTGGCTCTGAAACAATAAACGGAATGAAATTTTTAAAGCCAGATTCATTAAGCAAGACCAGTCATTAGGCTAGACGAGCGATGCCACCGTCCAGTTTTCTGATTGGGCACTCGTTGACAATGTGCCTTGCTGTCTGATCAGCAGCTCCACAGTCACACCCAGGTGTTGGCTTCATATGCCACTTGTGTAGCATGTAGCCAGTACGCCCGTGGCCTGTGAGCAGCCGGTAAAGGCGACACCAGCTTCGTCTGGGGAGGTCCAAGCCAGCTGGTACTACAGAAGGTGACCGGAGTTCTTTGAGGGCATTGTCGTCATTCTCCCACTCTGCGGACCATTTCTCAATGATGAGTTGATCAGCAGCGGCTTTGCGGCGATCCCTTGTTTGTGGTCTATCCTGGTCTGCAACTCCATCAATCAATGACAGCAATAGTGCAGCTCATTAGGGACAACTGGCTAAGTAAATGCCTTCTTTACCAAATGCCATGAACTTCCAATCATTTCAGCCATCAATCACCCACAACGTTAACTTGACTCTGAATAAAAGACACTGATTCAGTACATGATATCACATTTTGCATCAGTCGGCTTACAGTCAACATCAATAGCAAACTACATCAAATGGCAAGACGGGCAACTGTACAATAGGTGCATGGGAGCCTTCACTTAATGGTACAACACAATCTAAGAAGAGATTTTATATTTGAAAAGAGCTGCTACATGTACATGGAAAGACTTTAGTGCTTGGTGCATATGTATTTAATCCTTTCTTAAAGGATATTTGCATCAGCATCACCGTGAAGCTCTGTGTGATCAATGAATGACAGGGAGAAAATGGACTACTTCGCTTGATACTGATCAAGACAAGTTGTATCAATTTACAGACCTATCAGGTGTGATCTTTTGGAAATAGTTTGGCACTATTTCCAAAGAAATAGTTTGGCACTATTTCCAAACACAAATTCAGCATCACACCATGTGGTGAATGAAAAGTTGAAATCAACTGCTTTGCTGTTTGTAAGCTGAAGATCTATGTTACTGTTGTAACAGTCAAATGTTATGAGACCAGAGTACTCACACAAATGTCAGCCATGAATTCAACTCAGCAACTCAATGACACGGAGGACTTTACTTCTAGCATCAAGTGGCAGTGGCTCTTCAATATCATGGCAGCTGAAGGGGTCATTGGTGTCTTAGGAAACCTCTTAGTGTGCTTTGTCATTCTACGCGTCAAATTCCTACACAGCATGACAAACTATCTGCTGGTGAATTTGGCAGTGGCTGATATGCTGCTGTGCCTGCAAGAGTTTTTCTTATATCTGATGTATTCAGACATTTCACTACTTGATTTTGTGCCAACAAGCGTTGGTGGGAGAGAACTTTACTGCCGCCTTCTTGGTTCAGACTTTTTAGCATGGGCTTTGGTCTATGCATCTGCTTACAATCTCTGTGTGGTAACATTAGAGAGATACGTTGCAATTGTGCATCCATTGCAATATGAAAGGAAACTCACAGCAACACGGATGAAATCTCTGATTGCTCTGATCTGGGTGATTTCATTTCTCTTTTCTTCACCTTATTTATTTACGATTGAATCAAGCACTGATCCTGATCAGGCTTGCTCTAAATTAAAAGACCATCATCAGGAATTTCAAATGCTGTTGAAAGTGTTTACATTCTTCATGGGTTACTTGCTGCCTATAACATTAATGAGTTTGGCATACTACAAGATACAAGTCACTCTCAAAAGACAAGCAAAAGCCCTGAACCTGCGACATGCAAGGGCAGCAGCCTATGATCTTGTGATTGCTAGACAGCGTCTGGTCAGCATGCTTATGATTGTCTTAGGAGCTCTCATCATCCTATGGACACCAGTTTACACAGCCATTCTTGTCTGTGCATATCCACTACACAAGGGTCTAATTTCATTCTGTGATTCAGATACCTATGAATTCATTGTTGAATTTATGGATTTTTTCCACTATTTCAATTCAGTCATCAACCCTATCATCTATGAGCTGAAATACAAGAAATTCCGAAAAGGAGTTAAGGTAGCTTTTTGCAGCTGTGTCAAAAGAAAATGGAATAACAGAGTTGACATTGAGATGGTGCCAAAATGAGAATAAAAATACATGTACACCAGGTATGTTGCCAACTATTTGCAGAAGATTTGCAAAAGGTATAGCTTTATAAGGTTGTGTATATTGCATTATAAGGAGTTTATTTTATGACAGTATGGGCTCCGTGCACCAACAAAAGAGGGCGCGTTTCTACCCCTTTTGAGAGCTCTGTGGACGGAACACACAGTGTGCGCATACTGTACTGTACTTGTTCGCGTGCGAAGTACGCACAACTTCATGAATGTGCAAAAGTTATAGCCACCACGTCTTGGGGCGAGCGTCAGGCGTCATTGGCACGCGAATACGTTCGAATTTAACTTGCGATGGTCTTCGAGATTAATCCCCGCCTCCAATAACTTTGGATACATTCGAAATACGCAGTGGATGGATCTGGAACCAGTCTAGGTCACCCCAACTCTCCTTTTCTGGCCGTTGATGAGGCACTTGTGCACAGAGCCCATAGACCAATCCATGCATGCTATTGATTCTGCCATGAAGGCCCCCTTCAATGGTGAATACACTGTGCTAGCTATTGTTCAGATAATGCTGGTGGTTTCTCCATTGAAGGGGGCTTTGTGAGTGATCATGTGCCCAGATTCATCTATAGGTTCAATTATGTATATTTGGCAAATATTCACGCTATAGTAGCTCTTAAAGAAAAATAAAGAACAGATCTGTTTTGGTCTTCACTTTCACACTCTCATCCCTTTCTGTCACTATCTCACCTCTCCTGTCTCCCAAACTCTTTTCGATTATTCGCTTTTCTACCCGTCTGTGCCTTCTCTCCTCTTAATGCTTTTTCCTTCCTTCTGTAGTTTTACTGTTTACTTTTTAACTGTGGGGTGCCTAGCTGTGTTAGTTATTTGTTGTTGGCCCTGTAGGCTGGGAGTGATGCCCAGTTGCCCCACTTTCAATAGTGTTCAGTAACACTCCTAAAATTTCTAAAGGTAGCCCCGTGATATTTAGCTGCTTTGGGCCCAATATTTCTAAAGACTGCCATTTTCTATTCAAGTGCCTCAATATTAGGTTTTGCCTTTCACTGAGACATAAAGACTGTACACTCAGTGTGTTATCTCATGAGTGAAATTTTGACAAAAATCACTCAGGAGGGCCCACGACCTCCTGCTTTCTAGTGCAGACGACTTTCACTCGACCACCCAGCTTGCGGGATTGGTTGGCTGGTTCAAATCTGAGGTACATGTAGCAGCGGGTACTGCAATTAAACTTTTCATAAGATGAATTTGCGTCGTGATGATGTAAATAAATTTTTAGTTTAGCCCTTCACTATTATTATTAGGTTTTGCTGATCCCGCAAGCTCGGTGGTCGAGTGGTAAGACGTCTGCACTGGAAAACAGGAGGTCGTGGGATCGAGTCCCACGCGAGTAAATTTTTTTGTTCAACTTTCACTTGGGAGGTATCACACTGAGTATACAGTGTTCATACGTCGGTGAAGAGCAAAACCTAATATTGATTTACATCACCACGATGCAACTTCATCTTATGAATATTCAAGCACCCTTTTTTTACCCCCAACAATGTTAGTAGAGAGTGCCCTTTTTTTTTAAAAGCCCTTTTTTAACAGCAAGTGCCCATTTTTTGTTACCAGTGGCCTTAATGGTACGAGCACCCTTTTTGGAATTTCGCTTGACTGTCAGCAATTGTGCTGCCCTGAAAAGTGCCACCAATTGTCCGATAGTGTCCATGATTGTGCAGTTTGGACAGCACCCCCAATTGGAAGATGGTACCAGAGGCCCCCCCCCCCAAACCCCCCCCCCCCCCCCCCCCCCCCCCCCCCCCCCCCCCCCCCCCCCCGCGATTAAACTTTTCTTTTGATTTTACGGAGGCCAATTGTCCGGAGAAAAATCCCTGTGGCCATTGCAGCACGGATGTGCGAGGACCCTTTTCACAAACTTTTTACCCCACCCCCAATAAAAATGACCTTTCTACGCCCCTGAACTGATCTGAATCTTCAAAAGCTTGGTTGTTATGCATCCAAAGCAAGATTTTGAACAAAAATCAAAATGCCCCAAAATGCAAACAATCCCTTTATCTAACTTTCTTTACTAGATGACAGGTCTGCAGAGACTTGTCCTGTGTGTCTCAATTTATTTGCTTCGCTGATTGGAGATTTTTGTAAATATTAGTTAACCGCAACCCAACCATCCCCCCCCCCAAAAAAAAAACCCCACCCTTCCTTCTCTTTGGACACCAAAACCAATCACACACAGTATAGTGAGTGACAACAAATTAAGTTGACAGCAGGACGGAAATCTTCCCTTGATCAACAAGTTGCAAAAAAAGTTAATCTTCTTTCGTTTACAAGCCACTATAGCTGACAGGGAGTTATTATAAATTTACGAAGAAAGAGACTATACCAACTCCATCAATCAATGACAGCAATAGAGCAGTTCATTAAGAGACAATAAATGCCTTCTTTATCAAATGCCATGAACTTTCGAACGTTTCAGCAATCAATCGCCTGCAAAATTTACTTGAGTCTGATTAAAAGACACTGATTCAGTACAGGATATTACATTTGGCATCAGTGGGCTTACAGGGAGCATCAATAGCAAACTACATCAAGTGGCCAGACAGACAACTGTACAATAGGTGGATGGGAGCCTTCACTTAATGGTACAACACAATCTAAGAAGAGAACTTATTATCTGAAAAGAGCTGCTACATGGACAGACTTAGTGCTTGGTGCATACATGTGTAATCGTTTCTTAACCAGTTCAGGCCGGGTTTATTTTGACAGTGATCTGATCCAGGCTTGAGATCGATGCCAGACGGGTTCAGACCAAAATCTGTGGGGAGCACACCCTGTTATTTTCGGGTCACTGACAATGCTTTCTCCAATGCGCGTTTATCAGTCGTCCGTTCCGAATACCAAAAAAACATTGCGTGTATGTATACACGTCATTCGACGTGAACTGGTTAAAGGATATTTGCATCAGCATCACTGTGAAGATTTTTGTGATCAATGACTGATGGGGAAAACTGACTTCTTCAATTGACACTGATCAAAGACACGCTTTAACAATTCACGTACCTACAAGGTGTGATTTTATTTTGAAATAATTTGGCACTACTTCCAAAGACAAATTCAACATCACATCATGTGGGGAAGGACAAGTTGAAGTCAACTGTTTTGCTGTTGGTAAGCTGATGATCCATGTCACTATTGTACAGTTGTACTTACATTTATCACGCTTCTATTTTAAGACTCCATTATCTGCATTTAATGTCCTGAAGAGTGCTTAACTGTGGGCCGACTACAAACATTCTATGTCAGTGTTTAACAGTCAAATGTTACGATAACATCATTTAAACCAGAGCAATCACACAAATGTCAGCCATGAATTCAACTCAGCAACTCAATGACACGGAGGACCTTACTGAAATCAAGTGGCTGTGGCTGTGCAATATCATGGCAGCTGAAGGAGTCATTGGTGTCTTAGGAAACCTCTTAGTGTGCTTTGTCATTCTACGAGTCAAATTCCTACACAACATGACAAACTATCTGCTGGTGAATTTGGCAGTGGCCGATATGCTGCTGTGCCTGCAAGAGTTTTTCTTATATCTGATGTCGTGTTCACTACTGGACTTTGTGCCAACAAACATCATTGGGAGAGAACTTTACTGCCGCATTCTGAGATCAAAATATTTAGCATGGGCTTTGTCCTATGCATCTGCTTACAATCTCTGTGTGGTAACATTAGAGAGATACGTTGCAATTGTACATCCATTGCAATATGAAAGGAAACTCACAGCAACACGGATGAAAACTCTGATTGCTCTGATCTGGGTGATTTCATTTCTCTTTTCTGCACCTTATATATTAATGATGGAATCAAGCACTGATCCTGATCAGGCTTGCTTGGATTTAAAACACCATCATCAGGAATTTCAACAATTTTTGAAAGTGTTTACCATTTTAATGTGTTGCTTGCTGCCTATAACATTAATGAGTTTGGCGTACTACAAGATACAAGTCACTCTCAAAAGACAAGCAAAAGCCCTGAAACTGCGACATGCAAGGGCAGCAGCCTATGATCTTGTGATTGCTAGACAGCGTCTGATCCAAACTCTTACAATTGTCTTAGGAGCTCTTATCATCCTATGGATGCCAGTATCAATAGTCTTTCTTCTCTGTGTGGGTCCACCATATGAGGGCCTAATTTCATTCTGTGATTCAGATACCTACGGATACAGCTTTGACATCAGCAACTTTTTTTACTATTTCAATTCAGTCATCAACCCTATCATCTATGGGCTGAAATACAAGAAATTCCGACAAGGAGTTAAGGTAGCTTTTTGCAGCTGTGTCAAAAGAAAATGGAATAACAGAGTTGACATTGAGATGGTGCCAACATGACAATGATAATACGTGTACACCTGGTATGTTGCCAAAAATGTCTGAGATTCGCAAAAGACTCTGCAAAGTATATTTGTACAGATTGTAAATAGTTGTTTTAGCTTGCCTCATAAGGAATTGTGGATATTACATTGATTTTAAGACAGTGTAGACCAATCTGAGAACACTGTCGTTTCTACCACTAAGGCCCCCGTTAATGGTGAAAGCTTTGTGCTAGCTATTGTTTAGACAATCCGCCATGGGGCAGTTGCTTTGTACAATAGTGAGTGTACAGTGATGATGTGCCTGGATTGTCCATACGTAGTTAGTATCATGTAGGTCCACATTTTTAGCAGATATTCATGCTACAGCAGCTATTTAAAATAAAGAACAGATCTGTTTTGGTCTTCACTTTCACTTTCTCATTTCTTTCACTATCTCACCTCTCCTGACTCCCAAATTCTTTTCGATTATTCGCTGTTCTACCTGTCTGTGCCTTCTCTTCTCCGTGATATTTAGCTGCTTCGGCATTTTGGCCAAAACAGCTGTTGTTTTCTTTAAGGTTTTTTTTTTATATCTCCAGAACAACAGGTCCAATTGAACTGAAACTTGGTAAGTTCATAGACTGTTTGAAAATTTGGCCAATGCATGAAGGATGATAATAAAGATGTGATTTCAAATAAGGCACAAACATGACAAAGTCATTTAAAAAAAAAGAAGTCAAAACAGCTGTGCTGTCCTCATGAAAAACACATTTCTCATTGCATTTGTTTCTTTCTCGAATGACATTTAAGTCCACAGATTTTCCGTGTTGTCTTAATGTATTTTCTTTAGCATATGTTTTAAATATTTGTATGATGTAAAACTGTACGATAAAAATATTAACAAAAACATTAACTGAATTTAAGTGTGAGTGTAAAACAAGAAAACACTGCGTAGTTTTTGTTGCCTAAATCAATTCAAACAATTCAATTGGTCAAACAATTCAAAGACAATAGTTGAACTGTTAAAACATTTAATAACTTTGTGCAGTCCAAAGTTATACACAAGTTCTGAGCTACATATATTTAAATGTATTAGGGCAATTCCACGGTTACTCACGTTACATTTTTGATGTACTTTTGAGTTCCCTTGGGCTGTAATTACCTTACTAAAAAGGTTTAATAACTGTTATCCCCATGGTAGATAGAGTAGACCTAGACCTACCTAAGCACCAAAGATGACATCCAGAAAAATGTGTTATGTATAATAAACATGACGCACAAAATTGGTTACTCACGTTACGAAAATGTAACGTGAGTAACCGTGGCATTGCCCATTATATGTTGACTGCTTTGAGTGGTGTGATAACTCCAGCCTCCGGTGGTGATCCATGGAGGGTCCCATTTTTCCAGGGGGGGGGGTGGGGGAGGAGGGGGGAAATAGTATGCTTCATGGATCACCAAGTGAGGCTAGTTTTACTACACACCACGAGTTAAAACAGGCAATATTTGTTTTATAACGCCTGACCCACACACCACAGATTCTGCTTGATATTGAGAGATAAATGATTAATTAATCCAAAATCCAATTAAAGCGTACTTCTATTTCAATATGAAATTACTTGAACATTTACTTGAACTTTTCTAAACTACCCCTGCTTGAATTGTTTGAACCCAACCCTGTAGCGTGTGGGAATAATATGTGCAATGCTCACACCTGTGTGCACAGACACTGCTACATGTACGTTGCCTGCTAAGTGTAGAGTCTGCTAAGTGTAAAGCATGGAACGAATTGAAAACCGAGACCAAGATGGCCAAAGAGCTGTCCACTTTTAAACGTTTATACTGGGCATCTCAAATGAAATAACTACTTTTTTAAGTAACTGTAAGTGTTTAGGGTGGTACTGTTTCTATGAATTAAGGTTTTATTATTAAACTACAGGTCTCTCATTGTATGTATGTATGTATGTATGTTACTTTCTGAAGTCTTTTTATCAATCTGTAATTGGAATTCATATCTTTCTTTGTAATATGTAATTTTCACTTTGTGTATGTACAGTATCTTCTAACATTAATATTAAAATCAATGTATGTATTTTTTAATAACTAACTAGTTTTTAATGTCCTGTAATTTGTATTGTTTAAACGTTTAAATCCAGGGCCCTAAGGGAGAACAGTTCTTAGATAAATGATGGGGCTACCCTGGTAAAAAAAAAAAGATAAAAAAAAATTAAAAAGAGTAGTTTTTCAGTCTTTTTTGTATAGTCTTTTTGTCTGTGCACAGCAAGATAGTAAAAATGGCGATGCCTTGTGCCTCATGCACTCTCAGCCATATATTGATAAACTGATTTGTTTCACGTTTTGGGCTTGAAGATGCTGGAAAGACCAAGAAAAACATCATAATCTTGTACTCTGGTTCCCTGACCCCACTTAAGATGAAAGGGAGCAGTTTGTCGGCTTTGGGGAATTGTAAGGTCAGAGAATCAGTCCAGCAGGCTTGTACCCCTTCACAAGTGTGTAATCATTTGCAAAGAAAATGCGGATAAAATAATAATGAAAATTTAAGAGCATTTTACCATTTTTCTTGAAAATGTCGGCACACCAGGAGCCGGCAGGATTTTACAGGGTGCTATAGAATATCATTCCGTAACAATCCAGTAAGATATTTCTTGATTATTTGATCATTTCATTTTTTGAAGTTTGCAAATGTTGTATCTTCCCTTTTAAACGTGATTATCTCGAATATTTGTTCAGACAGTGAAATACTAAATTTGCCGCTTTGTGAAAACGGTGAAGATATATAGGTAAAGGCACCGTGATGATTGGTCGAAGCATCATCGGGCGGGGTTGAGTGGCATTATTTTATTGCAAATGTGTGCCCAATCCATCTTGGAAAAATCCTGGATCTGCCACAGCAAACGTGCAATTAACTAAATGAAATGTCTCCTGTTTTCAATTAAGAAAATTGTGTTTGTTGTAACTTTACTCTCACAAGAACAAAAAAATCATCAGTACATGTTACCTCAAGTCTGTTGCATCAAAACATCCAATCAAGACACTTTGGTTGACAACACATAATATAAAAGTAAAAACAGCAAACTTTCTTTCGTCAACATTTGGAAAGTAAGGAATCCTAGTTTTGTTAAAGGTACAGTCCATCATTTGTAATTTGTGCATTTTGTTCGTTTGAAGCAACAAAAGTGCTCAAAATCTAATGAAGGATACTGAACAACTAACCTGATGAAGGTTCAGCTCAGCTTCAGCTGTACATTCTGCGAAAAACAGCATTCTAGGATCTCGATTTCAAATCAAAAGTTGCTGAATCATGTTTTGAATTGGGACTGAATTCAGCGTCCGAGACACGTTCTCACTAAGCCGATTGCAGCTACGCGATGTCGCGCACTGATCCGACGAATTAAAGCAACCGTGCGCGCATGTCCGTCGTGTCAATGCTTGCGCGCGCTTCGCCGAATTAAAACGGAAATGTCCAACGGTGCGTCTTAAGACGCACCGTTGGAAAGGCCTTCATTCGTTAATTTCTTCAATATGACAGCATGCCAGAAAGAATCATTTCACAGGGAGTTTAATTCCCTTACTATCTTTCAACCAAGTATGTTTTTTTTTAACAATAATTACGTCAATTAATTTTTGGATAGCTGCAAATGATGGACTGTAGCTTTCAAAGCATGACTATGATGATTTGAACGATGATTTGGCAAAGCAAATTGTGATTAGTAAAAGCCAACATGGACACACACGTACACTTTGTTTTATCGAAAAAAACCAAGGAGTGTAGCAGCTCATTACAATATAAGCAACTAATTGGTGGAAAACTGCTTGGTGGAAGCATCAACGGGATTGAAACATTTGATAGTAATTTACTTGAGAGGCTTGTTCTCTAATGGGACATTGATGCCACACACTCATTACTTTAACGTAGATCAGGGACAATACATGTAGGATAGATCTGCTTGATGGGCAACAATATAAGAGGAAAAGAAATGGGAGTACTATCAAACACAGATTTACCACGACATCTACAATGTAGGTACTCTCTTTTATACCTCCATGCTTTACGCATCTAGACGATGAACGTACATGAAAATACATGCAGGTCTATCCACTTGAGGTAAAACAACATGTACTGTTTTTATCAAAGTGTTATTGACATTAATGACACTGAAAGTGTTTACACAAGTTCTCAATAGAAGTGTCAGTCATGAATTCTACTCAGCCAATCTGTGAGGGGGATACAGGAGGCAACTGGGTCTGCCAGATCACGGTAGCAGAAGGAGTCATTGGTGTCTTAGGAAACCTCTTAGTGTGCTTTGTCATTCTACGCGTCAAATTCCTACACAACATGACTAACTATCTGCTGGTGAATTTGGCCATGGCCGTTAAGCTGCTAGGTCTCAAAGAGTTTTATCTGACGTCTTCAGACTAGTAGCTTTTCTGCCGACTTCTGGTCTCACAATATCTAACGTGGGCTTTGTCGAATGCATCAGCTTACAATCTCTGTGTGGTAATATTAGATATGTTGATTTAGTGCATCCACTCTACAGTATGCAAGGAAACTCACAGCAACACAGATTAAACTCTGATTGCTCTGGTCCGGGTGATATTTGTTTTTTGGTGCATGTTCATGTCTCTTTGGTTACATTATACCCATATATTGATGAGTTGGGCCGACTACAAGATACAAGTCACTCTCAAAGACGAGCAAAAGCCCTGAGCCTGCTACATGCCACATGATCTTGTGATTGCTAGACAGTGTCTGGTCAGCATGCTCAGCATGGTATACATGTACAATCTCATTAATCCCATCATCTGCGAGTTTAAATACAAGAAATTCAGGCAAGGTCTTAAGGTGGCCTTTTGTAGCTGTTTTTACAGACAGAGAAATAACAGAGTTGACATTCAAATTGTGCCACTATGAGAGTGTTGACCACTAGTTGCAACAGCAAATTGGAATATAATTGATAATATGATCTTCCATCTTCAAACCATCTTCCGATGTGGCCGCTTCTCAAAACTGATATCATGGTCCATGTTAGATAATCATAATAGCTAAGCAATTATCCCTCTCCAGGCGACGTTCAAATAAACAGTCAATCACAAAAAACATGGTTTGGGTGAAAATACTCACCAAAAACATGCAATGAGGAACTTTACGTTCAACCCACTAATCATGGTAACTCATAGTACTGTCCTTTTCTCCAGTTACCAAATTCCAAGGTGGGGGGGGGGGGGGGGGGGGGGCAACTGGGGGGGGGGGCCCACATATTTTTTATGAGACCCCCTCCTCGTAGCTACATGTACGCTGCTGGTTGTAATTAAGAATGAAAAGAGCCCATGTCTCTTCAATTTATGATAGAAGGCAAAATTGTACCTAATACTGGTACTTCCATTAAAGTTGCATTTACAAGTGGCTACAATGATCCGGATGATGGCTGAGCGAACTCTTTGGTGGCTTTTAATGAAACAAACCCAATGTACAAAGTGTTTACTTTACTTTAGATGTAATGTAGCGCAGCTAGATAAGTGACAAAGATGTGGATTATTGCTTCATAAAAGTCAGTTGAATTAAAACATTAGGCATTAACTATTCGACATCCAATAAAAGAGCCTGATAGTGCAGGGAGCGCCACACTGAACATCAGTTCAGGAGTCTTTACGTTTCTGTTAATGAACAAAGGCAGTGTGGTAGTTCTCCAAGTGACAGCCAGATAGGCAGGTTGTTGCCCTGATCTAAGTTTTCAGTCAACCAAAATCATCCGATTCTGAGTCAAAAGATGCTGACTTCAGCACAGCATATCACTCTGAGCTTCGTTTTCATACACTGAGCATACTACATTATCAGCAAAGCGTTTCCTACAAGCAAGAATTTACTGCTGGATACACAGACTGTAACAGATACATGTAGTGCTGCCTTTATTGGCTGTCTTAGTGGAAATCTCCTTGATGAAAGACGACCAAAAGCACTGAGGAGAGTGTGCTTGGATGTTGCTCTGGAACACAGGTCTGTCTCCCACAAAACTCCATCACTACTGTACATTGTATCATCAAGTGCTGATTTGGAGCCATGTGCACATCTTGGTCCAAAGAATGCTTCAGATGTTTTGCCAAGTTTTAATCCACATGTATGAACAATGCATCAACAGTTTTAACGATCAAATATTTACTGGACACATCTTTTTTTTTTAGCAACATTATGCTAAAAGATGTCAGCCATGAATTCAACCCAGGAAGTCCTCGACAATAAGGAGCCTACTATCGGCAAGTGGGTCTGCCAGTTATTCATTGCAGAAGGAGTCATTGGTATCTTAGGAAACCTCTTAGTGTGCTTGGTCATTCTACGCGTCAAATTCCTACACAACATGACAAACTATCTGCTGGTGAATTTGGCTGTGGCCGATATGCTGCTTTGTCTATATAATATTTTCAGTGGTCTGCTATATAATGACGACTGTAAAATAATTGACTATGTCCACAAATCATTTGGTGAAAAGGTTGTTTTCTGCCGTTTCCTGCAATCACCCTTTTTATCATGGGTTTTCTCGTATGCATCAGCTTACAATCTCTGTGTGGTAACATTAGAGAGATATGTTGCTATAGTGCATCCACTACAGTATGCAAGGAAACTCACAGCAACACGGATGAAAATTCTGATTGCTCTGATCTGGATGATATCATTTCTATTTTCGTTACCATTTATATTTCGATTACAACCCAGCAAAGATCCAGACCTGGCTTGCTCAAAAATTGAATACCAAGACAATACATTTCACATTCTGCTTGGAGTATTTGCATTTTGCTCAGTATACTTGCTGCCACTTACATTGATGAGTTGGGCCTACTACAAGATACAAGTCACTCTCAAACGACAAGCAAAAGCCCTGAACCTGCGACATGCAAGGGCAGCAGCCTATGATCTTGTGATTGCTAGACAACGTCTGGTCAGCATGCTTACAATCGTCTTAGGAGCTCTCATCATCCTGTGGACACCAGCTGACACCAGTGTTCTTTTCTGCTTGCATCTTCCAGACAAAGGTCCATTTTCCTTCTGTGGTTCCCAAGGCTTCAAGTACTTCAAAGGAATTGCAAACTGTATGTTTTATTTCAATTCAGTCATTAATCCCATCATCTATGAGTAGAAATACAAGAAATTCCGACAAGGACTAAAGGTAGCTTTTTGTTGCTGTCACAAAAGTCATGGAGCTAACACAGTTGACATTGCGATGGTTCCCCTATGAGTACACTGACCGTCTCTTTCATCCTGACATGATTTTCTTACATGCTCCTTCATTTATAACTGTTTATGGCATCTGTAAGTGTGAAGCTGTTACGCTTTCATCAATCCAAGACACCCTGATTCACTCACATTCCGTCACCTTCCTGCCCGTACTCAAGCTCTCTTTCAATCTCCTTGCAGTAGATTTCCGAGACTTTGAAACGCTTTACCCACCCACATCAAGTAGGGAGTCCAGCGAATTTTATTCTTTCACGACAGAAATATCATGTTTTGTATCACTGAAAAGAGAATTACACAACAGAATCAATGGCATCTGAATCAGCTTCATCTGTGTTTGCATTTTGGAAATACAACAATTTAAATAGTCAAATTTGGAGTTTCAATTCTATAAGATTTACATTATATACTCTCAAACGCACAGCCCTCCATGCCCAACTGAACAACCCTTCCTCACATGCTGCAATCCAACAGCATGCACAAGCTAGGGCTAACCTGCAGAGGGAACTATGTCGCATGGAGGATGGCTGGTGGGCGGCAAAAGCGAAAGAGGTGCAAGCTCTAGCAGACAGGGGCGACTCTCGTGGTGTCTTCCAGTCCCTCAAGGGAGTTTACGGCCCACGCCGTTCAACTTCGAGCCCAGTTCTCTCCTCTGATGGCAACAAACTACTGACAGACAAGCCGGAGATCCGAGCCCGCTTTTTACTAACTGGACCACGAGCAATTGATCTAGCCTATTTGCAACAGTAAAATTTTGCATCTAAATAGGGGCAGTGGCATTAGGGAGACATTGAAAGGTCTCCCTAATTCCACATATTTCCCAAAGGTATTTGACGCTATAAGTTTCTCCCAAAGGTTATTCATTGTACTTGCGGTTGTAACACTTAGTATTGGTTACATGTATATTCTTCAAGTTCACCATTTCTACACTATGTAGGATAGTACAGTGTGGCTTACCCATCAGCCAACACTGATTTACACCTGGCACAAAAAAGAAAAGAAGTAGTTTTTATAATCATCCTTGTTTGGACATTTCTCGGTGAACAAAGAAAATGATGCAGGGCCTGCATCATTTCATTCAATTGTATGTTGCAATGCCAATTGAAAATCTCTTGAAGTGCAACTTTTGGTTTGGGGGTTTCAGGAGCTTCAGTGCTTGTGCTGTCGTTATTTCTTACACAGTGTTTCCAAGTGAGGTATCAAATTGAACCAGAAAGTTTCCGTGACAAAACGTACATTTGGGAGATATGTCAAACAAGAATGATTATAAAAACTGCTAAGTTTCCATTTGTGCCCGGTGTGTTCCACTAATAAGTAAATGTTGCTGCTTATGTTCAACATATAAAACTATTATCAAAACTACAATTTGTTTTGCCATCTTCTCAATTAACTAGATGAGAAGCAGGTTACGGTCCAGGGAACTTTTTGAAAAACAAGACCCAAAGTAACATCCTTTGTCTTGCAGTTGCATTCAAGCAAATATTGAATCTGGTTATATCATATTAATTGTACGAGGCAAAGTCTTGCATTTTGTGTGTGTGTGTGTGTTGGCAGATGTAAATGTCATCGTTTGGATTTGCCCCTTTACAGATGTAATTTTGCACTGTATGTTTACTCCATGTTGATCAAAAGCTTGTAAGAAAGAACATTCACAAGCTGGCTTGATTGGGTGGGACTCACACCCACAACCACCTGCTACAGTTGTAACTCATGCAGACATCAACATTCAACCACTCAGCTTTCTAGGTTTAACTGGAAGGTTTGTTTCTGATAATAGAACTGTACATCAGAACCGGGAACCCAAGTTCCTGACCGCTGATGTCATGAACTGGTTGCAGATTACTGAACTGAGTACCCATAACCAACTTTACTTATTAATTAGTTAATTCTCAAACAAAGAAAAGGAAGGTTTTGAATGTCAGGCTGCATGGAGAAAAAAAACCAGATTCATGTTTATGATGCTTTGTTAACTGATAATGTAATGAATAACCAACAGATAACGTATCACCAATTGATAATGTAACAACAATTGATTGATACTGTATCACTAACCGATAATGTAACAAAAATTGACCAACAGTGTGGTAAATGTTATTACTCTATCTCAGTCAATCTTTGTTACAACAATTGACTGATAGTGTAGCACATTCTACTACATTATCAGTCAATTTTGTGTAACATTATCAGTTAGTGATACAGTATCGGTCAATTGTTGTTACATTATTGGTTGGTGATATGTTACCTGTTGGTTATTACATTAAAAGTTGAAACACGCTTGCACAAAATGCAAGTTACACCTTGTCTCTGAGCTCGCTGCACACTTGTATCTAGCTGTATTGAAGCACCGATATGGCATTATCCTGCGGACCTTTATGAACAATAATTATCTGTACAGCAATTTCCAAGATTTAAATTTTGGGGTTGGGTTTCTTTAACATGTACCCGGGTACCCGTGTTTTTTTCAATCGGGTACCCGATTACCCGTGTTTTTTCCCAATCGAGTACCAGATTCCCGTACTCCCTGTAAATGCACACCCCTTCTCTTTACTTAGTCATCGAGAATGACAGAATGGCAGCTCTCTAAGTGCCAGCCAGAGATATTAAACTAATTGCCTATTTGCCTCACTCATCATCTACTGATTAACCCTTCATTCAATCACAATCATCTGAATCTGAGTCGACAGATGCTGACTTCAGTGCAGCATATCACTCTGAGCGTCATTCGCATACAGTGAGCATGCTACATGATCAGCAAAGCGTTTCCTACACGCAAGAATTTATTGCTGGATACACAGACTGTTTTATGGTAGTAAATAGGGCTCCTTTCATTGGCTGTCATAGTGGAAATCTCCTTGATGAAAGACGCCGAAAAGTACTGACGAGAGTGTGCTTGGATGTTGCTCTGGAACACAGGTCTGTCTCCCACAAAACTCCATCACTACTGTACATTGTATCATCAAGTGCTGATTTGGGGCCATGTGCACATCTTGGTCCAAAGAATGCTTCAGATGTTTTGCCCAGCTTAATCTACATGTATTAACATTGTATCAACAGTTTTTAATGATCAAATATTTATCGGACACATTCATCCCAAAAGATGTCAGCCATAAATTCAACCCAGCAAGTCTTAGACAATAAGGAGCCTACTATAGGCAAGTGGGTCTGCCAGTTATTAGTTGCAGAAGGAGTCATTGGTGTCTTCGGAAACCTCTTAGTGTGCTTGGTCATTCTACGCGTCAGATTCCTACATAACATGACGAACTATCTGCTGGTGAATTTGGCAGTGGCGGATATGTTGCTGTGCCTAGAGTGTACTGTCGAAGGTCTAATATCTAATGACGACTGTGAAATAATTGATTATGTGCCCAAAACGTTTGGTGGAAAGGTCATTTTCTGCAGTTTCCTGCAATCAAACTTTTTATCAGGGGCTTTGTCATTTGCATCAGCTTACAATCTCTGTGTGGTAACATTAGAGAGATATGTTGCTTTAGTGCATCCACTACAGTATGCAAGGAAACTCACAGCAACACGGATGAAACTTCTAATTACCCTGATCTGGATGATATCATTTTTATTTTCCTTACCATATTTATTTATATTCAAACCCAGCAATGATCCAGACCTGGTTTGCTCAGAAATTGAATACCAAGACAATACATTTCACGTTCTGCTTGGAGTATTTTCACTTTTCTCAGTATACTTGCTGCCACTTACATTGATGAGTTGGGCCTACTACAAGATACAAGTCACTCTCAAACGACAAGCAAAAGCCCTGAACCTGCGACATGCAAGGGCAGCAGCCTATGATCTTGTGATTGCTAGACAGCGTCTGGTCAGCATGCTTACAATCGTCTTAGGAGCTCTCATCATCCTGTGGACACCAATTAACATAACTTTTCTTGTCTGCTTCGATCCAACAGACAAGGGTCCTTTTCCTTTTTGTGGTTCAAAAGGATTCAAGTACTTCATGACAATTACCGTTTTTTTGCTTTATTTCAATTCAGTCATTAATCCCATCATCTATGAGTTGAAATACAAAAAATTCCGACAAGGACTCAAGCTAACTTTTTGTTGCTGTCACAAAAGCCATGGAGCTAACACAGTTGACATTGCGATGGTTCCCCTATGACTGCAGTTCGCATTGGTTATATTCTACAAGTTCACCATTTCTTAACTATGTAGGATAGTACAGTGTAGCATAGTAACTTACCAATCAGCCAGCACTGATTTATTCCACCAATGAGTAAATGTTGAGCTTATGTTCAACATACAAAATTGTTACCAAAACTTCAACTTTTTATCACCATCTTACCAAAATACTAGATGAGAAACAGGTTACTGTCCAAGGACCTTTTTTAAAAACAAAACCAAAGACAATATTTGATGCTTGGATGTTACTCTAAAAAACATGTTTTATGCCCCAAAACTCCATCATTATTGTTCATTGTATGTTTATCAAGTGCCAATTTAGGGCCATGTGCATATTTTGGTCCAAAGAATCTTTTTCTTGTCAATTTTATGGGCAAACAACAAATTATGAGCATTGTAGCAACCTTATTTAACAATCAAATATTTACGGGACGCAATTTTTTTTCAGCAACATCATTTCCCAAAAATGTCAGCCATGAATTCAACCCAGCAACTCTTGACAATAAGGAGCCAACTTTTGGCAAGTGGGTCTGCCAGTTATTAGTTGCAGAAGGAGTCATTGGTGTCTTGGGAAATCTCTTAGTGTGCTTCGTCATTCTACGTATCAAATTCCTACACAACAGGACAAACTATCTGCTGGTGAATTTGGCCGTGGCTGATATGCTGCTGTGTCCTGGTTTATCTCTTTATGCTTGAGTTGATTCCAGCAAATTTATCCTCAAATTTTATCATCACGTTTGGGGTCTTGATAGTGGAGACCACGTGTATGGGTGTACATGTATGTGTGCAGTTATGAATTAAATGCGTGCGTGGTATTGACTGCATCATTCGATAAGACGACCCCGAAAATGGACAGAGCGCATGCGTACAGGACTAAAGGGGGCACTGGTATTGATATGCTCACGATGATAATGGGAAACCCTTGGCTTGGCCTTGCAGCAACACCGATGCATGCAGCGATCACGTGGGCCATGCCAGCCAAACCACTTTTCACTCGGCACTTCTTGCCTACCGCAGTGCAGGAAGTCAATGCCAATGCGTGATTTTTTGAATGCCGACTTACTCAAAGGATTTTGTTACGCTTTTTATGGAAAGGGGACTGAGAGTAAGATGACCACTTATGTGAAATGGCGACTTATAAAAGCCGACTTAGAAATAAAAAATTTAATGGAAATGCATTACAGACAATAGGAACTTTAGTCAGACGGCTAACTTGAGCGATTTGACTAGTTGTACGATGTTGACTTGGCCTGAGTTTACTGTATGTCACAATAGTGCATCCACTACAGTATGCAAGGAAACTCACAGCAACACGGATGAAAACTCTGATTGCTTTCATCTGGGTGACATCCCTTTCGTTACCACGTTTATTTCTAATCAAACCCAGCAATGATTCAGACCTGGCTTGCTCAGGAATTGAAGATTGGTTTCTGGAAATTCGTTTTTTTAAGAATTTTTTTTTTCAAAGTGACACTAAATAATGTGTCTGAACCCATTTATGAGTAAGAGCACTTTACAAATGACTTGATTGTATTGTGTTGTGTTGTATTGTATAGATTACTTGTATACATGTACATGTACAAATCAGCCATTCCATGGTGACTCGCGTGACATTTGAACAAAATGTAAAGTTTTAATGCATTACTGTTGTTAACCTGGCATTTATTCAACTCAAACTAGCATGTATTTGAGTCAGGGCATTGTGAATTTATGGTTTAGTCTTTATGTGATTACTTTAAAATCGCTATTTTTTCATGTATCACAGTTTCTTTGACGTGACTCGCATGACAGGATAGAAAAAGGGATTTTTGACATCCCTTGATTCAAATAGCTTTTCCTATGGATCTACCAGTGTTCTAAAAATTATTCTTACAGAACTTAGAACTTAATACCCTCACCCAATACATGCATAAGTTGTATTGTGCCAGATATCCCTTGTTGTAAGAAATGGCCTGAAGAAAATGTGACTCGCGTGACACAAATGCGTGACTCGCGTGACACAGTAGCTTTTCACTTTCACATTACAACTGTAATTTTAGTATAACGAATCAAATCATAATATTATATTAATAAAAATGATTTACCTATGAATACCTTATGAAAGAGTGTGAAAACTGCTATTTATCCCTTTACTTTGGCAAATGTTGGGGGTGGAAATCTGGTTTAAACACAATATCCTTAACAATGACATAGAGAGAAAAAAATGTTTTGGAATTTTAGTTACGAAGTGATGTCATCAATCCACGGGTGATTATTTCAGGAAAACAGTTGTAATTCTTGGTCATGTAGAGTCACAGTTTCCTTAAATGGTAAGATCGAGCTGCAATTAATGATGCAGTTGTATCGGAATGTATACAGTACAGTCGAATCTCGTTTGTACAAACTCTGTTAATACAAAATTCTGGTTATAACAAACATAAAGCCCTAGTCCCGACTGTGCATTTATGTGCACAATGAATGGGACTGATGTTCCTCTTAGTACAAAATTCTGATATAACGAACAATTTGGCTAGGTCCGAACGAGTTTGTATTAACGAGACTCGACTGTATATACATTTGTAAAAAACTGATTCAATTTCTTGTTACATAACTAATGCTTTTAAAGACTTAATTCGAATTCTATAATTTAATAGGGCCTATGGCATTGTTTCTTTGTATTACCCGGTACATGTAAATGAAACATTCCTGGCTTGTGACCAGGTGCGGATCCAGAGGTTTTTTTGGGGGGGTCAACCCCCCCCCCCCCCAGCTCTGTCAAAATAAAAAATTTCATACAGATTCCTGAAGAATAAGTCGAACCCCCCCCCCCCCCCCCCCGCGACACCCCCAAAAACATTATACTGGTCTAATGTCCGCCTGTTCAAAATACGGTACACCATTCTGTAATGTGTTAATAATCGTCGAATTTGAACAGCGCCCCCGATTGAAATTGGTACCAGCCCCCCACCCCTTCCCCCCCCCCCCCAGTTTTTTATTTTACGGAAGCGAGTGTCCAGAGAAAAAAACGTGTGTACATTTTCAAATTTTTTGGCTGATGAAACCCCCCCCCCCCCCCCCGCAAAAATTCCTGGATCCGCCCCTGGTGACTCGCGTGACATACATCATGTGTGACTCGCATGACATTCTTGAGATAGTTTTTTCTACAAGGAATGTAGAGCAAATAAGAATATTCATACTTTTATTGATAGACCACCACTATTTCATTTACAAATATCAAACACTAGCTGAATCCCTCTCTAGTTATTAAGTAAATTGAAAAAATGGTCCTTTTTTGTGACTCGCGTGACATATTTTTGAGGGTGTTTTCACGATGAAATAGTGGGAAAATACTGAAGACATTTCGAAAAATTCTCAATGTTTTATCAAATAGACTGGAATAGCTACCAAATGTATGCAGATAAAGCACAATCTTATGAATGAGCTTCAATTACTTCCTCAGTTTGTGATTTATACCCCTGACTCTCCGTTTCGCCCACAAAATTCATCCATGTTTCAGGAGGCTGAAATTTTAATTCAAATGATTTATTTTAAAAAATCTTTTGAGATTTAGATGGTTTCAATATTCCTCTTATCAAATATAACTGACAAAAATTTATTCCTTTCACTTCAATTTTTGAGTTTGGTGATGACCCTTACATGGAATGGCTGAAATGTACATGTACCATAAATGTTTAATACACGGTGAAGTTACCACATCATCATTAATTCATTTGAAGATATTTGAATATTTCAGCACAAAAGAAATGTCCCTATTTTTCAGAGTTGTGGGACCAAAAAGTAGGCAAAAGAAGGAATTTCAAGAAACCAGTAGAAAAAGTAGGAGCAAGGTAAAAAAAAAAATAGGAAAAAATAGGAAGTGTAGGAATACTAGAAAGCTTGAAAGCTCTTCTTCTGTTTTAGAACATAGATATCTAGTTTCTTAATTGTTTTTTGATCCCAAATCACATAGAAATTGTACGCATGGTTTTCTAGACCAGACTTTTGAGGGCCTTCAAGTCACATCCTAATCATTTTGGTTAATACGTACGTCATAGTAAAATTGTGTTGTGATCAATGATGTGGTTATGACATCTTTATGGGTAAATAATGCAATTAAAGGTCCATCTTTCAAAGTCTAATACCTTCGAAAAATTTACACATCTGATTTGGTTGAAGTTTGGTGTGTGGAGATACTAAATACATTGCAAAAGCTAAATTTGAAGGGAAGTCATGATGATGGCATTGTGCAATTCATTTCTTGAATTTTAAATATTAAATTGTTTCTAGGTATCTACTGAACAAAAAGGCTAAATTCAAAACTTGTTTTCTTTACAACATATAGAGACATGTGAGGTCATGACATTTAGAATGCAATCTTTGTTTAAAACTCATGGCAAAATCAGACAATAATGAAATTTGGTAGAAATATAGAGTATGTGTTTTACATTAGAATTGAATTGAATTGATAGAATTTGAAAATGGAAATTTCTTTCACACGACTTGATAGTTGAACTTTAATTTCAAGCATACATTATCTGAGAATATGCCACTTTATTTCTTAGTCATACTGTTACTTTTAAACATGTCTAGTAATAACGCTGCATTTAGCACATGTACCAGCACTTATAGTTTATGCTACTGACTAATTTGGTATTATCACTTCATCAAATCTAATGAAGTAGTTGACTTATGGGCTCTGTGCGCCAACAACAGAGGGCGCGTTTCAACACTTTTGAGAGCCCCTTGGATGGGACACCATGTGTACGTACTGTAATGTAATGGTTCGCACGCGAAGTACACACAACTTTAATATCCTGAATGTGCTCAAAGCTAAGCCATAGCGTCTTTGCGCGTGGGCGTCAAGCCGTCAAATTAGAGTTACGATGGTCTCTCAGACTAATCACTGCCCCCAATAACTTTGGATCATTTGAAATACGCAGTGGATGGGCCGGGAACCAGTCGAGATCTTCCCCAACTCTCTTTTCCTGGCCGTTGAAGGGGTACTTGTGCACGGAGCCCATAGTCATCAAAACATTGTGTAACTCGACTAACACAGCTGAATAAACTTAGTTCAATAATAAAGTTTCATGTATCAATATCAAACACTTAGTATTATGATATGTCATCATTCTGTTACCAGGTATTTTTTTTTACA